GGCTTAATATAACCGAGATACCTCCTCGCAACGGTCGAGCAAGACGTGGCTATGGCACGGAACTTGGTGGTACCATCGTGTGTGGGGGCGTATGGGGGGTGACGGTAGGACAAAGCTTCCTACGCCCTACGTTACCAGGCGATCTGCATCCGGTGCTAGAGTGTGTGGGGGGAGAAGGGCCTTCGGAAGTTTAGCTGGCAGTGCAAGCCGCGCGGTGTCAACCAGTGCCGCCTCCGCTGCTTTCGGAAGTTGTCCCTCCACCGGACCCTGAAGTCGCACCCACAGCAGCGCCATCGGCCAACCGCCGCCGAGCGATACGCGCGCGCCCAACTCGCCTCTGCAGCCCGCCGGCGATTCGCGACCACCTTATCGCACGGAATGAGAATAATTTCGAGTAGCTGTTACATCGTCAGAAGGTGAAAAGGCGGATTTTGTGGCTGCAGCTTCGACGCGTCGATCCGGCTCCGTTGGCAGACGAGCCAGCAAGAAGGCAAGCGGGCAGGCAAGCGGGGCGAGCCGAATGATGGAGCGAGCCGACGCGAAATCCGAGAAAGTGGACGGTTGGGCTGGCTTGCGGGAGAGAGGAAAGCAGTGGGCAGAATTTCGCCTCCACGCTCCCAATCCGAATTCCACAAAGAGCAGCAGCGAGCAGCGAGCGGTCGGGGCAAGCGAGAGAATCGAGCGAGGCGCGATAACTTAGAGCCAAGCAGCAGCCGGCAGCAGAAGCAGCAGCAGCAGCAGCATCCAGGAGAGGGTCTGCCCGACGCTCTCTCTCTCGCTCACTTCTCCTCAGCTCGCGGGCGCAGCTCAGACTCCCCTTTGCCTCTCCCCTCCACCAACACCATCCTCCTCAGCTCGCTCGACCACCATCTCATACCCGCTCCATCTTCATCTTCCATCCAGGCGCCATCCTCCTCCTCCTCCAACACCAACCTCGAGCCGGCTCGCTCGTCGCAGCGACACATCCACTTCGCCCGCAAGCAACCACCTGCTCCCAGCCTGACCATGCGATGATAGCTCCATCCATCATCCCTCATCTCCCCTGATCCCTCACATCACCGGCACAGCGTCCCGCGCATCTTGCTGGCTGGGCCACAGCCGACTCAGTAGCCGCGCTCTCGCCGCCGCCCTCCCAGTCTGACCATGCCAACCAGTGCCACCACCACTCAGCCAACATCCGCTGCTCCCCACTCGCTCCAAGACCCCGACCACGCCGAAGCCTCCGACGCAGAGACCGAGCCGCTCCCCTACGACGACCCTGCCATCGACGACGGCCAGCACTCGGACATCGTCATGGATCCCTCCGAGCTCGCTCACCACACCGCAGCAGCCGCAGCCGCAGCTGCCACCGATCTCGACGCTCCGGGCGAAGAGGTGGACGAGTCCATGCTGCCTCCCCTCGACCATGCCCAGTCTTCATCCCATCCGCACAGTGCACACGAAGCGCACGACGACGATGAAGACGCTCCTGCCGACGAGGATCACGACGACGACGACGACGACGACGACATCGACGCTTCCCAAGCAACCGTCGCACACGATCCCAACTCCAACATCAGCTCGCCACAAAAGGCGGGCGCGTTCACAGGCGACGAGTTCAGCGACGAGAGCGAGCTCACCGACGAGGACGAAGATCAGAACGACGACGCAGACGCCTCATCGCTCTCCGACGACGACCTCGGCGGCTCCGAAGACGACGACGAAGACGACGACGACGATGGCCACAGCAAGACGCACGAGGACGAAGCTGCAGAGGCGCTAGCCGCCCTCACCGGCGGTGCAGAAGGCGCCGACGACGATGCTAACGCAGGAGCAGCCGCCGGCCTCGACGCTCTCGCCGCCCTCGCCACCGCCGGCGTCAACGGCGATGCCGCAGCCAACGCCCAAGACGATGACGACGACGACGATGAAGACGAAGATGACGACGCGTCTGACGCCGACGCCGACGACGCAGCAGCCGAAGAGGGCACCTCGCGCGACGACATCGCCAAGCACGGCCGTCTCCACCAACTCCAACAAGAGGCAGATGCCGACGACCTAAGCTCCGACATCACTCCGGAGCCCGAAGACGACGTCGACGCCGACGGTCACGCAGGCGCAGACGAGATCTCGGATCATGAAGATCCAGGCTCCCCTCGCACCACCGACCTCGACCTCATCGCTTCAATGAAGAAGCGCGCCGCTGCCACAGGCGGTGCCACCAGCCTGCTCGAACCCGAGCAGCTCGTCGACAGCCTCCCAGGCTCCGCCGCCTCCTCACGAGCCGCATCCCCGCTCGCAGACGACGACGAAGACGACGCCGACAAGCCCAAGCCTGCGGGCGACGCCGAGGCCGACGCAGACGTCAAGGCGGCCGACGCCGACCATGCCGACGCCGACCAGCTCGACACCGCAGCGGGCACACCCGCCCCAGACGCCGTCGAGCCAGACGAAGACGCCTCCACAGACGAAGCCGCCATCCGCCGCCAAGAGGCCATGGAGGCGCTCACCAAGATCGAGATCGGCTTCGCCATGCTCCGCGACCGTCTCTACGTAGAGCGTCTCCAAGAGATCTCCAAGGAGGGCGAGATGATCGTAGACGGCACGCATCCGGAGCTGCTCCACCTCAACAAGGCCATCGAGTCGCGCCGCCAGCGCCGCACGCAGCTCGTCGACATGTGGTTCGAGCAGCAGGAGCAGCAGTACGAGCGCGTCGCCAACGCAGAAGAGTTTGCCGCCTGGAGCATCTGGCGATCCAGCTGCGCCAGCCTCCGCCGCGACATGATGGACGACTTTAGCCGCAAGCGCAGGAGGCTCGACCGCGAGAAGCGCACGCTCGATGCACCGCGTCCCGCACGAAGGCACCAGATCTTCGAGACCGAGCTCGTTCGCGACCCGGACAGGGTGCACATCCCCTTGCCCTCGGCGGCGGCCGACACCACCGACCGCGCCAATCCCAACGCATCCCGCACCGACCGCCAGCAGTCGGCCAAGCGCAAGGCCATCGCACGCGAGATCGAGCGTGGCGACGAGTTTGTGGCGTACCCCGACCTCAAGGGTCTCGCCGAGGTCGACGTCATGATGGACATTGAGCAGATGGGCATCCGTCCCGCAGGCGTGCCGCCAGGCATGTACGATCCCTTTTACGGCGCTCCTGTCGGACTCGAGTTTCAAAATCCGGACGTATATGCCATGTACGGGCCAGAGGCGGCAGCGGCGGCAGCGGCGGCCGCACAGGCGCAGATGAACGGCTTCCCTTACGGTCTGCCTCCCGGTGCCCGCGGCATGCCTGGTCCGCACCCAGGCATGATTATGGGCCCGGGCACACCACATCGTCATGGCATGCACCCGCTGCCACCACCTCCGGGCCACATGCATCCGGGCATGGAGATGGGCATGATGGGATTTGATCCCTACGCGGCGGCCGAGATGGAGCGTGCGGCTCGCATGCACCACCGCGAGCAGGCGGCACGCATGGGCATGGACCCCAACGACCCGCATCACCGAAGCTCACCCTTCCGTCCGGATATGTACGCTCCGTATCCGCCGCAGTACGGCATGCCGCCCGGGCCGCCAGGACCGGGGCCCATGGGAGTTCCACCGAGAGGAGCGGCGGGCAATATGCCTGGCTCGCCCACGCCGCCGCATCGAGGAGGTGGGCGGAAGGACCGGGCGAGCGTAGACGATAGCGTCGGCGTGAGTGGGCGCGGCCGAGGGGCGGCCAAGACGGCGGGGCGGAGCAACAAGTCTCGCTCGGGCCAGGCAGCGCGCGACGCGCAAGCAGGTCTGCCTCCGGCAGCATCGCCGTCGCATTCCAAGTCGGGCGGCGCAAAAACGAGCCTGCCGCCCCCGCCCTCGATGGCGGCAGGCATGGGCGGCGCGCCCGACGAACGCGACGTCAAGATGCATGCTAACGGCACCGCACACCAGAGACCGCCACAGCATGGTGGGGCCGAGCACAAGCCGGCGGGCAGCTTGGGTGCCAAGGCGCATGCGGCGCCAGCTGCGACACCCGTCGCGGACGCCGCGTCCATGGGCGTGGGCAATGCAAGGCTGTATCCGCCCAGCTCCGCGTCCTAGTCTATAGCACGAGCGTCGAGACCAATCGCAACATCAATTTGCATTCATCGTTAGATTGGGAAAGTGAGCTTGGTTGAGCGTGTGAGACGCGAGTGACTACCATCGAGGATTGTACAGAGGCCGTGTGCGGGCTACGATCAACACGGACGGTGCGAGGTTCACCACTCGGCTTCGTCCGGCGTAGAGCTGGTTGAGGGTTTGTGCGCGGCCCGGTCGCGGGGGAGAGATTACTAAGTCACTGCCAGGGTGGCTGGCGAGATTGGCTCAGCCGAAGGGGCTTTTCGGGGGTTTTTATCAGATTCCGAGCGGCTCGGGTCGCGGTCGGCGAATTTGACCGACGAGTCTGCACGGAGCTGCCCTTGTCTTGCTGTCTCACTTCTCGCCAACGATCACCACTATTGCCACATTCCTATGAAAGCGATGGAAAGGATGTCGTCGGAGCATGCATCGACGTCCTCTTTGGCTCAGGATGGCGGATCGGGAGGTCGCCATCTGACCATTCTGTACATGACGCAGACCGGCACTTCGCAGGATGTCGCACTTCGCATCGCACGGCAGGCCAAGCGCAAGCGCTACACGGTCGACGTGGCGGACGTGGCAGACTACGACGTGACCGACCTGGTCGACGAGTCGCTCGTGCTCTTCCTCGTATCGACGACGGGACAGGGAGAGTTCCCAACCACTGCACGCGCGTTTTGGAACTTCTTGCTGCGCAAAGGCATTCCGGAAGACATCCTGGCCGATGTGCACTTTGCCGCGTTCGGGCTGGGAGATACGACGTATACGCGGTTTTGCTGGCCAGTCAGACTGCTGAGTCGGAGGCTCAAGGCTCTCGGCGCGGTAGAGGTGACGCAGCACGGCGAAGGCGACGACATGCATTACCTCGGGCTCGAAGGGTCGCTCGCTCCGTGGCTCGAGCAGTTCTGGGACAAGATGGATGCGATGATGCCCATGCCAGATGGCGTTAAGGAGATTGGGCGGGACGAGCTGCTGCCTCCCGCCACCACGATCGAGAAGGTGGAGGGCATCGATGGGTTGAATGGCAGCAAGACCGACGGATTCCACCAGCAGCTGCGCGAGCAAGGCTGGATCGAGTCGACGCTCAAGAAGAACGATCGCATGACAGCCTCGGATCACTTTCAAGACGTCAGGCTGCTCGAGTTCCTGCCATCTCGAACCGCCTCGTCGAATGGCAATGGTGAACACCACGACTCGAATCATACCGACGAAGCTTCCGCCGTGGTCACGCCCAACACATTCCAACCGGGCGACGTGCTTTGCTTGCATCCGATCAACGATGCCGCCAGCGTCACAGAGATGCTGTCTCGCCTCGGCCTCGATGGAGATACCCGCGTGACGGTCTCAGGAGCGACAGTCCCACCCACCGTGGCGCAGTCTCCGCACAGCTTGACGGTGCGCGATCTGTTCACGCACCATCTCGACTTCACCGCGGTACCGACGCAGTCGTTCTTCGATCAGATCCGTCTCTTCTCTCCCGTGGGCTCGCTCGAGCGCGAGAAGCTGGACGAGTACTGCGGCATCTATCCTGCCGAGGCGCTGGCGAAAGGCGATGTGAACACGCAGGAGGGCATTGACGAGATGTTCGAATACGCGCAACGGCCGCGGCGCACGATCAAGGAGGTGCTGGACGAGTTCAAGTCGGTGCAGATTCCGCTCGAGTACGTGGGTGATGTGCTGCCGTGGATCAAGCCGCGCGAGTTTAGCATTGCGAGTCCGCCGCCCGCTGGTAGCGAGGCGGGTGCGATCGAGTTGAGCGTGGCGATTGTCAAGTACAAGACGCGGCTGCGAAAAGCCCGCACTGGACTGTGCACGCGCTGGCTCGCCCAGCTGCCCAAGGATGCGGAGGTGCCGATCTTGCTCAAGCGCGGATACCTCACACTGCCGCCGCGCCAAGCTCCGTTGATCCTCGTCGGCCCGGGCACCGGATGTGCGCCGCTGCGCTCGCTCGTTCTGGACCGCCTCGCGAGTGCAGACACGTCGGCCGAGATCCACCTCTTCCTCGGCTTCCGATACCGCACCAAGGACTACCTCTTCGGCGATGACTGGGAGGCGATCAAGCAGAAGCACGCGGATAGGCTCCATCTGCACACCGCCTTCAGCAGGGACGGCGACGACAAGATCTACGTGCAGGACCTCATCGCCAAGCCCGAGTATGGGCAGCTGCTCTGGACGGCCATCGTGCAGCGCAATGCGCACATCATCGTCGCCGGCGCGTCTGGAAAGATGCCAGAGCAGGTGCGCGGGGCGTTTGAATCGCTCGCCCAGCAGCATGGGGGTATGGACGATGATCAGGCTAAGCGGTTCCTCGACGCGCTCGAAAGGAATAGGCGCTGGCAGGAGGAGTGCTGGTCGTAGTCACGCGAACAGTGCTTCGGATCAGCCGCGCGCTCGACGCCTGGCGATCGATCGGATCAGCCGAACATCAGGTCGCGCTTCACACGAAGAGTTCGATTAGCCTGGTGATGGATCCGCTCACAGCCTGTCAGCACCCACACAGTGGGGCTCGAGCGTCGCTACAGAGGGATTCCTGGCGCCTGCTCGACTCGCATGCTGCGAGGATTGCTTCCGTGCCCGGACGGACGCGGCCAGCTCAATACGCATTTAAGCTCGCCGCTCGCCCGCTTGACAGACTCGGGTCCCACAAACCCGCAAATCCGCAACGCTATCCGCAATGTCTGCCGCTGCGGAGGTCCAAACCGCCGCACTTGGTGTCAATGCATCCACTCTCGAGACCACATCATCTCCTATCAGCCTCTTTGCATCGCCTGCGCTTCAAGAGGCGCCAAGCACCGACCACGGCCGCTCACACACATCGAGCTGCCCCAGGCTGTCGCTCGTGTCGACGGCCATCGTCAATCTAGGCGCAATGGCGTGCGGACCAGCGGACTACGAGGACGATGACGAGTTCGTGGACGAGCTCGCGCTCGACCTGAGTCGTAAGTGCAGTGTTGATGTTGCTGGCTAGCTGGAATCGCGCTGATCGGTGTGTGTTGTCATCGTTAGCTGGAGTTTGCGACAGACTCGAGGCGGAGAGCGTGCGCGACACCATGCAGGCCGTTGCACTTTCTCACGCCGAGGAAGATGGCGGAGGGGGCAACAAGCGGCCACGCTCTGTGACCTGCTTTGATGCGCTGGACGACAACGTCCCGGCGATCAAACGTACGAAGCCAGCGACGCAGGCCGAGCCGATCAAGCCGTTCTTCGAGGAGGCATGGGTGCAGCAGCTTTTGACCGGCCGTGATCGAGCGCCCGCGCCGTCGCCGCCCCAGGAGTCGCCTGCCGATGCTTCGGCTATCGATGCTGCCCCCGCCGATGCCATCCCTGCCGATGCCTCTCGCACCGACGACCATACTCAGCTCCCGGCCGCCACGCAGAAGGTGGCAGTGGTTCAGATGACACCAACCGAAGCCGTCGACTCGTCGCCCTCGACGAGCGAAGACGGCTTCTGTCTCGTGCGTGTGGCGCGCACGAGCTCGGACGCCGTGCCCAGCGACGAGGGCGACGAGGATGTGCCGCTCGCATTGCTCTCATCGGCCGCACGCACGAACAAGCCGGGCGAGCCCGAGCCCACGGCGGTGCTCACTGCTATCGCCAAGGTGCGCGACGCCGTCAGGGAGCTCCAGCGCGCGTACAGGCTCGAGACGCTGCGCGTGGCAGCGCACATCACCGAACAGCAGCTCGCGATCGACCAGCTGCGAGCCAAGCTTCGCACCCGAAAGCCGAAGAAGGTGGCCTAGACCACCACGCTCTCAGCAGCGCAATGCTATTGATTCTGTCTCGACGCGAGTGTGGGCTTGGATTGGGTAGTAACACGACGCGTTGTGCCAACCGCTCAGCGCGACAAAGGCTGACAAGCGCGGACAGAGGTGGGGACGGAATGTGAAGAGGTGCGCGTGACTTGTGTCTCACCGTGCTGTGGGATCTCGACATGCCCACTGTCCCAGCAAGCACGCTCGGTGGGGACTACTGTGGGGCTTTGGGGCTGCATGGTGGGCGCTCGAACCGCACCGAGCGCTGCCACAGCCCGCCGTGGCGTGGACAGCATGCCGATATGTGGCGCAGCTGTGCACTGTGCAGTGAGCCGGATCGACGCTGCCTCGTATTTGTCCGAAGCCGGCAGCAGCGTGGTGCGGGAGCGGGCAATTTTGGCAGCCTCGGCTTGACTCTACAGTCCTGGGGCCAGCCTGGCGCGTGCGCGATCCCAATTCCTGGCTGGAGAGTGGATCAACTCCGACGCAGACCGTAGCCGCCCCTCAGGCCTTTGCTGCTTGCATCACGCTTTCCACCTTCTGAACTCTCTCAATGCTGCCTACACTATTACAAGCTATGCAGTCTCGGATGCACTGTGGGCGATGAGATGGTGAACAGCGTTGGCAGGTAAATACGCACGGTAGGGCAAGGCGAACCTTTGCATCGATACCGGCCTGCCGCGTCAGACTGAGCAAAAATTCGCCGCCTTCTGGACAGCATTGTCATGCAGGATTTGCTCGATGTGCGTCTGGTGTGCATGGGCGGCTTCGACTCTGCGCGCGCTTCGCAAGCTTCCCGCGCGCCGGTCGAAGAAAGGAAGGTCGCCTCACAGACAGCACACATACACAACTGGAAATGATGTCGGCGGAAAGGTAGCAAGCCACCGACCGAGTGCATGACTTCGTTATCAGCCAGCCAGCTCTAACGCCACAACATGCACTTTGGTAATCTGTCGGATACTCGTATCGGTGTTGGTGGTGGCTGTGGAGTCCTTGCCAGCAGTCACAATGTTGCTCGAAGCGTTGCTCGGAAGAAAGAGGGGACCCCCTTCTCCCCCGCGCGCAGTCAGTCGGCCTGATAACCAGATCTGGAATTGCTTGAAATCGATCCACTTCCTGCGAATTGCATGCATGCTTTGCCGTGCCCACATCAAATGATGCTTCGTGGTCATGTAATGATCATATACTACCGTAGTCTTACCTCATACCAAAGCTGCTTGCTAGCATGCATGGGACTGAAGTGCCTGCGAGCCTCCCAACGAGCTCCAGAGCGACAAAGTACATGGGTGGGCGTTGTACGAACTCGGGGTTTTCGCGGAGCAGTTTCGGTGCAAACGGCACACACGGTCGCCCGTCTGACGCGCCAGGCGAGGCCGGGTTGGATCGGCGACGCCTCGTCGTCTCATGACAGGGTCGCGCAGCGCTCAGAGCCTCCTCCTCTCATCTCCAAGTGCACCTCGATTGGGGCTGAGCAGGCGATTTCTGAAATTTCGGCCAAAATGGCGAATTTCCAGCCATGGCTACGCACTTGTGAGCCGTGGGCCATTTGAGCACGGCTCAACCAACGGGCAAGCCCTCACGCCGCGCGTCAGCTCAAGCGCCCGCCCCGCCCGAAAAACCCTCAGCCCGGCTGAGCCCTCCGGGTCGCAGCAGCGTGGACAGAGCGCGGACGCCTCGAGTTCGAGCTCGACTTTTTCGTGCGTTGCGGGCGGCGGCTGCTCAGCGCATACAGACAGACAGAGAGCCAACCCGGCCCATCGCAGCCCTGCCCAGCCCTGCCCAGCCCAGAGAGCCCTCGCTTTCGCATATCGCTCGCTCGCCAAAAGCGGCGCGCTCCCATCGCCATCGAGCCAGTCGACTGGATCCGCCTTCGTGTCGTCCTCTCTCTCCTCCCTCCACCGACATCTCGACCATCGCCATCATCAGAGGTACCGGATCTCCAGTGACCAACTCCGCGGTCAGCCGATCCCTCCCCCGTCAGGCACCTTGAAACGCAGGTCGATTCTCGCTCCACCGACCGGCTCCCACTCAAGTGTGTCGACACACGCGCATCCAGCATCCAGCATCGCAGTCGCTGTCTGCGTTCGGACCTGCAAGATCTCAACGCAAGGACTTGGGCGCATAGGGACACCAGGCGCCCTTCTTTTAGGTGCTATATATCTGCGTAACCGAAGCTTGTAGTCGGTATTTTCCCAACAAGCTCGACCGCACAGATCATCGCCACTACCTTGCTGCGGACCCCTGTCACCATTGCGTAGGACCCATGTCCTTTAGGCGCAACTGAGAGGTACAGCGATCCCTATTCGCACAACCCCTCCGGACACTCTCTTCTGCTCGCTTTCCCCCCGCACGAGCCCATAGCCACATTCTACGCCAATCCTCCCTCTCGATAGATCCCTGCTCTCGTCCAAGATGCTGTCCACACCTCAGCCCTATCCCACCGTGGCCAACAACGCCCCCGCGCCCGACGATGCCCAGATCGAATCGCGCATGCCCACCGTCTGCGTCGACTATCTCAGTCACCAGTGGACCGACGAAGACGTCTGGAGCTCCTGGAAGGCCATGACAAAGCAAAAGAATCAGATCGCAAACGGCGTCAGGCTCGAAAACGCAAGTTGGCGCACCTGGGCAAAACAGCGCGGCAATCTCAAGACCATCAGCCCAGAGACTCTCAACTGGCTCAAGGACAGCGACGTCACCTGGCTCTACGGCCCTCTGCACGAGCATGTCGAGTCGGTCCCGCCTCCCAAGCAGGCCACCATGGCCGATCGCCTCGATCTCGATGACGGTCACCACGTGCGCTCCATCCTCAAGCATCGCACCATCTCCGACATGCTCACCACCCCAGGCAACGGAGGCTCCGCTTCGCCCAGCACCGAGCTTGCCACCAACCCCATCGACGACCACGTCCAAGAGCAGGACCGCAAAGCCGAGGAGGCCAAACGCAAGGCGCTCTTTTCCGTAAAGTCCGACTCCAACCTCGTCGGCAAGTCGCCCAAGCGCACCGGCAGCTCGCCCGGCGCCATGCCCCTCGTCTCGGCACAGAAGAAAAAGTCGCCCAGCATCGGACGCGCAGACAGCGCCGGCTCGGACGAGAAGCGTCACATCAGCTTCAACCATCGCGTCGAGCAGTGCATCGCTCTGGATCACCGATATCCGGACTACGACGAGTACGACGAGGACGAGCTCGAGGAAGAGGAGGACGACGTCAGCAGCGAGGAAGAGGAGGTCTTGACCATGAAGTCCAGCCCCAGAACCTCGCCCGCCATCTCTCACGCCTCCTCCTCCTCAAAGCACCTCGAGCACCAGGCCACCATCGCCAAGCTCGCCCCCACCCGTCTCAAGACCTCGGAAGTGTTGCCAGCGCCCTCCCCAGCCGTAGTCGACCCGACGGGCTTCCTCGCCACGCGCTCCAACAACGGCAGCACCGTCTCCACCTACGCCGCTCAGTACGGATACGCGCGTGCTGGCGTTCCCTCCAGCCACGGCGACCCGACGGCGCGCGGTGTGCAGTGGGATCTCGACGACGAGTTCACCGGCGACTTTGACTACTTTGACGGCCCAGACATGGCCGACGGCGAGCACGACAACTCCAACGGGCCGGTTTTTAACACTGGCGACGCTGCGAGCAGCCCTGACGCTTCCCGACCCTACGGGAGCTTTTTTGACCACAGCGAGTCAGACAGGACTGATGGATCCTCATCATCCACGTCGCCTCAAGATTTAGCAACCGCGGCACCGGAGCCATCGCAGACCAGTGCCGCCCCGCGCGGCATCCTCAAGCACCGCATCGTGCATCAGACCGCCGCAGAAGACTACGACTCGCGCAGTCTCGAGGCCGAGGGCGACTACGACGTCCTCGGCACTTCGCATCAGGATGCCTCGTCCTTTCAGGACTCGTACGATGCATCGCGCAGCGGCGACGACCGCGAAAGGGGCCGCCCGTCGCAACGCCTCGGGAGTTCGGCCAGCTACGAGCGCATCCAGGACGCCGCCAGGCAGGGCCGCGGACGCACCAACAGCGGCAACTCGTCCGGCCACTCTCCCACCAACTCGATCGCCAACGGCAGCTACGACCGCTACGCCGCCTCCACCAGCCCTTCGTCCGCCTCGCCCGTCAATGCGAGAGGCGCCGCGCGGGGCGAGTCCTTTCGGACCGGCAAGGACGCCAATCGAGATGGAGCTGATGGCCTTCGAGCTGGAGATGCAGCAGCGCACGGAGGAAAGGCGCGTCCGGTCGCGAATCGGGCCTTGAACGAGTACGACTCGGACGGCCAGGGATCGTACGGCCTGGCGAGCCCCAACTTTCCCGCCAGCCCGCACCTAGACGCAAAGGATGACGGCGGGTCCAACCGATCGTCCCAGGATCGCGACGGCGACCGCTACATGTACGGCGAGGACCGCACATACTGGTCGGACGACCGCAAGGGGTCGAAAGCAGCATCGCGCGCCAAGTCGGCTTCGCCCAGTGCAGCGGCCACCGAGCTGAGCGTGGATGTCGAGAACATTCCGAGCAATGCGCCGCCGGCGTCCAAAAAAACCAACGTCGTCAGCCCCGACGGCCCCGTAGAGGTGGGACCGACGCCGCTCAACACGCCGACGTTCATCCTGGCGCGCGCGAGCGGCAAGCGGCGCTCGGGTTCCGGCAGTGGCGCCGACATCACGGGCGGTGGACCGTCGAGTCCGACGCTGCCGCGCCGCACGAGCGCCACGGGCGCGCTGGTGGCGCCGCACAACTCGGAGCCGCGCGTACCTCTCGCGCACGACTACGTCGAGGAAGACGAAGGCGGCATCATCGGCCGCGCGGTCGAGATCGTCAACACCGCACGCGATCTCATCGGCGCGCTGCTCGGCACCGGCGACCGGGGCCGCTCCTGGCGCGAAGCCTGATCGCACACCAATTCTCCGCACCTTTTCCCAATCTTCTGTATTCTCTTCTCTCTCATCCTGCCCTTATGTTCGCCTCACACCGGCCGTAGTCCTTATTGTACCCGCATCCGCGCTGATACTCATACTTGCACGCTGCTTTGCACGACGACAGTCCGAATTCGCATTGCGTGCGTTGCGTCCAAACGAGACCTAGCGGCGGGGATCAGGATGTGAGCGGGTTGGGCTCGAGCGGGGGTGGGTTGTGGAGGAGGGCGAGGATGGTGGCGCGGAAGGTTTGGAGCCAGAATTCGAGGATGTTTTGGGGCTGACCGGGGGATGGGGTGGGGTAGAGCCATTCGGCGTAAGACAGTTGGAGGGTGGTTTGGGAGCGGAAGGAGAAGACGTGGAGGATGGGTTGGCGGATGGCGACGCGGCCGATGATGCGCAGACTATGTACCTCTAGCGAGTCGCTAGCGGTGATGGGGTGGTTTGGGAGGAAGAAGGGATCGACACGACCTACGGAGCTGAGCCAGGGCATGGAAGGGTAGTGTGCATCGCTGCGTAGGAGGAGGTATTCGGTATGCATGGTGCTTAGCATGAGCACCTTGTCGTATCGCAGCCAGTTGGCGTTGTTTCTTCCCTCGGCATACTGCCCCGCGAGCTCGTGGGTGAGCGAAAGGAGCTGCGCAAGATCAGCTTGGGTGATGKKGGGCAGCGGATCGCGCGGATCGGTGSCGGATGGCGTGGTGCATTGTTCGGCTTGCGGTRTCMAGGTTGCGTGCGCAACCGCCACTTTGGTAGGGAACCCGCTCATGCACAGCCCCAGATACGAGCGGTACTCTGGCTTGAGTGTATCGCGCTTGCTGATGGCGTTGGAAAAGCTGCCCAAGATACGATCCGGCTCATCGTATCCCCTGTTGCTCTTGGGTTTGGCGACGAGACCGCGGTGTTTGCGCGTCCAGGTGGTAGCCATGTGTCCACACGCTTCGAGGAAGGGCGCCAGCGTCAATCCGCGCGCCTTGAGCACTGCCAGCAGCTGCCGAGTCTGGTCTCCATCCAGCGTATCGGTGAGAATCGCCGTGTGGGTGCGCTGACCCTCGAACGGCTTGCCCGTCTGCGGCAGCAGTCCGAGTGGCAACATGTCGCCCTTCTCCGCCACCGCTCGACACACCTTCACCAGCGGAGGCGCCACCGCCTTGGTGCGCAGCGAGTTTCGGCTCTGGTGACTGCGCAGCGTGAGGCCGACGAACTTGCCGGCAATCTTGTCGACCGCCGTTGGGGGAGTGGCTTTGCCGTTCATGCGCTCTTGGTTGACGCGTTCGACCTGCTTGAGCTCCGTGGGGGAAACGTCCCACGACGGCGGCGGATGCTCAATCGCATCTTGGAGCGCCGGCTCTAGACGCGCCACTTCTTCGCCCCACGCAAGTGCCTGCGGGCTGGAATCGGCAAGCACTCCAGCGATCGAGGCGAGCAGGTGGTTGAAGACGAGCAGAGTGCCGATTCCTTCGGACACCGAATGGCACTGTTCCACCAACAGCCGTGCGTCGATGCCGGCGCTTTCGTCGCACGGCCAAAAGTGGATGCGCAGCCGGTCGCGACCAGGCACACCGTCCTTGGTTGCCTCGGCAATGAACGCCGCATACTCGGCGCCATCCTCCTGTCTCTCTTCGTTGTGGACGACGACCACCTGATCAAGCCATCGCTCGACATCCTCGTCGCTCTGCACGCCATCGTACACCAGCGCCACCTGCAGATCCACGTGCTTCTCGATAAACGCCGGCAGCTCCAGCTTGGCGATCCCAAACTCGGTCCTCCTTGCAAGACGCAGCGCGATGGTCGGATGATCAAATCGCAACCTCCTCACCGCCTCCCTCAGCTCCCGCACCCCCAACTGGCACGGCCCCGTGCCGCGCCGCACGAGACACGTGCCAAACATGTCGCCGTGTTGGTGGAAGCGGTTCTGCCAGTGCAGGATAAAGTTCGCCATGCTGTCCACGTTGCGCCACCACACATGGCCGCTCTCATGACGCAGCAGATGCCATCTGTACTCGGAGTTCGACTCCGGTGGCGAAGCGGCCATCTTGTGGGTCTCGTCCACTTCGTCGGCGGGAGAGGGCAGGATCGAGGTAGCTGCCGACGAGACAGCATCGACGTTGACCGCAGACGCACCAGATACGCTGCGCGCGCTGGAGCGCAACGAGCTCATGCTCTTGGCTGCAAGCCGGAACGCATCACCCACTCGAAGACCTCCTTTGCGTCCGTCGGCGCTCGTGCTTGGCTGGGCTGAGAGGTACGACATCCTGATCGTTGGTGGGAGGTCGCGCAGATGATGGAGCTCAAGGAAGATTCATTGGGACAGGCGGCGAGCCTCCGCTTCAATCCCGCAGCCAGCATCCTCCGAAGTGACTTGCATTTGCAGGCTGGCGAATGTGTGCAGGCGAATGGGTCGCCTGGCACGCAGGGAGGGGCAACCGACATGCTGGCGTGCGATTCGCCAGAGTGCGCGGAGAGCGGCATGCTCAAATTGACAGGCAGCCGACATTCCCAGCTGCAGGGGCGCGAGCCACGCGTCAGCTCCAACTCCGCCGACTCCTCCATCATTTCGATCTAACAGTTTTGTGCAAAAATCCCAACCCGTCAAGTGCTCCCTCTGACGTTGACCCGGTCACACCCACAGCAGACAAGGATGTATGGAATGACGACATGCTGAGCAGAAGCAGGCTACTAAAAGTACAAAGAATGGCCATCGGCCGATTGTCCATGCACGAACTTGTCGTGCGCTAAAAGTCACCTTCATTGAGGTGGGTTGGTGGGGAGTGCACGTGGCTGCTCGTCCCTCCTCTGCTGGCCGCCACTGCACGGCCATCCCGACGGATTCCAGTTGCCCAAGTTGTACTGGTCGGACGGATACTCGCAGCCGGCAATGCGGGTGTAGAAGGGCGTGGAATCGTCCGAGTTGTACCATGCCCCAATCGTCGGGCTCGGAGTCGGGTCACCTGACACGGTTGCGGTGACCGAGATGGTGGGTGTCGGAACGGGCGTGATCGACATGGTCGGCGTATAGCTCGGCAGCTGCGAGACTGGCCTATTCGCCGAAACGAGCGACTGTGGTGGCCAGGGATACGCCGCCGTGTTGGGAGAGTAGCTCGATGCACGACCCGTCTGCCAGTTCTGGAAGGCGCTGCCCCACGTCGCACTCGGCACGCTGGTGCCCAATCTTGATGCCTGCGCCGCACACGCGCCACTCGACTCCGCCAGTGGATTTGTCGGCATCCATCCCTGCTGCAGTCCGAGCGAATACGACCACATCGGCGATGTCGGCTTGCCCGTCCTCAGGCTGTTTCCGGTCTTCCAGGTCCAGAAGAAGAAGTCGCGCAGCGAGCCCATCGACGTGAGCGCGAATCGGCGCAATCCCCGCTTCATCTCGTCCGAGTAATTTTCCCAGTCGTCGAACGGCTGGCACGATCCGACGTAGGGGAAGTCGCCAGGCGTGGGCCCTGTATAAGAGCCGTCGTACCGATGTCCGTCGCGGACGCCGTTGAGGAAGAGGCCGCAGTCGTTGATGGCCAAAGACATCTCGCCGCCCATGGAGACGCCCATGTTGGAGCGCGCATTGTCGAGCAGGCCCGTGAACTGCTGGCACGGCTTGAGGATCTGCACGTCCCAAGGGTCGTTATTTTGCTGGCCGAAGCAAAGATACGGATGCGTGTCCCAGGCGACACGGTCACCGCCACCCAGGAAGCCCGACCACGAGCTGAGCGGAAGGAAGCCATCGTGAATGGTCATGTACGGCCCGTTACCCGCTCCAGTGCCAGCGATGCTGCGCAGAATCGAGTAGACCTCCGAGTACCAAGACTGCAGCGCGGGCTGCCCGATCGAGATGGCATAGGGCTCGTTGATTACGCTGAACATGGGCACGACGTTGCGGATCTCGGGCTGACTGATGAACTGTGCGATCTGTCGGATGTAGTCCAAGGTGCGCTGGCCGTTGGCCTTGCCCATCAAGCCCTGCAAATAGTTGATGAAGCCTACACGGCCCGAGTGGTTGTAGGCGTTCTGCGAACCGGGCACGGCGTGCAAGTCGAGGTTGATGCGAAGGCCGTACTTGCGTGCCCACTGGATCGCCTTGAGCACATAGTTCCACGCGACGCCTTCCAAGAACGGCTCGTTCGAGTACGTTTCCAAGGCCCAGAAGCCGATGGGCAGGCGCACCCAGTTGAGGCCGGCCGCAGCAATGTTGGCAAAGTCCTGCTCGGTGATGAAGGTCTCGTAGTGCTCCGTCATCTTGGCGCGCAGGTTGTCGGCGCCGCCTTCGGACAAGTAGCGTTGCGAGAGGGTGAACTCGTCCACTGCCGGGCTGGACGTGTTTTCGTACGGCTCGTAGAGCGCGGGTACGATAAAAGGCTCGGTGACGAGCCATCCGCCGAGGTTGACGCCGAGGATTCTGTTGCGCGCAAAGTCGAACTCTTGGTCGAGCGGAGGCGTATAGTTCTGAGCCTGTGCCGAGTTGTTGAGTGGCTGGGAAGCCCAGCGACCGCCAAAGTTGTTGATGTAGGTGAAGTTGTTGCCGTTGCCAAGGTCGATGACCGAGCCATTGACACCCCACGTCGCCACGACCTTTTCGGGTGCGGGAGTTGGGTTGGCCCCGTTTCCGGCACTAGCCCCGGCGCCAGAGCTTGAGTTCGAGCCACTGGTATTCGCCTGACGATCGCTAGACTTGTCCTTGAGTAGTACTTGAGTGATCGGCACCACGACGGCGATGACGCAGATGGCAATCACGGCAGCCACAGCGAGGACGATGCACCACTTCTTCCTAGCTGACATGCGCTGATCTTTGCCCCGCCCATACTTGGCGAGGCCGACGGCTCGATAGTCCTTTGGTCCTTTGGCACCAGCCTCGCCTTGGTGGAGGCCCTGGAATGCAGCGTTGCCTGTTGGTGGTGAGTGCGGATCGTAAGCACCAGCGCGGTATTGCTCGATCTTTTCGAGATCCCTGGCTTGGCTGCCGCGCCTGTCATAGTGGCTACTGGCTCCGTCGTCGGCAAAGTCTCTGAAGCTGCTGGGAGTGCCGCTCTGTCTCCAAAGCTGATAGACCGAGTCGTAGTCGCTGCGAGAGCGCACCGAGAGCATGTGCGAGCTTGCCAGAGACGTGGGGCGGGAGTCTGAGCGAGCGAAGGGAGGCGTGAAGGGACGCTCTTGCATGGGTGTGGGATGGCCGTGAGATAGAGCCGGGTCAAATTGGTAGGCGGCTGCTGCCGAAAGGAAGCGACCTCCAGAGTCTGGCTCGAGGCCTTCGTCAAAGGCAGAGTAGCGAGAGTTGCTCCGAGACCATTTTGGCGATGCGAGGCGTTGAAGGGAGGCGTCGGTGGCATCTGGATCGGTTGCGAAGGATGTGTTGACGAGCAAAGGCTCTTCGACTGCCACGGAAGGGGGTGACGCTGGGAGCTCGTAGGACTCGCCCGCAGTCGAGTCTCGTTGCCGCCGACCAGACATGCTGAAAGAAGGAACCTCTTGGTTTGGTGGCACGAGGGAGTGTCCGTCTGGTGCCAAGCGATGGGATCGTGCTCGCCGACGACGGCGACTGTTTAGACAGAGCGAGGTTGGAGCCGAACAGCGGAAGAGGCGGGATGGTGGAGGCGAGAGAGGGAGGATGGTGGAGGGGGGGTCAGGGGACCGAAGTGGAGCGACGGGATCCAGGCTTTAGAAAGCCGATATACAGTAGCGGGGTCAGTAGTTTGACCTCACAAACTCAGGACAGCACTCAGGGACATCTTTCTGCCGGACCGGAAAGGTATGAGGAGCTGCCAAATCACTCGAGCCAGGCCCGAGGGCAGCGGTACATCGACGGGGACTCATCCTGCTCTTTTCGACGTCGGATCTCGCGGTCTGAGGCGAGAGAAAGAGAGAGAGAGGCGGCTGTATAGGATTGGCTTGGCTTGGCGCGGCAAGGACTTGTGTTCGGCTCTGGGCCGTCGTCGGAAGGCCATCGAGAAGTGTCGTAAGCGAAGCCGAGTGGCCGTGGCTCGTTGATTTTGGGCTCGATTTCTGCTCGATTGGTTTCAGGGCCCTGTACCGAAAAAAGGCCCCGAATGCATGCCGTCTTGGCTGCACTCCACAGCCACGCGGGGTGCATCCACAATAAGAAAAACAATGATAAAATTATAAATGAAAGATCGGAGGCCCTCCGACAGGCCGTTTGTTCAGTCTACAGCGGGACTGCTGTGTTTGGACATGCTGTTTGTCATGGAGTGGGAGTCCACAGCCTGTCGCGCAGCCTTTCCAGGCTCGACAGGCCGCACTCAGGGTCGTGGGAAATCGACAGGGGCTGTGGTCAGAGAGACCGATGCTGCGATGCTGTTTGGCGCCCTCTTGGCGCGCTCCGATGGAAGCACGTCGCGGAGGTCCAATCTCGCCTGCACGGGTTCGCCCCGACACAGCCAAACAGTCGTGCGGGCTCGCCATCCAATCTGATTTTTCCCTCTTTTTTTTCTTTTTCTCGGAATCTCGCCGCGCCTGCCCTGATGACGGCTTGCTGCAGGCTGTCCTGCAGATGTCACCGCTTCCAAGTCGGCAAGTCGGCAGGTCGGCAGCGCCAGCCAACCGAAGAACAAAAGCCACCTGACTTGTGCACGGGAGGGCGCGCCGAGCCAAAAACCTGCGCGCTGCCACCTCGGCCTCAGACCCGTCCCACTCCGCGCCTCTGCACTCCCTGCGTTGCTCAAACTAACGCCAAGACATGAGGCGGATCGCCCAGCTCGCAAGCTCGTAAGGGTCCTTGTCTCACAGCCCTTGCCATTGTTCATCAGCTTGCTTGTACGCCCCTCCAAAGGGCTGGCAATACATTCCGCATTGTTGGGCACCGACCGTTCCACACGCAGTCACAGATCCGCATCCATACGGCTCCCAACGCATCAGTATTGCTTGCCTCGATGCAAAGTCAACCCCACATGTTGCGCCAAGACTAACAACGCGCGAGGCCTCGCGTACTCGCGTTTGCGTTCTTGGCTCATTGTCGCCAAGCCGTGCCCTGCTCTGCCGTGCCCTGCTTCCATGCACGTTGCAAACGCGCCGTCCGCATCGGGAGACGCGCCTCAGTCCAAGCGACGCAGGAACCAGCCTCGTGCTCCCACCCGATCTCGCTCCCTGTTCTCAGAACAAAGGCCGGCTGGCAACCCACACGTCGCTTCCCCGCGCTGTTACGACGATCCGATCATTGCATTGCTACGAAGCTTTAGTCGGCTGGCATTGCGTGCCTTTCAATGCGCGAGGACGTCGACCGAAGCCGTCTCGATCTTTTGCAGCAGCCTGCTGCGTTTGGGTGTATCTGCAAACAGCGCCTTGACCAGTCCCGCAAGCTCCTTGCGGCTGTAGTCTACGAGCGCGCCCGCCTCAAAGGCGAGAAACTCGATGTCGACCAGCGAGCCCGTGAGGATCTCGATGAGGTACGACGTCTTGAACCAGCTCGGCACCCACAACGGCGCAGAGCTCTGTTGCTCGCCCTCGGCCGCAAACACGCTCTCGAGGCTGCCGAGCGTCTTGACCAGCGAGGCAATCTTCTCCGACTCGCTCTCGCCAATGTCCTCCAAGTCGAGCACGTCATGCAGCACCTTTTGAAACACCAGATCCACCAGTCGTCCCATAGCTGCGTGGTACCGCGACGCCACCAGCACACCACGCCAAGCCTTGGCAAGCTGCTGCAGCGTCTGCACCACCTGCTTGATGCACCGCTCGCAACGCGCGAATCGGTGCTCGTCGAACGTCCGTGCAAACCCATCCGCCTCCACGATCGTGTCGAGCAGAATCTTGGTCTGCGTCGTCATCTGCGCCTCGAACCATCGCTGCCCAAGTGCGCGCGTCAAAGCCGCTTCCTGCTCCAGCTTGACCATCTCCTTGGTGCTCCATCGCTTGGCGCCTTCCGCATCCCGTTGGGCCCATGCCGCCGAGATTGCTTGGCCCTTTTCTTCCACGAGTCGAGCGAGCTCCCGCGCCAGATACTCGGAATCGTTGAAGAACTGCATTGCCAGCGCAGGCACGTCCCGAAGCACCTCGCCGTGCGCAACCGGCATCAGCGCCCGATGCAGCTCAAAGATCTTGTAGATGGTGCCAGCCAGCGCCTCAGCATCGTCGACGTTGCCGCCATTGGAGTCGCTGCCTCGCAGCAGACCGATGACCGTGGCCATGGTAGACTCGGCCAAATTGACAAGGTCTTGCGATCTCTTGCTGATGACGCACGCTTCCTTCTTGATCGGTTCCTTTTGAGCGGTCTGCTGGCCAAGCGCCGCTGACTTTAACTCGTCCACGGGCTGCGCATCGAGCTCTCGACGACCCGAGCCCGACCGCTCGATGCTGGGGCCCGCTGAACGGACAGCAATCGCTGGGCTTGGTGTGTCCGAAGCCTGCGGCTCAGGCAAGCCCGTAGATTCGGCATCCGAAAAGTCTTCGCCCCATGGCGATGGCGATGGAGGTCTCGCGGGCTCTTCAGGCGTTTCCGAGGGGGCAGCGAAGCTGTCCTTGACAGGAGCGACTCGTCCCGGATCTTCTTCGGTGGAGAGAGGCGTCGTTTGCTTGATCTCACTTGGCAAATCAACGCCGAGTGATCCAACAGCCGCAAGCTTTGATGGAGCCTCCTTCACTGGAGAAATGGCAGTGATCCGTTCGACTTGGTCTGCCTCGGAAGCGCTGGAGCCCTCCTCGAATCCCCACGCATCTGGTTCCGGCTCCTGTTCTGCAGTGTCGCCCGCTTTCGTCGACGCTTGCGCAGCGGAGTGCTGCAGCTTTGTGGGCCCTGAGGCCGCGGAGGACGTAGATGGTCGCGGAGGTGGCAGTGCGAGGCTGTCAGACGTTCCGCTGTTGAGTTGGACAGGAGCTTGCAGAGGGGATTCTCTGCGATCATTGCTGACCAGCTGTGGTTGCTCCTCTGCTTCCCAGGGATCGTCCTCGGCGTCGTCATCGTCCTCGAGCCCCCACGCGTCAGGCGCTGTAGTGACAGGCGGAGTGTCTGCCTTCGAAGGCTCACGAGGTGCAACGTCCTGATTCGAAGTATCTTCGTCCGAGGACTTTGCAACCGCGTTGCCCCTGTGAGGAGTCCCAGAGCTTTTTGCAGGGTTGGTCGTCGCCATGCTGTCGACCTCGACATCCTTGAGTGAGGCATCAATGAGCGCTGCTGATGGGGCTGGTGGGTTTTCGCCATCCTCAACATCCATGTCATCTTCAAGACCCCATGCATCGGTAGCTGGCGTGTAGGGAGGTGCCACATCGCTGTGGCCATTGTGATCCTTCAACGGCGTGCCAGGGATCATGTCGGAAGGTTTCGGCGCCTCCGACTGATGGGTCGGTGCCGCACTCTGAAGGACGGCAGCCTGAGGTGAAGAATCGACGACGGTTGCTGGGACTTTCGGGGGATCAGCAACCGCCACAGCCGCAGCCTGAGGATGCTTCATATCTGCGTCGACGACATCATCATCGTCATCGAGGTCCCAAGCTTCAGCTTCATCGTGATGATCATGGCCATCGGCAACTTCGTCTTCGCCGAGCCCCCAGGCGTCAACTTCGGCGCCTGAAGCAGCTGCTGGCGTTTCGAGCTCTTGAATCGCGAAAGCGCTTCGCTGCGACGAGCTCGAGCTCATACTTGCTCGCATCCTGACCGAGCTGCTGGGTGAAGAATGCCAATCGTCGCGAGCCAGGGCTGCCACACTTTGATGGGGGTATTGGTTGACCGACTGATTCGACGTAGGCTGTCCCGCAGAATGAATGCTTTCGTCAAGAGCAGGGGCCGACTCCAGCTCTTCGTGATCGTCGTCGTCCAGTCCCCATCCGTCCTCTTCCAGCGCTGCATCCTCGGCATTGAAAGGTCCGCTGCCGAGTTGGTCTTGTGGACGGATAAGACGTGCGCCAAGCTTCGGTTTGTGCCTGCTGCGGGCCCCGGCCGCTGCTGCTGATGATGACGAGGAGGAATTGCGCGTCAAAGACGTGCCTTCTTGCGTGAGGTCTTCCCGAGATAGAAGACCACGGTGAACGTCGGAAGACGATCGTTGAGATCCTGCAGCAGGCTGCACGGCAGGTTGCGCAGGAGGTGTTGCCGTGGTCTGAGCGCCGGGGGGAAGTGCGGGTGCGTCCAGCTCGATTTGAACTTCCTTCCAGCCAGCATCAGGTCCACCCGCAACAATCAGGGCTCGAGCCGCCTCAAGAACTTTCAATGCGGGCGAAAGAGCCTGCTCGGACTGTAGCGCTTCCTTTGCGTTCGCAGCACCTTGCGTTGCGACTGCCGAGTCGCTTGGAGCTGGCTGTGGCGACTGTGGTGTAGCATTGGAGGCTCGAGTGGACGCTGCGGTCGTCTCTGTGCTGAGCGTTTGGAGACGTTCAAAGCGCTTCTCGAGCTCGACGATCGCCGGCATAGTTTTGAGGGCTGGCCGAGAACGGAATGGCTCCATGACCTGAGCGACCATTGGGAGCTCGCTTCGCAAGGCCGCCAGATCGGACTGGGTTTGCAGCTTTTCGAGGCGCTCGAGCAGCCTCGTGGAGGCAAGCAAGTCTGAGAGGACCGAGAGCAGAAGCGCCTGTTTGGAGCTCTGTGCGAGGGCATCATGATACTCGATCGCCTTTGGAGCCACTTGAGGACCGACAGTCACAAGGCGAGAGCTTGTCTGGTTGATGGAAAGCCACAGTCGGTCGAGGTCGTGATCGACCGCGCGCGTCGAGGCAGCCCTTGCACGCAGCTCTGCAGCATGAGCTGTCACTTCCCTCTCCGCTTGGCCTTCCAAGGCGTCGATCTGAGCATCGATGAGAGAAACCTTGGCCGAGATGGGCAGTGCAGGGGCCGAGCCGGGTGCCGAAGAGGACGTGCCGGGCTCGAATGCGACGGTAGATTCGGCGGAGATCGAAGCGAGGAATGTCGCTGCAGAGAGCGAAGAATCCTGTGATGCCGGTCCAGAGCTCATCTTGCTACAATGGAATTGGTGTAGCAGAGCAATCGAGCGATTTCATCACCATGTCACGATGGCCAGCGCTGAAATGTACAGTCCTCGGGAGACGGAATCCAGTCGAAAGCCGGTCAGTTTGAGCTGCTAGACCTGGCGTTGGTGATGGAAGACAGCACACGAGCCTCTACCGCGTGACTCGTCCGGAACTTCCTCTCGCCGGGGGAATGCTGGCCGAAGACGAGGACTGAGCAGTGCTTCGCCGGCTATCGATTGTCCGTACTTCGAAGCAGAAGCCTGAGTCGAAGCCGGGAATGACGTCTGGAAGGTGTTCGGGATCGGTCGGTGATGTGGAAGGAAAGCTTGAGAGCAACACCTGACGTGACCAGCAAGCAAGCTCTCCGCACAACGCTCGAAATCACGGGTTGCGGAAGTCGCGTTGGAGCTTCGAGGCTCGCCCATCGCAGCCAGCTGTGCCGCGATTTTTTGAGAAATCACACCGCCTGACCTTGCTTGCGTGGAAGTGGGGCTGGGTGGCTGGCCTGAGCGCGGGCGGCACTTCATATTCCGCCAACGGCTCAATTTACCCATCCCACGCTTCGAGCCAAAGCCTATGCCATGAGCCAGAGTCAAGCTCTGCCTTCCCACAGGCGACTTCATGCTTCAGAGCAGCACCGTGAGAGCTTCGCTCTGCAGTCCACGCGAGTCTTCCGAGCCCGCCTGTTATGCATATTTCAGCTCGGACAGGACCGTCAAATCTGGCAGGTGGGTCGTTGCTCTCTGAGTTTTGAGCTCGTGTGCGTGCTTCGTTGGCTCGCCATGGGATGCTCAAGACGGGCTCGGCATTTCATAGAGGCGGACAAACTCGCCCATCGCATTCAGAGAGAAGCATGAAGCACACATGTGGATACAGAACGGCATCGTAGTTGCCTCCTGCCCATGCCCTCTCGGTCGGCCTCCGCGGCTTTTCCGTCCACCGACTCGCTATGCAGGGCGAGCCAAGGTGGTCAGTGCCGTGAATAAAGTTGAGATCACATCGGCTTTGAGTTCTGTCACTTAGTCTTTCTAAGCAGAGATGACAGGTGCCGGATGTTGCGGTGGCCCGGGCTCACTCGAGCTAAAGTTTTGTTGCCGCGTCGCCGCTTTCCGTCCTCATGCAAGCAATGTTGTTTGAGCTCAAAAGGCCCATGCGATCGCTTCGGCAGCCATCCGACGAGCAAGCAAGCGCATGAGCATGGCGAGCCAAGAGCTGCGCTTGTGTTTCTTCTCGACCTAGAGTGTGCTTGGCTTCGGCATCCAAGCTGCTACCCCTCGTTTGTTGGGAAACTTAGGTCGGCAAAGCCTACTATGCTAGCTCATCCGCGCCCATCAACATCGGCTCGGTGCTGGGCCTGCAGGAAGAAACAAAGTTCTCGAGCATGAAGCCAAGCGTCTCGCCGAAATTGAGTCGGCACGCTGCCGTCCCTGTAGGGCCGGTAACACTCTGAAGCAAGCATCGTCATGCGTCAATCCCTCCTGATTGGATGCGATTCTTGAATTCCTGAAGTGGTCGGCGGATCTAGGTTCGCAAAGTACGATCGCTCAAGCTTGATCGGCCATCATCGGTCAGGTCAAGCCTTCTCCGAACGGAGGACGTGTCTCGATCTAATCAACCTCTTACAGCATGGCGATTCGGGCACCGTTCTGCCCATGCTCCTCGGTCAGGCGTGCCTTCCCAGCTGGCAACGTTCGCCTCGGCATTTCCGCTTGCACGGCAACATTCCATTCCCAAACCCGAAGTATCGACAGCAGGATCCAGTCCCAGGGCAGCAAAAACCGACTTAAAAGGGCTCTGCTTGTCTATGAGTCCAAAGGTCCGAACACTCCTTCTGACGAGACCTTCACGACTTCCTCTCAAAAGACCGCAGCCTCCTTGCCTGAACTTGGGCAGAGTCTCGCATTCTTTCCTCGCTGAAGTCCTTTGATCGGTCGCCATGGTCCGACTGGACACCCCAGATCTGCTCTCGCAGATGTCTTCACTTTCTCAGCCAGATTCGAGCCAGCAAGGCAACGCGGGCGTCTCCCAGTGCGATGTGCAACAGACTCTCTCTGCCACCATCAACTACAATTCCTGGCAGCCCAGCGGGCAGGTTCCAACTTCGACGTCTATGGATGCCGTCGAAGATTCTTTTGCGTCGTTTCAGCCGTCTATCCGTGTTCAGAACATGTCGTATCCTGCGAACGGCCACTTTCAGCCTCATCTCGCTGGTGATCTGTCTTCGCAGACCTCTAGCGCATCCATCTTGAACGATGTTCTCTCCAGAGAGTCCATCTCCGATGCACCCACCCGCCGCGAGAGCCAAGGCAGTCAAGTGACGCAGGCAAAGAGGCAGAGCATGGCACGCGTCGCAAATGCACCTTCTACCGTGCAATCTGCGCCTGCACGCAACGGCACGGACGTGTCGGCAATCGCGAGTTCGACTGAAGCCGTCCACGGGGCTGGCTGGAGACCGGGCCAAGGAAATCCGCTCAAGAACATCGAAGCTGCTATTCAAAGCTTCTGGCTGGTCTCGGAGAACAGGATGCAACAGATGCACGAAGAGCTTCGCTCAGTGTCAGTTCTCGTCAACTCCTCTCACTTCGGGCAGGAGCAGACCCGCCGGCATGTCGCGGAGATCCTGGCGCTTCAGGTACAGATCACTGAGAAGACAGTCCGGGCCGCCGACGAGAGGAAGTTCATCTTTGGTCGCATCAAGACGCTCGAAGAGAAGATGACCACACAGCATACTCAGGTCCAGGAGGCGCTTGACCTAATGCGGAAAGAGCTCAAGGAGGGCTTGGAATCGATCGTCGAGCTGACCCAGAAGGGACGTAAGCCGCCGGCGGCCAAGAGTGCAGGCAATGGAGCAGCGGCCAAGAACGGCAAGGCAGGCAGCCCCACGAGCAAGAAGACCGCTACGAGTGCAACCAATGCCAAGAAGCGCAAGCAATCGTCCGTCGAAGGGATCGAGAATGTCTGCACCCCAAGCGCTGACGTGGGCCAGCCTTCGACGCTGCGATGATCTCCTCCGCAGAGGCCGGACAGCGCCTTCTCTGATTCACGAATCCAATTTCAGGCGCAGGAAGCATCGTTCGCGCGCTTGCAGGCGCAGCCACAGACCTATTCGCAGTCGGCGCCGCCGGCCCGCGTTCAGTCGCATCGGCAGGTGGGTGGATCGATCGAGATGGGCCTCTGCTCGTAAGGGGCACGGACTTTGCCGTTCGGGGCCAGAACGAACGCTGCTGAGTAGCGAGCATCAATGAGTTTGTCAATGGACGATGCGATCGATGGTCAACATGTTGCGCGGTGTCTCCTCGCTACGCAAATGACTGTGATGCCTTCTGACAAGACCATCTTCAGATGATGGTCTTCTTGTGAGCTCAAAGGCGAAGACAGCTTTCGTCTGTCTTGAGGAGCGTAACATTTCGGAAGGTAAAAAATATAGAGCTGTCGGCCCACGGCACGACAGGCTTGAAAAAGGCTCCGAGGTTCGGAAGATGCACCCGCGTCGTGCCAAGCGGGCGACTTGATTTGCGCCCACACAAAGGGGGCAGAAAGTGGGAGCCTCCTCGCTGCAATCCCAGCACGAGAAAAACGCTCCGAGCTTGCCACTACTGTCTCGCTGCTCGGCGCCTTTGTCCTGCCGGCCGTCGCTGTGGTCCTTGCTTGTGGCTCCTGGCAAGAGCGGCTCGCGTTCTCCGGAGCCATACCGACCTTCTAGCATGGTCGCAACGCTGGCTTGAGACTACCATCATCCTACCTGAACAGCAGCAGGCCGGCCTCTGCAACGCCTCTTCTCGCATTACTTCTCGCACCCATCCGCCAGACCAGCGCCCCACCAATTGTTCGATTGCATACGCGGACGCTTTGACCCCACCAAACCGCGCACACCGGCATTGTTCCCAGTCGCACTTCTCTGCACGGCACCTTTCCAAAAGAGTCCGAGACGCAGTGGTTTTAAGCCTGCCCCTCTTCATCGCAGTCTACCTGGTCTTCCCTCGCCCCGGGGCTATTCGACCTTCGCTTAAGCTTCTATTGTTCTCACGCCCGCCTGCCACACTCGAGTCGGTTGCTATATAATCAAGCTATACGATTGAGAGCGGACCCAACCGTCACCATCCTCAGAGGGCTTCCGACATCATGACGTCTCACGACCACTCGAGCATGTCAGGCATGTCTGGCATGTCCGGCATGTCCGGAATGGACGGATCTTCCAACGCATGCTCCATGAACATGCTTGGCAACTGGCAGACCATCAACACCTGTGTCCTCACCTCGTCGTGGCACATCAGGACGGAAGCTCAATTTGCCGGCACGTGCATCGGCGTGTTTCTGATCGTCTTCCTCATCGAGACGGTGCGAAGATGGAGCCGCGAATTCGACCGATGGATCCTGGAGCGCGCCATGGTTCAGAGGAGGGAGGCCCGTCGCCGCACACAGCAACTCAAGACGGAGATGGCCTCGCGTCTTGCCGACGCCGATCCATCGCAGGACCGATCGACCATGAAGCAGAAGCTGGAACAGCTCGACAGCATCTTCTTCGGCATTCCGCAAGACAAGTCCGGATGCCGCCAAGCGGCACTCGACTCGATGCGCTTCCGTCCCCAGATGTGGCAGCAACTGCTGCGCTCGCTCTTGTACGGTGTGCAATTCACTGGCGCTGTAAGTACCTTCTGATGATCATCCGGCCTTCTCGTCAAGACTCTGCAAGCCGACGCTGATGCTGACTATCTCTTCTTGCCTATCCCTTGCTCGGCTTGACCCCAGTATTTGATCATGCTGATCGCCATGACGTTCAACGGCTACATCATCATCGCGATTGTGCTCGGAGGGATTTTCGGTCACTTCTTTTCGACGTGGGATACCCTGGGATCTTCACATGTGGTTGACATCGACACGCTCGGCCTGCCATCGGAAGGCGGAGCTGTCGTTGCGCAGTCGGACGACGCGGCAGCTCCGTGCTGCCAGACCGGGGCTGGCAAGGACTCTGCGAGCCTGTCGAGCGTCTCGGACGAGGCGAATCACGCCAAGCAACACGTCGTCGCCCTACCGCAGCATGGTTACGGCTCGGGCGCATGTTGCGTGTAGACCGAGCTCCATCAGACTGTAGACCTGCAATGCCCAACTCTTCATCTCTCCGTAGTGACTGTTGCAGTGCCACTTGCATCCACAGTCACAAGGTGAGCCGATCACAGAACGAATCGATGTTCTTGGATCTGTAGCTGAGCAGAGCCCGAATCGTGAATGCGTGGATGCAGTGAGCATGGCGGAGCATGCTTGATAGTGCTCTTTTGAGATTTCAAGCTGCAGTTCCAAGGACGAGGAACGCGTGCGTTTGGCTGCACGTCCCCTTGGCCGGGCGCGCGTGCTCGGCAGAGGGGCGAGGAGGCGCCGCCAACCAACACTGAAATTCGCAGAGCCAAGGGCAGGCGCTCAGGTCGCCGTGCCTCACTCTTGGCTTTGTGAGCGCTTGGTCCATGACTCCCGCACGGACGAGCTTTATCAGCTTTGAGCGGTCCGACAGGTGCTGTTCGTCTCGCCACCAACTCCTCAGCCGAGCTTTGAGATCGCCATGGTCTCTTCCACTCCATCTTCTCCAGCTGCGGCTGCGGCTGCGGCTGCGGCGTCGACATCGGCTTCGACAACAGCATCGAGCGAAGCGGTCGATGACAAGACCGATGTGGCGCCGTCCACCGAGCCCAGCGCGGCTCATGATAGCTCGGAAGGCACGAAACAAGCGCTTGACAACGAAAGGGAGACATCCTCATCTTCGCTCGCCGATGCGATAGATGAACTCGCTGTGAACGAGTCAGACCCGGATGTCGGAGGATCCGAAGCAGTAGCCACCGCAGACAGCGAACGGGTCTCGGGATCAGCACCACAGCTCGAACATCAAACATCGGAAGACACTGACAGAGCAGGTGATCCGGCTACAAACAGCTCCACCGATGCCGCGCAAGCCGAAGATACCGTCGACACGCCCATCACCGCCGACAAGCCTCACGCAACGGCCAGCGCTGCCGACAACGATGCGACGACCAGCTCGCCGACCCAACAGCCGGACGAAGAGACGCACGCTGATGCGCCGACCCCATCTGCACCGTCTGCGTCGACATTCGATACACACGATTCAGCCGAGGTCGAGGAGAAAGCCAATCTGGCCGAGACCTCGACAGAACCATCGGCTGGTACCGAGAAGGGATCAGTCTCGTCAGGCGAGCCGAGCTTGCCACCTCCACCACCATCCGAAAAAGACATGCCTCCGGCCCCTGTTCCGAAAGAAGCAGCGAAGATGTCAGCGGAGGACAGGGCCGCAGAAGCAGCCTCGCCTTCGACGCCGGCAGCTGCAGGGATCGGACGATCAGAGAGAGCAGCGCTAGCAGACCCCGAGAGCGTGGCAGCCGTCGCGCATGCCTTCGGTCGAGACTCTCCAGCGCTGCGCTCGTCAACAGACACGCCGAAGCGTGTTGCAACGCCAGTCGAGCCAACGAGCATCAGCAAACCCTCGCAAAGCAGCGGCGCCGACGTCGATGCGGCCAAAAGCACAGCCACAGAACCATCAGATCAACCGCAGCCCGCTCGAGCTCCGCGCCCTGACCCCGATGCCGAGTCCGAAAAGACTCCGAGTCAGGACAGCAGCGCCTCGCGCGGTGGCATCAAGATCGGCAAGGGACCACCGCCTGCAACCCAGGCAAGCGAAGAACTGCCGTTCGACTTCAATCGCTTCTTGGAGCAGATGAAACATCGCAGCGCTCAGCCTGTCGCCGAGTACGTCCGCAGCTTCATCAAAGGATTTGCCAAGAAGCCGTACCGCACGCAGGACCAGATCAAGCTCATCTTTGACTTTCTCGACTTCATCGCCGCGAGGATGCGCGAATGCGATGTGTGGAGGAGCCTCGGCGAGACCGACTTCGAGAACGCCAAGGAGGCCATGGAGAAGCTCGTGATGAACCGCCTCTATCCGTACACCTTTACCCCTGCGGTCCAGAAGGAAGGTCGCTGGGCGGTGCAGACCGACGACTTGGAGCGGGACCGGGTGCTGCAGCAGCGCATCGCCCTGTTCGGCTGGCTCAAGGAGGAGCACCTCGACGTGCCTGTCGGCGACCACTCGCGCGGGTTTATCGAGTTCTCGATCCAGGAGCTTCTCAAGATCAACCATTACAAGGCACCCCGCGACAAGCTCATCTGCATCCTCAACTGCTGCAAGGTCATCTTTGGCATGATCCGCCACCTGTCGACGCAGGAGAATGCAGACACGTTCATCCCCGTGCTCATCTTTGTCGTCCTCAAGGCGAATCCGGAGCACCTCATCTCCAACGTCGAGTACATCAGCCGCTTCCGCAATCCGGACCGCCTCTCGAGCGAGTCGGGCTACTACCTGTCGAGCTTGATGGGAGCGATCGCTTTCATCGAGACCATGGACTACACGTCGTTGAGCAACATCACGCAGGACGAGTTCGAGAAACGAGTCGAGGAGGCCGTCTCTTCGCTACCGGAGCCCGAGCCGTCTATCGCTGCGATGGACTCTCTGCGCGCCCAGCCGTCGACGCCGCCGCCAAGAGGCCTGCAGCCCGGCTTCGGCGGCTCCGAGCATCAGCGCAGCGTGAGCGGCGTCAGCGTGTCGGCGCCGTCTGGACCCGGCGAAGAGGCTGCCAAGGCGCTGCCGTTTACGCCGATGGCCGCCTCGCTCGCCGACGACACGCGCGCCTTCTTCCTGCGAACCGGCGAAGCGGCGCGCACGGGGCTCAGTCGACCCATGGGTGCGCTCGGCCGACTGATCAACGAAGGAATCGAGGGCATCCGAACGCCCAGCAGCAGCAACAACGAGAGCGGCGCATCGACCGAGAGGCACAACTCGCCGGCCCTGGGCTCGGGTCCCGGCTCGGCCAGCATGACGCAGTCGACGTCGCGATCCAAGCTTTTCGGCGGGCTGTTCGGATCGCTCGACACCCCGGACGTTGCGGCGCAGGAGCGTGCACGCTCGGCGGGCTATCCCGGTCAGCAAGGTGGACGGCGCCCGGCGACGCTTCTGGACGACGAGCCACAGACGCCTTCGACGGGCGACCTTGCGCAGGATGGCTTTCATCCGTACCAAGCCGGCGGCGCAGGAGGCGTGTTGGCTGCGCCGCCTCGACTGGTACCGCGACCTAACATGCCGCAGCGCAACTACTCGATCGACGAAGCCATGTTTGACGACGAGTCGGCGGGCCGACGCAACCTGATGGCCGCTTCCGCAGGCTCGAGGGCGGGTCGGAACGACGCCGACTACCTGGATTCGGATGACGAAGAGGATCGTATGGGTGGATCTCACGCGAACCGTGGAGCTCCCAATGCGGCCGCCGCCGAGTACATGCGCCGTCGTATGCAGATGCAGCAAGATTTTGGCCCGGGCGTCAACGCTGAGCTGCCGTCGACGCCGTCTCGCCGCGCGGGATACGAAGGCATGGACCCGAGCCAGCTTCAGCCTGGCCGACGCGAGGAGGTGGCCATGGAGAACGCGCAGACCGAGCAGGCGATCCAGCGCTCGCTCATGGACCAGAATCGGCTCGAGGCGATGCAGGCGGACGAGGCAGCGCAGAACTCGGCGAGCATGGAGACGCTCAAGTCGATCTTCCCCAGCATGGACGATGGCTTGATCCAGATGGTGCTGCAGGGCTGCGAAAACAACGTCGAGACGGCCATCGACCGGCTGCTCGAGATGCAGTGAGGGCTGACCCAAGTTGCAATCCCAACTCGTGCTTTTCATTTGTTGCCAGCTCGAAGGGCGGTGCGTACCGGTATTTACGTGACGTGAGCTTGGTTTTGCGTCTTTGCAAGGGGACCAGGCACGGGATGACGCACGGCGATTCTTGGCATTCTTCCGCGGAGCCTGGACCGGGTCGCAGGCTGAGGAAAAGGGGGATTGCGATTGGATCGGCTGGCAAGGCGATGCGTTGCTAGCGAGGCAGGTGGGGTGAATGCCATGCAGGCCGTGTGTGGACCGGATGACACTGGATGGGCGTGGGCTATCAATAATCTCGTGGGGGGCGGTGGGGCCAGCAGCTTTGGGCGGTGGGAGGGGGTGTCGATCGGGAATGAGCCGAAGAAGCAAAGCGAGGGTCGAGACCCCTTGCCGAAAAAGGACTACTGTAAAATCAAATTGGGCGCCCCGGGTGCGTGGGATCGGGTAGAGAACATGCGCACATGGCGTAAGGTTGCATTGGTGCATGGTGCTCCCATTTCTCGGCGCGTTGCCAGTGTTCGCTGCGTGGGTGCCGAAGGCGTGTCTTCGCGTCTCGGCCCAAGTCGTCGGGATGAAGCCGACACACGCCCCACCCGCCGTAGAGAGTCGTATCGGTTCGCCGAGACGGACCGATGCCAAGACGCAACGGCAGAACAAGACCAAGTTGGTGTTCGCGATAGAGAAAGCTCGAGCGAGGGCATGCAGCCGCGCCCAACTAGCTGTACAGTATTTGCTAATCCGATTCGGTCTATCATGCTCGCTCACGACGATTCGTAGGACTCGGCGATGCCGAACGTGCTGTGTCGTCAGACTCCTGCAGCGAATTCGGCTTTGCGCTGCATGGACATGTGCCATTGCGCATTGCTCAGCAGAGTGTACCGGTCCAGAGCGCGGTTGGCCGGTTCGGATTGGGAAATGGGGGGCGTGGAAAGGGGGGATGGCCAGGAACCTGAACCCCAGCCGATGCTACTCCGACCGCGCCAAGTTCTCAGGTGTTGCAGCTGAGCTGCGCTTAACGATTCGCCCGACCGAATTTCGGCACAGGCTTCTCCCAGCTCGGCCTGACGTTGGCTCGCTTCGTGGCTTTATCCGCCTCGATGCGCCGGTGTGCAGCTCCACTCCCGCGCTGCCGAAATGTCACGCTTCTCTTCACGCTGCCTCGACACTGCACTGCCGCTCGTGCTGAGTTGGGCGTGCGGGATCTTCTCAGTCGAGTCTAGAAGCTCCCGGTTGATGCCTCGCTCCTTATGCTCTGCAGATTGGGCTTTCCTTCCCACCGGCTCAGAGTATGCTCAGCCGGTGACAATGGGCATGGCAAAACTATGCACACCCTACCCTGCGGCGGCAAATTGAGTGGCGCAGACCAGCTGCATGCCTTGCAGCCCTGTGCATCCCGCTCCCCCCTTGCCCTGTTTTGGCGCAGCATACTGTAAACCTTGTTTCTTGCCCGCCATGCCGCCTCTGCTCGCCTGCACCCACCCGGGGTCCTCGGCCTCGCCTCAACATCGACCAGTCGATCGGATCGCTCCTGTGCAGCAGCAACAACAGCCACAGCACTCGATGCTTCATCCCTCCTTCACACTCTACCATCGTCCTCGTTGATGGTGATGCCTTCTCATCCGCAGATCCGGGCGCCGCAGCTCGTGTGACCCGATCTGGACGTACCTGCTCGTATCGACTTTGACGCTTCGGCCTGGCCTTCTGCGCACCAACCGACCGGATTGGATCCACAGCCCGCACTCGGTCTCCTGGATACTGCTTCCACTCGTCGCCATCATTCGGCCCCTCGACGGCTCGTGACGCATATCGCTTCACGTTTCTTTGGACCCTTGCCGACCATCACCACGTCTTGCCACTCCTTCCGCGCCTCCAAGAATCCCGCACCGGATGGCGTGGTCTCGTCAGGCCCATCTCGTCAATGACCCAGCGTGCCTCGCTCAAGCCCTCCAATTCGAGGCAGCCGTGTAAGCTTGCACGCGACACCACGCATCGGACGAACGCGAGCGATCATGGCACCCTCGGTGTCCTCAGCGTCCGCCCCCTCTTGGGAAGGCGACGAAATGCTGCACGTCTACCTCTGCGACTACTTGCGCAAGCGCGGCTACACGCAGGCGGCGCTCTCCCTGAGTGCGGAAGCCGGCCTCAATCAGCAGCAGGCACCGCCAATCGATGCTCCACATAGTCTGCTCTTTGAATGGTGGGTCATCCTCTCGCAGCTTCTTGCCGCAAAGACGGACCCGCAGCCATTCGCAAATATGCAGAGCAGCTCAGTTGCACTCGAGCCAGTGCAGTTCGGTGGCGCATCCGAGGCCGGCGATGCAGCTTCAGCCAGCCAAATGGCGACGACATCGCAGTCACAATCGCAGCCGACCACAGCATTTCCAGGTGCGACTCAACATGGCGAGCATAGTTCAGGCGACCGCATTGCGTCTGCACACATCTGGCCTCAGCAACCAACTCGATCGCAACCTTCTGTCTTGACAAAGTCGGCAGAGCAATCGACAGCCACTGCATCCACTCCTGGTCAAAACTGCAACCAGTCTACCCAACCTCAACAGCCGGGGGCGACGCAGCAGCGAGGACCAGTCTGCGCTCTATCGCCGCAAGACCTGGGGGCAAGCAATAGGATCGGGCTCGCAAGGCCGGCCAGCCGCATACTCATCCAACAATGCATGGACATGATGAACTTTGGCGCCAAGCCCATCGAGGCTTTGAGCGCCGCCGAGGCGCAGGCGCTGGCGAAGCGCGTGACTCGCCTGCAGACGGCTCAAAACGAAGCACAGAAGCGCCTCGCCGAGCTGCACGGCCTGCAGCCGCCGAAACCGCTTCCAAGCGTGTTGAGCCCGGCTCCGCAGCCAAGCCAAGCATTGCCACCAACGCAGGGCATGTCGGTGCTGGAGCCCAACCAGCTCCCGTATCCGGGCGCTCGCGCCCGGCAGAAGCGCAAGGAGTCTCCGAACCATACAGGCACGATTCCCTTGCTGCGTCGACTCTCGCAGCCATATCGCTCCGGCTCTCCGAACAACTCGTCGGTGCCTACTCCATCGATGAGGGCCACACCCACATCGCAGCCACCTTCGCCCATCGGACCGGCGACGGACAACACGTTCTCATCTGGCGTCCCGCTGCATTCGGTGTTTCGACGGCCTTCGTCGAGCATCGAGACGCCTCCGTCATTGCTGCAACCAGGCTCGGCGGGATCGCGCTGCGTGAGTCCACAGGTGGCGATGGTGCGGCCCTCGGGTCTGCCATTTACGTCGCCGGGTGCTGCGAGTGTAATGAGTCTCGGTGCCGAGTGGCCCGGCTCAGCAAGTGCGTCGCAGTCGCCCGTGTATGGTCTGCAACCGGCTGCGCAGGCGTGGTCGAGCTTCGGCAGTCCGGATTTGCTGTATCCGCCTGAGAACGCGCAGGTCTCAGGGATGGCTTTTTGGCAGCCAGTAGCAGGCAGTAGCGTGCAGGCAGCAGCGGGAATGGACGCAGCAATGCCACCGCCTGTCTCGCCGGCATACGCACACGGACCCGGCTGGACGCCGAATGCATTCGCTGCTGGCGATGGCGCCAAGGGAGGCCCGATGGATGCATACGCTGCGTTGGGGAGCCAAGCCGCCTTTGCCGGCAATTCCGCACCACGCTGGAATCAGTTCGATGCACAAGCGTATGCGCTTGGTCTCGGCAACCAGGGTGGTGGATGATTCGGCTCGCGCGTGCTGTATTCATGGTTGTACTTTTGGGATCGCGCAAACGTCGATACGTGTTTGATTTGAGCGTGCGCTGAAGCTTGGGATTGCAAATGTGAGTGAGCGGGATGCGAGTCAGGCTGGAGGATTAGGACTGGTGCTTCTGTGCGGTTTCCTTCTGGAGCTGCTCTGGCGACTTGGAGTGCTTCTCGCCGCGCACGGCATCCTCCGAGTCGGTGGGAGCGCCAGAGGACGAGCCGGAGCCGGAGCCCGACTGGTTGGCAGCCTGGGCGGTCTCCTTCTGGAGCGTCTTGGGGTCCTTGTCGTGCTTGTCGGCCTTGACAGAGGCGCCCGAGTGCGTGTCCTTGTTGAGCACGCGAGGATCGTCCGTTCGCCTCACCTGTCGTCCGAACAGCAAAAGAGTGAAGGACGTCAGCTTCAAGTTCATTGGGGAGAGCTGCGCCGTCGTACTTACGGTGGAGGTCATGAGGGTGCGGCGGGCGGCAGCGGCCCGGACGGTCGAGAAGACGGGAGCGGAGGTACGAAGAAGCGACATGGTTGCAGATGAAACGGCAGATGCAATGGTGGTGTTGGTCGGAAGGCAAGACGGTTGAGCGACATAGGTAAGCCTATTGAGTCGCGAGAGTGACGGAATCATGCCGGTTGGCGATGCAAGGCGAGCTGCAACGGTGCGCGTCCGGAAGCGGCGCGTTAGTAATCCGGACCCCGCCGCACGCACGGACGACTTTGAGAGCGCTGCTCAGACTCGCGTGCGGCATACGCGGTGTGACATGGGCTGCCGATCGACTAGCGGCGGACGCACCAACAGCGATGATTCAGGGTCTATTCGTGGATGGGGCCAAGGCGGACAGGTGTCAAGCCTAGCCCAGCGGCCACCATCGAAAGGCAGCCTCCAGTGACATCACTCTGCACGGACGCGCCCTCCACACCTTTACCAATCCGTGCAGTTCCGCACCAAATTTTCGTAAACGACACTTTGTGCGGCGTAACATTCTGAAGCAATTTCCAGCATGGCCCCCACGTGGCATTTAGCAAAGGCAACCTCGACTTTGACCTGCCGATGTCGTTCGACAGCCTGCAGCCTTGCAGGAACGAGGCCGGCCACGCCACGCTCTCTACGAAGCTGCTGCGTGCACGAAAGTGCGCCTTGACGAGGTCGCTGACTGGAGTGGTCAGGAGACAAATTGACAGGCTGCAGCGAGGTGGGCGCTCGGAGCCTTTTTTCTTCGCATTCTTGTTCCAGGCTCTCCCCGAACAGCTGGCGGCTTGCAGAATGCAATTGCGAACCGAAGCTGTTGGCGCGTTCATGCCCCGCAGGGACCCTTTCTCCCGCTCGGCTGGAATAAAGCGTGCTTCCGGTGCCCACACCTGGCCACCGAATCTCTCGTTGAAAGACAAGCTTCCTCGGAGCCTTTCCCGTCCGCAGGCTCTCCGGCGGCGGCGTCAGTCGTGAGTGACCGGCCCTTTGCCACCTTGCGGCACGCGCAAGGCATCCAGGGCCTTGGGATCTGCCTGCCACGAGCTCATCTCGCGACCAGTCGACCCACTCTGTGTCCGCTTGGCACTGTCACTCGAGCCCCTCTGTCCCTGCGAACCCAAGTCAGCTTATAAAGAGGGCACGGTGTTGCGTGGTGTCGTCTCTTCCTGTTCACCATCCATCTCCGTTCCCATTCCCAGCCCCGTCCCCAACATATCTGGCGTATCTGCCTCGACATACACTCCGCATCATGAAGTTTGGACTGCCCCTGGCCGTGCTGGCACTCGCCTCGTCTGCAGCTGCGCACTTCACCCTGGACTATCCGACGACGCGTGGATTCGACGAGGACAAGGAGGACGACAACTTCTGCGGCGGCTTCTCCAACGTCTCGCTGCCGCGCCAGCCATGGTACTACCGAAACGGGCCTGTGCAGATTGACAGCCATCACGACTCGGCGACGGTCAACATCTATATCTCCTTTGACGTGCCTACTGGCTCCGAGTCGTTCCTCAAGACGTCAAACGGCACTTCTGTGCCTCCCCTGCGCCAGAATCTCGCCATCAAGGGCGAGGGCGAATTCTGCTTCCACGCCAATGCTTCGAGCCTCGACGTTCCCGGCGTGCGCGTCGCCGACGGCACCAACGCCACCATCATGGTAGAGTTCATCAGCGTGCACGGACACCTGTACCAGTGTTCGGACGTCAGCTTCACCTCGAATGCAAGCGTCGGTGCCAATCTCACCTGCACCGATTCGCTCACCTCTGGCAGCACCAGCTCGAGCTCCAATTCCAGCTCGGCCTCGCCGGCTTCCACTTCGTCGACGCCAGCTCCATCGAAAGCCAACGGCGCCGTTGCTACCGCCTTGCCCCGGATTGCCCTTTTGGTGCTACCTGCGCTGCTTGCCGGTGCTCTCGCATCGGTTTCGATGTAGATGGCTTCGAAAGTGCGAGCGGCCAAGGAGGCACACGGGAAGCTCGATGCAAGGCAAAGGCCCAAGGCCATCGGCATCGGGCACATCGGGACCAGATATCGTATTCTTGAGCCGTCGTGGCCTGTGCGTACAAAAATCAACCCTTCTTTTCTCCTCATCTTTTTCTGTCCATATTTTGTGCCCTCTTTTCGGCGTTTGATCCCGACTTTTCTGAGGTGCTTCAGGATACCAAACGAATGACGTTTGTCACCCGCCCTGGAAAGCATGCTGGCGACTCAAACATCTGAGGCTCTCTTTGGTAGAAAAGCTCTGAAGCACATGACAGCGTGCGAGAGCAGCCAATACAGAGCCCTGCAATCCGCCGTTGCGAGTCAGCGGACTCACAGGGAAGGACAGCTCGGAACACGTGAACCGTGCGCGGGTGGAAGGGGTTTGTAGCTCGCGTCGCGCGAGGCAGCCTTTCAGAGGCCCCACTGGGGAAAGTCTGCCGATACGAAGGCCATGACTGGGCCTTCACAGTCACTACGACTACCACACAGGCTGAGGAGCGTTGGTCATGGCATTGCCGTATGATCCGATGTACGATGCAAGTCTGGTGAGAGCGAGTCTGAAGCAGCGTAGCACGACATACGCGCAGCCTCGTTTGTACGCGCTCAAGGCTGCCACAGTCACAGGGCCGTGTGCGGAGCTCCAAGTCGAGATTTTATTCGAAAATTGGAGGAGCAGGACAATTTTCCCCTTTTTTTGGCCCGCCCCACGATGGGATGTGCCGATTGAATGCCCTGATCAGCAGCACAGTCACCCGGCCTGCTCACCCCCAAAAGGCCCGATTTTCGCAATTTTGGATTTTCAGCGGGGTGTGCGTCGATGAAAGTGGCAGCCGATCCAGACAGCGCAGCTCCCGACCGACAGCCTCGGTATTTGGGCGACAGGGCGCGGCGGCGAGGCGAGCGAGAGAGACTGGGCACGAGCCCCACTCTGGCGTTGGCGCTTTGCACCGATCAGGCAGAAAACTGGCTGGCCAATCATTCACCCGAATCGCCCTCCACCAACGCTGCCCGCATCCCTTTCCACCATCTCCGTCGCGAAAAAAACATCGACCCGGGCTCCGCTTGCCGCACCTTTGCCATCTTCACGAACGGACAACGTCACGAGAAGATCGACGTGTGCTTCTTCCGAACGTCGACACTCGGAACATCGATTGCGATTAGTCCAAGCACGTGAGCTTCTGCACGAGTCAACAACAGCCTGCAGCGCTCGGCGTCCGACACATCATACGACGCTCAACACACGCTGCGCATCCTTCTCCTCGACCCGCGCCTACGTCTAGACGGCTACGCTGCTGCTGCCCCGTCCGCAGCCTCCTATCCGCTCGGTCTACGTGTTATCAGCGTCGGAAAACACGCCAAGCGAGCAACGCTCCGCCTCCATCCGAACCCGCCCGCACCTAGATCCAACACACGTGCGAGAGCGACAGGAACTCTACACCCTGCTCATCCTGTCCGTACCGGCTCCCAATCCAAACACCGCGCTTCTGCTGGCTACAGTCGATCAGGCCAACACAAAACACGCACGCACACCAACGCGAAGTTGCGATCCCCTCTAACTCGACACAATGGAGAAGGACGGTGATCCTTCAGGAGGCTGGCGCTTTGCGCAGTGCTTCGGAGACAAGGGCGAAGTCGAAGAAATCACCGAAGGTAAGCTCATCCTACCGTTACCACTGGATGCGGACGCAACGCGTTGGCTGCTCAATTCGGATGTCGCCGAACCCCGCGCAGAGACGACGATCCCGTTCGAATGCGTGGCCATCCGCTTCTTGCTGCTCATCCTGGAATCAGATTCGGACCGCTGATATCATCTCCACTCTTCCTTCCGGCGTTCCTGCTGATGTACAGCCGACATCATCTCAACCGTCGAGTTTGATCACACTGGCGACTACCTCGCTACGGGTGACAAGGGTGGTCGTGTGGTTCTGTTCGAGCGCAACGACTCCGTGAGTTACTTCTTCTGACTCCTGTGGATGCAGGTCCGTGCCTGCTCTGACATCAGCTGACCACCGCGCCCATCTCATTGCTCGTCCGGCTTTTCAACCCATCAGAAAAAGGGTTGCGAGTATAAGTTCCACACCGAATTCCAGTCACACGAGCCCGAGTTCGACTATCTCAAGTCGCTCGAGATCGAGGAAAAGATAAACAAGATCAAGTGGTGCAGGAGGCAAAACGCCGCCCACTTCTTGCTGAGCACAAATGGTAAGTGCACCTCAATGCTGCTTGTCCGCGAACATACGATGCTGATCGCTTTCTGCCGCTTCCCGCCCCAACAGACAAGACCATCAAGCTTTGGAAGGTGTTCGAAAAGACGCTCAAGCTCGTCGCCGAGAACAATCACAACGGAACCGAGTACGGTCAGATGCGCGACCCAGACGTGCATCCATCACTACTGCCCATCCCCAAACCCGTCGTCGGCAGCGGTATCGGTCTGCGTCTGCCTCGTCTCACACCCGTCGACACCATCATCGCCGCGGTCCCAAGGAAGATCTTCGCCAACGCGCATGCGTACCACATCAACTCGGTCTCGGTCAACTCGGATGGCGAGACGTATATCAGTGCAGACGACCTGCGTATCAACCTGTGGAACCTCAACATCAGCGACCAAAGTTTCAACATCGTCGACATCAAGCCCGTCAACATGGAAGAGCTCACAGAGGTCATCACGGCCGCCGAATTCCACCCGATCCACTGCAACCAGTTTGTCTACTCGAGTTCCAAGGGTACGATCAAGCTGGCCGACATGCGCGACTCGGCGCTGTGCGATGCGCACGCCAAGCAGTTCGAGGAGGAGGAGGATCCGTCGACCAAGTCGTTCTTCAGCGAGATCATCAGCAGCATATCCGACGTCAAGTTCAGCCGCGACGGACGCTACATCCTGTCGCGCGACTACCTCACGCTCAAGATCTGGGACGTCAATATGGACAACAAGCCGGTCAAGACGATCCCCATCCACGACCATCTGCGCTCCAAGCTGTGCGACCTGTACGAGAACGACTGCATCTTTGACAAGTTCGAGGCGCTGTGGGGACCGGACGGCAAGAAGGTGCTGACGGGCAGCTACAACAACTACTTCCACGTGTTTGATAAGGACGACAGCTCCGACGTGGTGCTGCAGGCGGACAAGTCGGCGTTCAAGGCCAAGCGCATGGCGGGCGCGGGCAAGAAGGGCAACAAGGGCGCCAACAGCACGCTCGGCGCACCAGGCCAGGTCAACCTCGACAATCCGGACTTTAACAAGAAGATCCTGCATGCCAGCTTCCATCCGCGCGAGAACACCATCGCCATCGCAGCCACCAACAACCTCTTCATCTTTTCGGCAAACAATCCGGCAGGCATCCCCATGGCGTGATCGCAGCTGCCTCCCGTCGATTCCCTCATCCCTCTCTCTCACACACATCTGGAAGTTTTCCCTACCCGCATGCGGCCTGCATGACGCCTCTGTGCTTGCCTGTCAGTGTCCTTCATGCATCGTCGTTCTCCGCCCCATGTACTACTCTTGTCTCGTCCTCTCGATCTCTCTGTCGTGAATTCGTGATCTTATCACCAGCACACTTTGGATCTTGGCTCTGAAGGCGATGCTATTGTGGGCCATGAATACAGAGCGTCTTTGGGGGGGATGAATGTGGGGGAAAATATCAGACCTCGCCTTCTTCTGGCTCGGATTCATCGTCTCTGCGGGCGCGTTTGGGCTGAGCAGTGGCGGTGGGTTGCGTCGAAGCGGCTTCCGATGCAGTGCCGTTGGGAGCGGGAGGATCCTTGCGCTTTCGCGACTCCGAGTCGGCGCGGTCGGCTTCGGCGAGCTTATCGCGCTGTCGGCGGACGAATTTGTCCCAGGCCCACTCTGGGATCCTCTCATCGTCCGCCAGAGCGTCTTTGTACTCTGCAAGGTCGCTGATGCGCGCGCTGATGTCTTGGAACGATGCATCGAGGTCGAGAGGAGGATCGATCTTCTTGAATGCATAGCGCAGGTCCTCGATGCGGTGGCGATGCTTACGTTCCAGACGACGCCGTTCTTCGGCTTGCTTGCGCTGCTCCTCTTCGGCGAGATATGCGACGAGCTCCGAGTAGATCTGGCGCAGCGTGGCGTCGGGCACACCGCAGCCAGCCGTCCAGTCGAGAAACTCGGCCTCGGTCGTGGTCGGCGTCACCTGGTGGCCCGCCTTGGACGCGTGCTGCAGTGCATCGGCCGTCTGGCGCTCCAGCTCCTGGTCCAGGTCATCGACGAGATCAAAGAACATCTCGAGCGGCGTAGAGCCCGGTTGACCCACGGCGCGCACAAAGTCTGGGTCGTCTTTGAGCAGCGGAAACACCTCCCCCCATGTGGAGCGTGCGCGAATCTGTCCTTCGGCCTGAAGCTTCTTGAGCAGCGCGCGAAAGGCATCTCTGTTCTGCCTCTCTTTGCGGCGCCTCGCGTCGGCTTCGGCACGCTTGGCCGCCTCGGCGTCGTTTTCAATGGACTGCATGAGCTCCTCAAACACCGCCAGCATGTCGCTCGTGTCCATCGCGCCCAGATGCTCATCCTCGGTGTACTCCTGCGACTCGAGGATGGTGCGATGTGCATCGCGCCAGCGCGTAAACACGTCGGCCTCGAACGTCTTGAGCAGCGCGAGCAGCATCTCCTTGTTGCGCACGCGCAGCTTGGCCTCGGCCTCTTGCTCTGCCTGGCGTATCTCGCCCATCGCCGCCGCGAACACCGACTTGGCCTCCGTTTCCGACGTGGTCTTCTTCCACACTGGCGTGTCGCCCAGGAACTTTTTGGCCGTGGCGAAGCTCGAGTAGCTCTTGATGCGAGCGTCGCTTGTGAGGAGCTTTTTGAACTGCGGCTTTAGCTGGTCCAGACGCGCGGCTGCCTCCTCGGCGCGCTTGGTGCGGAGCGCATCGATGTGCTTGTGGAAGGCGGCCTTGCGCTCGGCGATAGTCTTGAGCGCCTTGTAGAGCGGATTGGTGATGATGGTGCGCATCGTCGTCTCCCAGGTCCAGTCAATATCGACTCCCGTCTGCTCAAGCAGCTGTATGAATGCTGCTTCTGCCGCTTCTTTGTCGCCCTTGAAGTTGAGCTCTATCGCGCCCGACATGGTCTGAGCGGTAGTGTGGCCTCGGGCTGATCCCGCCGCATTGGAAGGAGGTGCCGTCGAGCCAGCGAGAGGTGTGTTGGAGCCCGAGGCTCGGGACATTGGATTGGGAGAGAGCGCACCTGGAGTTCTTGAAGACATCGGGGTCGATGCGAGCGGCGACAGACGGCCTGTTGCTGGGACCGGACTGGGCACAGCATTGTTTGGAGACTGTGCTAGGGCGGGCGAGTGTGCATTGTTGCCATAAGAAGGGGTCCCCGCGGGTGCGGGACTAGCGGCACTACCGTCCGCCGGATACTGGTCGAGGATCTGCTTGAGTTCGGGAGGTAGTGTCCAGGTGGACTGCTTGGTGACGCTGTGGACGTAGTAGGATCGTTCGCCAGACTTATACTCCTTCCATGGCGTGGCTTCGAGTGCACGCTCGCGGGGCGTCTTGAGCTCTGACGGCTTCTCCCAGACGGAGCGCCGCTCGATGGTGTGGAACCAGAAGGGCCGACCCTGGGGCGTGCGGTGCTCTGTCCATACTGCGGCAGGACTCGACATGGCTGACTGCGTCGATACGCTCCGGTGCGGGTCCTGGGCAGCAGATGATCGGACGTTGTTGGCGGTGCTGAAGGGTAGGAGGAAGGGGGGCGGCTCTTCCGACCAAAGCGATGTGGAATTCCCAGCCGCAAGCTTCTCTGCAGCGCTTGAGCGCGCGGACCCTGGCAACTCCAAGTTTTGCGGATTTCGGGAGATGCGAAGAAACTGGCAGCCAAAGTGGAAAGTGGAATTTTGTGTGCGGTTCGGGCTGCATCCGCTTCCGCGTCCACGCATCCGCAGCAGTTTTTGCTCGACGCACGTCTACCAACTCCTCTCGTCTCCTCGCCACGGTCACATCACAGCTCCCATTCTGACACGGAGCTGAACCATCATGGCTGACTCTGCCGACGCCTTCCTGGCGGGCATTGACAGGGAAGTTCGCGGAAAGAACGAGGACCGCCACGGCTCGTCTGCAACGCACCGCGATCGGGATCACGACCGCGATAGGGACAGGAGAGACCGTAGATCCGGCAGAGACGCCTATGAAGAAGACCGCAGCGCCTCCTCGAGCTCTCGGAAACGACGCGACGCCGACGACCGCGACGAGCGCGATCGGTATCCTCACAAATCGCACCGCGACGACCGTGATCGCGAGCGATCCGACCGTCACGAAGACGACGACCGTCGCCGCAGAAGGCGAGAAGACGACTACTACGGAGGCAGCAGGGGCTCTCGTGATAGCAGGGATAGCCGCTATGGCCGAGACAGCTACTCTTACAGACGGGACCGCGATCGCGATGATCGCTATCCCGCACGCAGAGAACGCTCGCGATACGACGATGACGACTACTACCGCGACAGAGGCGGCCGCGGCCGCGGTGGTGACTGGCGAAGTGCCGATGCTCGCGATGGTAGTCCGTCGATGCGCCGCAGTCCGACGCCAGAAGGTACGATCCGAATCAGCCAACGACCGAGGCCCAAGTCCAAGTGGGACATTCCTGCACCTGGCTTTGAAGGCACCAGCGCTCTGGCCGCCAAGGCCACCGGCTTGTTCGGCATTCCAGGCCAGACCAGGCTCGTCGGAATGCCGCCCGTCAATCTCGGCGTCAACGGTCCCGGCGTGCCTCCCGGTGTAGGTCTGCCCTTGCCGCCCGCCCACATGGGCGGTCAACCCATCCACCCGCATCGTGGCGGGCCCATGCATCCGAGGCAGCCCTACCTGCCACACCAAAATCAACAGCAACATCCCGGCATGTACCCACAAGATGGGCAGCAATATGCACAAGGACAGCCTCCCTTTGCGGGACAGTATCAGCAGGGTCACCCGGCTTCCCACAATCAAGCACCCGCAGCCAGTGACAGCGGCCGACAGGCGCGACGACTCTACGTAGGCAACATCACGCACCAAGCCAACGAACCCAGCATGGTGGCCTTCTTCAACGAGCAGATGCTCAAGCTCAAGCTCGGCACCGAGCCTGGCGAGCCGGCCGTGTCGGCGCAGGTCAACGTGGACAAGGGCTACGCTTTCGTCGAGTTCCGCCATCCGGACGAGGCGACCAACGCCATGTCTTTCGACGGCATCGTCTTCCAGGGCCAATCGCTTAAGATCCGCAGGCCCAAGGACTACACCGGCCCCGACGTGCGCCCGCCGTCGAGCATCCATGTGCCTGGCGTGATCAGCACCAACGTGCCCGACTCACCGTTCAAGATCTTCGTCGGTGGCTTGCCCACCTATCTCACCGACGATCAAGTCATCGAGTTGCTTCAGGCTTTTGGCGAGCTGCGCTCGTTCAACCTTGTCAAGGATCCGGCGACGAACGCTTCCAAAGGATTCGCATTCTGCGAATACGTCGACACTGCACTCACGGATCTCGCCTGCCAGGGACTCAACGGCATGGAGCTGGGCGACCGCAACCTCGTGGTCCAGCGCGCGAGCGTTGGAAGCGAGAAGAAGGCACAGGCGATCGCCGCATCTGGCGCCAACGTGGGAGCCCTTGGTGTGCCCAGCTCGGTACAGCAATTGGCCGGTGCAGGAGGGGACGCGGGCGAGCCGACGTCGTGCATGGTCATGCTCAACATGGTGACGCCCGAAGAGCTGCAGGATGACGAAGAGTTCGCTGACATTGTCGAGGACATCCGCGACGAGTGCACCAAGTACGGCACGGTCAACGATGTGCGTGTGCCCAGGCCGGCCAAGGAGAGCAAAGGTGCCGCCGCGCATCAATGGAAGCGCAGCCAGAACGACGAGACTGTCGATGCCGACAAGCCGAGCGAGCGCGAGGGCGTGGGCCGCGTCTATGTGCGGTACGCCGAGACGGACGAGTGTGCGCAGGCGCTCAAGGCCATCGCTGGAAGGCAGTTCGGCGGACGCACAGTGATCTGCGCCTTCCTCAAGGAGGACGACTGGCCCGGTGACGAGGACGGCGGTTTGAATGCCGACGACACTGCCGCTCAGGCCAGTGGTCCTGCATTCGGCGCCGAGGCCAATTGAGCATGCTCTGTCTCGACTTTCTTTTATCTCGATCACACTATTCCAATGTCACGGAGATGCTGTCTACGCCGAGATCAGCGTGCCAATGCCCACGATGGGCCTGTCTGCTGAGTGACTGAGTTGGAAGGAATCTGCCATCGGGAATTGTCTGAGATCCCGATCTTAGTTCGTTAGCCGATGTTCCGAGGTTCATGGCTGCGGGTGACACCGGACGCGGCCGCGCTGGCCAAAAAATCGGCCCACTTTCTTCGTCGGAGCAGCTCGCAGCAACCCGAGCCCACACGGAGGAGACTCGACGCTGGACACGCGGAGACGTGAGACCATGTGGTGCCACTGCCTCTGGTTACGCTTCCGAACGATCTCGCCGGAGCAGAAAGAGGACTTGAACGACGAACACTGAGGCTGTGGATCCGAACCAGCTGTCGCACATAAGCGCACCGAAGCTCGAATCGATTCCAGATGGGCGAAAGTGAGATGCGCCGTACGCTTCGACGGGGATTCGGAGGCACAGCTTTGGCCTGGATGGCTGGCGAGATGGCAGCTTGTTGGGTTTCAATCGGCAGCCGGGGTATCGGCGGTTCGCAGCTGAGACCTGCCAGGACTCGCTTGCGAGAAATGGCACGATTTTCAACGCATTTGGGGCGCTTCGCCACCGACGGGTCAAGCCCAAGCCCAAGCACAACCGCAAGCGCGACGCACCAGGCTCACACGCGCAGTCCACGCTCAAGGTCACCAAAAAAGTGACACTCTGCTGGCCGCTGCTGCAGACGCGAGCTCTGTTTGCACTTTCTTCCTCGCGGCTCTCAGCCACTTGGCCAGTCTTTTCCATTCTTATTTCTTTTTTGGCCGCCCATAACTTCCTGATGGCCTGATTGATGGAAATCTTCGAAGCCGGGTGGGTCCAGCGAACGGCTCTGGAGACACGCGTGGGTTGGCCACAAGTGCAACTTCAAAACGTTTGGCCGCTGATTCGCCTGGCTCACCCGAGGTGCGGTGCGCAATGGCCAGGCGCGTGTGAGTGTGGGCGGATATGCAGCGTGCAAGAAGAAGTGCTTTGGAGGGTCGGTTGCGGTTGTGCGCAACTGCTCGCGCTGCAAGTCGGCCAAGTGTTGCTCGTCGCGGCCTGTGCAGCAGCAGCAGCCGGGCGCCTGCATCGATTGGCCAGCTCCTGTATCGCCTGCGTGTCCCACGTCGTCGCATCGATTGAGCCACGGCCAAGTCAAGCGAGCGTGGGTGGTGCCTTGGCTTCCAGAATCGTTGCTCCAACCCTTTCCACCATCACCAGCGCATCCTCCCTTAGGACCTCTTACACCGCTTAGGCTCGCCCACACTCCTTTACTCAATACCACTCGTCCACATCTCAACATGTCGGCTCGTCCCCAGAACGTCGGAATCAAGGCCATCGAGATCTACTTCCCCAGGAGGGTACGTACGCGCTGCTCCCATTCGTCCTTGCCGCCGCGCCGCTGTGCAAGGCTCGCAATAGCGTCATGCTGACCTTTTCTCGCCTGCTTTGTTGTTTGCTGCTGCCTCCGATTGCCGTTCCGACTTCCAGTGCATCTCTGAAGATGAGCTCGAGGACTTTGACGGTGTAGCCAAGGGCAAGTACACCATCGGCTTCGGCCAGAAGTACATGGCCTGCACCGACGACCGAGAGGACATCAACTCGTTCGCTCTTTCCGTCGTCTCGGGTCTGCTCGAGAAGAACAACATCGACCCCCGCAGCATCGGTCGCCTCGACGTCGGCACCGAGACCATCATTGACAAGTCCAAGTCGGTCAAGACCGTCCTCATGGACCTCTTCGGCCCCGCTGGCAACAACGACATCGAGGGCATCGACAGCAAGAACGCCTGCTACGGTGGTACCGCCGCCCTCTTCAACGCCATCAACTGGGTGGAGAGCAGCTCGTGGGACGGCCGCGACGCCATCGTTGTTGCCGGCGACATTGCCATCTACGCCGAGGGCTCGGCTCGTCCCGTCGGTGGTGCCGGTGCGGTTGCCATGCTCATCGGCCCCGACGCTCCGCTCGTCTTCGAGCCCGCGCACGGCACGCACATGAGCAACTTCTGGGACTTCTACAAGCCCAACCTCTCGTCCGAGTACCCAGAGGTCGACGGCCCCGAGACCATCCAGGCCTACCTCGGCTGCCTCGACAAGGCCTACGATGCCTACCGCAAGCGCGCCGCCAAGCTGCGCAACGGCGCCGCCAACGGCGTCAACGGCCACTCGGACGCCTCCGACCTTGCCTCGATCAAGGTCGACGACTTTGACTACACGCTCTTCCACAGCCCCTACTCGAAGCTCGTCCAGAAGGGTTTCGGCCGTCTCCTCTACAACGACTTTGTCTCGGATCCCAAGAACGACAAGTTCGCCTCGATCCCCGCCGAGTTTGCCGAGCTCGACCGCAAGTCGACCATCACCAACAAGGACGTCGAGAAGGCCTTCGCCGCCTACGGCAAGGAGCTCCAGCAGTCCAAGCTCGAGCCCGGCATGGACACTGTGCGCCGATGTGGTAACATGTACACCGCCTCGCTGTACGGCGGCCTCGTGTCTCTGCTCTCCAACATCCCTTCGCAGGAGATCCAGGGCAAGCGCATCCTGCTCTACTCGTTCGGCTCGGGTGCCGCCGCCTCGATGTTCGCCATCCGCGTCAACGGCTCGACCGAGCAGCTCGTCAAGGCTGCCGACCTCAAGAACCGCCTCGCCAGCATGAAGGTGGTGCCCTGCCAGACGTACGTCGAGGCGCTCAAGACGCGCGAGGCTACGCACAACGCCGTCAACCACAAGCCCGTCGGCCAGCTCGAGAACCTGTGGCCCGGCGCTTACTACCTCGAGAACGTCGACCACATGTACCGCAGGACCTACGGCCGCATCCCTGCCAACGCCAACTAAAAGTCCGGCTGGCTGCAACGTATCGCCGGATGGATTGGATCGGATGATCTGGGCTCCGAGGAGCTGGTTCCTTGCTGTCGTGGGGGCCAACCTCTGTAAATACCGTAGCCCTCGGCCCGGACCCGTCTGCTCGGAGGTAGCGGCGATACGCTCCCATCTTTCTCCGAAAGAGAGACGGCGAGAACGCAAGGCGCGGCTGCCAACACCTCACGCACCTGCTCGGCCGAGTCCGTACCTCGGCCAGAGCCGTTCAGCATGTCTATTTTTGCTCGCATCTCTTCACTCATCTAGGTCCTGTCTTTCAGGACACTGTGCTTCGTCTCTGTCATCTACCATTTGCGAGAAAGAATAATACGAATCTATAGACCTATCCGGGCGGTCGTCCCGCCCCGCCCCATCTCGCCTGACACAGCGTGCCACAACAATGGGTCCGGCGCTGTCACGGCGAAGGCCCAAAGGACGGAGCTACCTCGTGACATGGCGCAGCCGAAAGTGTGATCTTATCGCATGGTTAAGCTTGTCCTGCCGTGGGGCGTAGTCAACCCTCGGAAAGCCTTTCGGAAAGCCCGACAACCAGGCGACACGCAACGAATCGCTTCAAACTGCCGCGTCAAACCTCGGATCCTCGGTTGCTCTTGCTCGCGCACTCGCGGCGCCGCGCCGCACCGGCCAGCCAACCTCCGATCCTGATGCTCTCGCTGGCATTCTCGTGCTGGACTCCTCGCACTGATCCCAGAGGTCGTCGGGCACAAGGCTGAGTCTTCAGACCGCTTTCGGATCGACCGACGCTGCCTCTTCCAATGTCCGGTCGCCGCGGCGTCCAGGCGTCACAATCTTTTTGCAACGGTCACGCAACTCACTGCGTGGAGTCTCTCGTCAGCCCTCGACACAAGTACGAAGGATCTGGCTCAGTCACAGCATATAAGAGCATCGACCGTCCACCAATGACTCCCTCCATTTTCAGACTCGGAGTCTCTTGTCAACGACTAAATCGCTCTGCATCTGGGTCAGCAACGCGGCCCTATCCTGTGAGCTGCTTAGCGTTCCAGACGATCCACTCCAAGAGAGGCTACGAAGCTCAATCATTTTGCCACCTGGCTCGAGACTAGGACGAGCACGATGCGAAGCGTCCGCCCGACACCTCTGGTCCCCATGCACCTGCTTCAGGGACTGATTGCTCGCATCAGCTCGATCTTTTCGCTCTCCATCATCATCGCGCTCGTTCTTGGACATGTGGCGCTTGCCATTCCAGTGTCTGCTCCGGTCCACCGAGGTGCTGTCGTAGGAGCGACTTTTGGTTTGCCGTACGCCGATGCGGAGGTCGATCACCGCCAAGTGTTGATCAAACGGCACGAGCAGATCTCGTCTGCCTCCGTGCCCGCGGGCTTTGTTTATCCCACTCACCACTACCGCCGCGATGGGGACGCCCTGCCTGCCCCGGACAAGTCGTTCAATATGACTGTCACTCAAGGCAACATCAGCCCGGACGGCTTCGAGCGACTCGGCTTCCTCATGAACGGCAAATATCCCGCCGATCCCTTCATCTGGGACGAGAACGACGACATCGAGATCACCGTCAACAACGAGGGCCCCGTGCCGTTCGCGATCCACTGGCACGGTCTCCACCAGATTGGCACTCCCGAGATGGATGGTGTCCCCGGACTGTCGCAGTGGAACATCTACCCGGGCCAGTCCTTCACGTACCGGTTCAAGCTCACGAACCAGCATGGGGGCTACTGGTACCACAGTCACGAACGCGGCTACTATGCCGACGGTCTGCGCGGCACCTTCTACGTGAGGCCCAAGGCGGGCCGCAACAAGCCGTGGAGCCTCATCAGCACCAACGCCGACGACATCGATCAGATGGAAGCCGCCGAGCAGGACTTCCAGATCATGTCGCTCTCCGACCACTGGCACATCAATCACACCGACATGCTCTTGGTCGTCCACGAGAGCGGCGTTCCTCCCGCCTGTTTCGACTCGCTGCACATCAACGGCCGCGGCCGTCAGTACTGCGTGGGCAACTGGACCACCGTCATGTCGCCGGTGGAGTTGAGCCTGCTGCAGAACTTTAGCAGCATCAATCCGACCGGCCCCACTTCGAAAGGCTGCATCTCGCTCGTGCCGCCGAAGGATGGCTACACGGTCAAGGACACGCTCGACACCATGTACGGAGGCGCGTGCCAGAATACGACCGCGCCTTTGACCGTCTTTAGTGCGGCCAAGGCGATCAAGGCGGGAAGGCGATGGCTCAATCTGCAGGTGATCGACCAGGCGACCAACTGGCTCTATGGTATCAGCATCGACTCGCACAGGATGTGGATCGTCGCCGTTGACGGCCACTACGTTGAGCCGATGCAAGTCGACTGGGCCCAAGTCACCATTGGCAGCCGTCTCAGTGTCATGGTCGAGCTCAACGCCAATCTCACAGGCAACATCTTCCCGATCCGCCTCACGGGTGCTCGAGCTCTGCAGCCTATCGAGGGCCACGCCTTCCTTTCGTATGAAGACGATGCTGAAGACACGTGGAACCCAGGTCTAGAGGAGGACTTCCAGTACGCGATGCGCGAGCTGTCCACAGCTCATGTGCCGATGAGCGGCTTTGTGTCGGATGCGAGCGTCGTCAAATGGCAGCCCAACTCGAGCTTCCCGTTCGATCCTCTCAGCACAGTGCCGAGGACGGCCAACATGACGCTGCACGCCGTTGCCTCGCAGAATAGCCTCAACGTGTGGCAGGTCGCCTCGACGCCACTCGACACGGTCCACCTTGCAGACGAGCGGCCGATGCTCTTCAACGCGACCGACGGCAACGTGACGTCGAACCAGATGAATCCTTACGCCACCATCCCCTTCGGCGCCGTGGTCGACATTATCATCGAAAACAACATCTACTCGATCGTGGGTGGTCCGAACAGCCCGCATCCCTTCCACATGCACTCGCGCCGCTTCTGGGTGATCGGAGCTGGCGCGGGTCCTTTCCCCAACAATACGGTGGCCGAGGCGCAGGCGGCCGGCGTCATCTTCAACCTAGACAATCCGCCGTTGCGCGATGGATTCGACATGGATGCGAATGCTTGGGTGGCCATCCGGTACATCGCAGATCATGCAGCGGCCAACATTCTTCACTGCCACATTGACGACCACGTGATTCAGGGAATGGCAGCGGTGCTGCTGGAAGGACTCGAGACGATTCCGGCAGGAGGCAACTTCAGTGAGGCTGTCGTGCAGCGCCCCACCGGCTGGGAGGAGACGCAGAACGACACTCTGGGCCAGGTGCTCGAAGCTGCATGGTCTACGGGCGCTGCTGCATCCAAGTGGATCGAGCCAGCAGAGACCGATACTGTGATGCCGTGGGGTGATCCGCGCTCGTTGGCTAACAGCATCCAGCTCCTGGCCAGCTCCAATAGCGTGCAAAGGTCCATCACCAGCTCGCTGCAGAGCCAGATGAGCCAGGTCCAGGCCACGGCGACCGGGACCATCACCGCCATCACCGCTACAGTCTCTGGCCACCTGACCACCTTTACAGGTGTACCGTCGAGCAGCAGTGCGGCGTCGGCCAGCCTCACCGCGAACGCAGCCAGTGTAACCGCCGTGGCATAAAGTGCTGTCAGCATCGGCGCCCGTCAACGAGGTCAGCTTGAGGCCTGACTCGACGCAGCTCGCAGCAGCCAATCCCCTGTTCTCTGCTCCTGACCACACGATCTTCTCAGTTGCCGTGTACTCCAAAAAGCCAGAATCACAGAATCGAGTCTCGTCACCACCGTGACCCGTAACCAAAAGCCTGTTTCTCCGAATCCAACGATACTGTGCGCTGTGTCGGCTGGATGTGAAGGTAGGCTCAGGCTCGCCAGGTTGCATCGCTGCGTGTCGGGTGTATAGCCGGTCGCTAAGCCAGAGGGCGAGAATTCCACCGTTGGCTACCCCGCAATTTTGGGTTGAGCGCAGCCAAAGGCGGTGGAGGCGAGAGAATTGGCGATCCGTGCGTTCCGTTGGAAGCCGTTTCATCTTGTCATCAGAGTCGACGAAGCGATTACACGTTCGGGTTGCCTTCCGGACACCACGAAGCTCTCATACGCAAAACAGGATCGACCCATTCAAAGGGCAAAGGCCAAGTTATCTTCTATCGCGACGAACAGTCTTGAAATCATGACGACCTGGCAGCAAGTGGCCGAGGCGAAGCGTGCGCAGCGGGAAGCACTGCTGCCAGCCGCGTACAAGGTGGCGGCGGACAAGCTGCCACCGGCTGGCACCGACTCGGTGATCGACTTTGCGCGCACGTGTGGCGTGCTATCGGAGCGCGAGGTGGAGATCACCGAGACCGACGACGTATCCGTGCTGCTGGCGCGACTCGCGAGTGGGCACTACACGGCGGTGGAGGTGCTGGAGGCATTCATCAAGCGCACGTGTGTTGCGCACCAGCTGGCGAACCCGCTCACGGAGATTCACTTTGAAGATGCGCGCGAGTGGGCGGCCGAGCTGGATGCCGAGCTCAAATCGACAGGCAAGGTGCGTGGACCGCTGCACGGCCTACCTATGAGCGTCAAGGACCAGTTCCAGATCGCTGGATCCGACGCCACGATTGGGTACATCAGCTATGCGAACAAGCCGTCAAAGTCCGACTCGGTGCTGGTGGATGTGCTGAAGCGCGCGGGCGCGGTGCCGTTCGTCAAGACCAACCTGCCCCAGACGATCATGTATTCCGAGACGTCCAACATGTTGTGGGGCACCACGGTCAACCCGCACAACCGTACGCTGCATCCGGGAGGATCGTCCGGCGGCGAGGGCGCGCTGGTCGCCATGAAGGGCTCGCCCTTGGGTGTGGGCACGGACGTAGGTGGCTCGGTACGCATCCCCGCGACCCTGTGCGGAGTTTTCGGCCTGCGCCCATCGTCTCATCGATACCCATACGAGGGAGCGATCAACTCGCTGGTGGGGCAAATCACGATTCCGTCGGTGCTTGGCCCGCTGAGCCGTTCGCTGTCCGGCCTCACCGAGTTCTCCAAGGCGGTGCTGGCACAGCAGCCTTGGTTGCAGGACCCACAGACGCCATCGATGCCATGGAACACGGAGCGGTTCGAACACGCACGCACGCAGAAGAAGCTCAACATCGGGGTCATGTGGCACGACGGGGTGGTGAAGCCTTCGCCGCCGTACGAGCGCGCGATCAAGCAGGTGCTCTCGACGCTTGGCAGCCACGACGTGGTCGACTTTGAAGCGTTCCGCACGATCGAGATGCTCGAGATCCTGGGCGACGCCTTCTGTGCCGACGGAGGCAAGGACATCGAAGCTGCCATTGCGCCACTCAACGAACCACTCGGACCGTGCTTTTCGGGCATCGGCAAGCGCGAAGCCACGGGCTACGAGGTGTGGCAAGCCAACAAGCGCAAGCTCGCCTTTCAAAAGGCGTATCTCGACCACTGGAACGCCACAGCCCAGCAGACCAAGGACGGTCGCCCCATCGATGTGCTCATCGTGCCCGGCTTCGCATACACGGCGGTACCGCCGGGCAACGAGATCTACATCGGCTACACGGGCATCTTCAATGTGGTCGACTATCCCGTGGTGGTGATGCCGGTGACCAAAGTAGACCCCAAGGTCGATGGGAGCGCCGAGCGAACCGACTTCCTCAACCCAGACGACGAGAAGTGGTACGGACTCTGGGATGCGGAGAAGCTGGTCAACGCGCCCGTGGGCATCCAGATTGTGGGTCGACGCTACGAGGAGGAAGCGGTGCTTGGATACGCCGAGCAGATCTGGAACGCATTCTCGGCTTCCAAGGCGGGCTGAGGACTGTCTTGCGCTGCAGCTTCTTGTCATGCTTGACTGAATGCAGTGCTTCCCGTTGTGCGTTTGATGTCTGGAATAGCTGGTAAAAAAAAGAAGAGTGTGAGATCGATTCAGGGTTGGTCGTAAAAGTCGGGAAATTGGCAGTAAGCTAAAATCACGTGACGCTATGGCACGCGGTTGGGACTGGTGAGGCGCGTGTGTTGATATCGAGAGCGGCATCCCTAGGCTGCTTTGGAAGCGGGCGAAGAAGAACGAGACATGGGGCGTCTGGTCAGTCCGCACCGGCAACAACCCGAGCTCGCATGGTAGCAAGCTTTGCAGGGGAATGCGTGAATGTGAGAGCTTGGCGTGAATGTGAGAGCTTGGATACGCCCAAGCGTGATGGGATGGATGGAGGTCAGCGCCCCAGCCAGGATGCAGCACATTGACTTTCCACTTTCCACTGCGCACGCTCGGTACTTTGCAACTTGACACATCCTCACCTCGTCGGCCGCCCAACACTTCGCCAGCTTTGTCACGGTGAAAGTGGATTTCCTCCGACCTGTTCCACCATCCCTCTAGTCCACGAGACGAGGCCGCTTCGTCTGCCTCCTTTGTCGACACCACATCCATCAAGGCCTCGTCAACGCCTCGGCTGTATCACGTACAGCATCGTGTTTGACCCGACGCTGGCATTGCGACACAGAGCGGACAGCAAACATGCATCAGCTCCCATCTCTATAAATCCCAACCAACGATCTCCATCGCAGCCAAGCCTAACATCCCACCTTCGGGGACAAGCACCACCATCATGACTGCCGTGTCGCGCTACCACGACCTGGTCCCATCGACACCAGTGCTTCGACGCTCCTCCAGGCACGCTGGCGGCGTCTTGCCAGACCACACTCCCAGCGACCATGCCAACGCCACCATAGGCGACAGTCCATTGCCGCCCGCTCCCGTCAGCCACTTCCTTGGCGATGCCGAGTCCCAACCAGAGCCTTCTCAATTCTCCTCTGCAGCCTCTCACATTGCAACCAACGCTGCTCACTCGCGTATTCGCCCGCTCAGGATCTCCTCTGAAGCGCACAGAGATACGCATTCGGATCCATACGACGACTCTCCCGGTACTGGCCGTAGAGCCGCGCCTTCTGCAGCTTCGCATCGCGACGAGCTCGGCAGCCTCCGCGCTGCAGGCATCTTCCGCGATGCTCCCGCCCAGGACGCCTACAGCCGCTCGTCTCCCTTTGCATCAGCCTCCGCTCTTCAGCACGACGAGCTCAGATCCAAAAGCTCGCCACCATTGCGCATGGCCAAGGTCAGCGCGCTTGCTTCCCATCGTGAGAGCGCTTCCCCTCTGCACGACGCTGAGCTGCGCGTCAATGCTTCATTACCCGCCCGCAGACGTAGCGCAGAGAAGGCCGAGGAAGACGACGAGAAGAAGGTCAGGTACGCCCCTATCGAGGAGCGCGCATCGGTAAAGCGTGACACTCCGGACGATGCCGCCCATCGAGCCGGCTCGTCGAGCGTCCAGCCCGCAACTGGCTACCGCACTCCTGCAATGACTGGTCGCGCACTTCGCTCAGCGGCCACAGCTGCCCCAGCCACGGCGCAGCGCAGCGCTGCCAGGAGCTTGCGTACGCTCACCCGCTCCTCGAACCGTCATCCTCCCGCCAGGAGGGTCGTCAGGCGATATTCTGACGACGAGGACGATGACCTGGACGAAGAAAAGGCCGAAGCAAATCGCTCCAATGGCGCCGACGACGCACAAAGCGCCAGCCCGGACCCACAACAGCCGCGTGCTTCTCGGCACAGTCAGGACGGAAGCTCCAACTCTGGTTCAGGTTATGCACCCGCTTCTGGCGCAGCACCAACCTCGGCAGAGGCGGCAGAACGGCCAGATCGCCGCTTCCTCCCGTACGGCTACGATGCTGAAAAGGAGAAGCTCCGCGCAGAGATGATGGAGAGGGCCTCACTCGTTCGTTCCCCAGCACCCGAATCGCAGCCTGCCCGCCAGCAAGCACCAGACGAGGTCGGCGCCATTCAAGATTACGACATGCAGCCCCCGCCGCCCCGCAGGAATGAGGCGCATCCGCTCGCCAGACGCTCCGTCGTCGAGCCAGCGTTGGCAAGAGAGGATGGCTCGATCCATCCGACCCGAGGACAGGTCGAGGCAATCCAGAGCTTCCTCGCGTCCAACATAGCTGCACCTGCGGATCCTCTGGCGAATCGCCGACTCGTTCCAGCCTCCAACAACGATCTCCGAGAAGGTCAACGCGTCGCTCCTCGTGCTCCGAATGGGGTCAGCGATCACTTGCTCAAATCAACTGGCTTGGCATCTACAGGTGCCAGACCAGGCGCCGCTTTCGGACAGCAAGACGAGAACGAACCTGCCGAGGAGGATGCATGCCGTCTGTACTCCGAGATTCGACACGAGGCCATCTGGGCCGAGACGACGCGCCAGATGCAGAAGCCGCTCAGCCAGGAGGAGCGCTTCATGAAGGAGATCGCTGGCTCGACACGCTGCGTCAAGCTGCCCGGCTTCAAGTTCCGCAGAAAGCAGCTCACCAAGGGCGGCTTCTCCACCGTGCACATCCTGCGCGGACCAGCGTGCGAGAAGGTGCGCAATGCAGACACAGGCATGGTGGACGAGCTCGCCGTGCCCGAGGAGCAGCAGGCGTTCTTTGCGCTCAAGCAGGTCGACCTCAAGCAGATCGAGAGCGAGCAGGACAAGCTGGATCTGATCGCCGAGGCCAACCTGCAGAGGACGCTGTCGGACCTGGAGGGAAGCGAGATGTATCTGCTGCGTTACTTTGGACATCACGTCACCGTCGACAAGAACGGCAGTCCGGACAAGCTGCGAATCCTCATCGAGCTCGGCGAGCACGACTTTGGCACGGTGCTGGCGCAGCAGGCGCCGCTGCCGCGCGAGGCGATCGCGCATTACTTCCGCGAGATGCTCGAGGCGGTGCACTTCATCCACGGCGCCAATCTGGTGCACGCCGATTTGAAGCCGGCCAACTTTTTGATGGTCGACGAGCGACTCAAGCTGATCGACTTTGGCATCTCGAAAAAGATCCCCAAGGGCACCGTGCACATCTCGCGAGACATTATCATCGGTACGCCGAACTACATGGCGCCCGAGGCGATCAAGATCGCGCGGACCAAGGGTAGGCGCGTGTACAAGGCAGGCAAGCCGAGCGACGTGTGGTCGCTCGGCTGCATCCTGTACCAGATGATCTGGGGCCGACCGCCGTTCGACCGCATACCGGCTAATCGCAAGCTGGAGATGATTGTGGATCCCGAGCACGAGATCGCGTACAACCGCTTCCGCGACCCGCGCTACACGGACCGACTCGAGGTGGACGACGACCTGTTGGACTGCGTCAAGGCGGCACTTAGGTACGACGCCGAAGACCGAGCGACGATTCCCGAGCTGCTCAAGCATCCGTTCCTGCGACAGTACGCGCCCGAGCCCGATCACATGGAGGAGGAGGAAGAGGTCGACCTCAACGAAACGGTCAGCATCTCGCGCGGCACGCTGCGAAGCCTGGTGGCGCGCATCCGCACCCTCGCTCTGCAGGAGGAGCTAAACGAAGATAATGTGGTCGACCGAGCCGATCTGCTCTTTACGAATCTGCAGCAGGCCCAACAACAGCAACAACAACAACAACAGCAGCAGCAGCAGCAGCAGCAGCAAAGATGATCGCAAGCAAAACCGGCTCCACCAACCCCTCTTGTCCGAAAACATACCCGCGCCTCTTGCGCTCCCATCCGCCCCAGTCCCTCCCAGATGAGCCTCGGTGGCCCTGGCATTGCTGGACACCTGGCTCTTCTTTCGTATTCATTTATAGTTTTGTTCCGTACATTCGTTCATTCATTCATCGCCTCCATCGTTCTCGCCACATCTTGGAATGGTATCCGTCTTGCAAAGCTTTCCATGGACTGGCATCTGAGGATCATTTGGGCTTTGAGAGGGTGTTGCTGTGGCGCCCAAGCGGGGGAAAAATAAATTTGTTAGGGTCGAGTTCGTGACATTCGGAAACGCGGCAAGAAATTGTTGGGGGAGGCAGCGACTTCGAGAGGCAGCTGGAAGCCTACGGACGACGAGCGAAGGAACGGGCGCCGCGTCAGCTTGGATTGCCAGGGCAGAGTAGGTTCAGGGCGGGCAACTCCACGTTTTCCTAGCGACTGCGCCTCAACATGGCCCCGCCCCAGGGTGCAGAGGCAAGCGGGAAAAGCGAGCGTCGAATGCAAGGCGATTCAGGCCGCGCGCACTTGCCACTTTCACCCACTCTGTAGTCGAGCCAACCACCCGACCCTTCTTATAACTTGTCTCTTTCCTCAGGCAATTCCCCTTCTCCTCCCTCATCCATTCCGTCACTCCCCTTGCGCGCATTCTCTGATCTGTAAGTGCTTTTAATCCGCACATGCTCCAGCCTCCTACAACAATATCCGCAGCCCGGCTTGCCTCTTGCGCCATGCTCCCGGTTCCGTGCGGGGACGGAGATGCAGGGAACGCATCCCCGCCCGGCCGCTCGTATGATGATACCAACTTTTCACTTTCACAAATACATGTTAGACTGCTTAGTCAAACCATGCAGAGAACGAAGCTTTTCTGATCCTTACCAGCTGGGCGGAGCATGTGCCAAGTCTTTGGAAGTGTAGAACCGATAGCTGACAGACAGATCCTTTGCGTCTTATTCAACGGACACAGCAGACACGCCAACACCTACACACACAGTCGCATCGGACCGATCACAAGCCATGTCGTCGCAACAGGCACCGCTCGCATACGCCGTCGCGCAATGGCTCCAGCAGTCGTCCGACTCGGCATCCGCCGAACACAAGGCCAAGCTGCAGCACGCCGCCAAGAGCGTCTCGGAAGCGTTTGACGTCGACACCTCCTCGGCACAGCAGCAGGCACAGTACGGCTCCGGTCCCGGTCTCCAGGCCATCTTTGACATCTTCCTCAAGACGCAGGCCAAGATGGGCGGTGCGGCTCCCGCGCCCGCAGCTGCACCAGCTGCCTCCACGTCGACCGCCGCAGCCACCCCCTCGGACGCCGACCTGGCCAAGGCGGAGCAGCTCAAGGCCGACGGCAACAAGGCCATGTCCGCCAAGGACTACGGCGCCGCCATCGAGGCGTACGGCAAGGCGATCGAGCTCAACCCCAACTCGCCCGTCTACTTCTCCAACCGCGCCGCCGCCTTCAGCCAGATCGGCCAGCACGACCAGGCCATCGACGATGCCAAGCAGGCGAGCAAGATCGACCCCAAGTTCGGCAAGGCGTACTCCCGACTTGGCCATGCGCTCTTCTCGTCCGGCCGCTTCGAGGAGGCCGTCGAGGCGTACCAGCAAGGTGTCGAGGTGGACCCGACCAACGAGGTGCTCAAGAAGGGCCTTGCTGCATCCAAGGAGCAAGCCTCGTCGTCTTCGTCCGCACCCTCGTCCTCGGCAGCTGGCTCGTCGACGCGCGACGCCGTCTCTCCACCGGCAGGCGCAGATGCCGGCGCCGGTGGCTTCCCCGACTTTGGCGGCGGAGCTGGCGGCATGCCCGACCTCGCGGCAATGATGAACAACCCGATGATCGCGCAGATGGCGCAGAACCTCATGTCGAACCCGGACAGCCTGGCGTCGCTCATGAACAACCCCATGCTCCGCCAGGCGGCCGAGAGGTTCGGCTCCGGTGGTGGCATGCCCGACATGAGCTCCATGATGAACGACCCCGCGCTGCGCGACATGGCACGCAACTTCATGGGCGGTGCCGGCGGCGGCGCCGGTCGTGGCAACGGCGGTGGCAACGGCAACAACAACATGTACTCCTAGACAGTTTCACAATAGTATGCGAGCGCCTCGCGGCGCAGTAATGATATCCCCACCTTATCTTTCTGGATTTGCTGCTAGCCTTTTGCTTGTGTGAGCGAGCGACGTATGCTCGAGTCGATGTAGCAGACGTGCTTGAGATAGAAAGCAACGGAGATGGCCGAGCTTTTTGTCGCTGGACGCATGCGAGTGGAGGGGTGTGAGCGAATTTTGCCAGACGCACAAACCACAGCTCGGCAGCGCGAACACATCCTTCGCGAGCTCCACCACTGCTTTCACCTGCGAGCTGCTGAACATGTCCAGTGCGTCGCCGACGGTGCGGGTGATCTACTTTGCCTCGGTGCGTACGACGCTTGGGCTTTCGCACGAATCCATCGCGCTGCCTTCGGTGCCCACTTCGCTCCCCACCCTCATCGAGCTCATTGCGCAGCGCCACAACGATAAGCAGCCCGATAGCGTGCTGGCGGGGTGTCGGTGGAGCGTCGACAACACGCTGATCGAAATCGACGAGATCGCAAACTGGACACTCAGCGGCGGCGAAGAGGTGGCTGCCATCCCACCCGTCTCGGGCGGCTAAGCAATGGATCAGCCCAAGGTCGAGGTCGAGCCGGCACGCAAGCCGCTGGTGGCAGCGTCGGTGCTGTCGCGCTTCTCGGCACACCACTTCTCGCCAGCTCCCAGCGGAGTCGATTCGAACCTGCTCATCCTGTTGCACGGGCTGGGTGATAGCGACACGCCGTTCTTTACGCTGGGCCAGTCGCTGCAAAAGACGCTGCCGCAGACAGCCGTGTTGACGCTACAGGCGCCGCATGGCGTACCGTTCCTCGACCCCGGCCGACACTGGATGTGGTATCCGACGTTCGACCAGTTTGGCGAGATACTCACCAAGCCCAACCCGCGCCCGACCGTCGACCACCTCAAGGGCCTGCTCGAGCATCTCACCGGCGCGTGTGGGTGGTCAGCATCGCACATTTACTTCTTCGGCTTCGGTCAAGGCGCCACGATCGCGCTGGAGACACTTGTCGACTGGACCAAGTCGCATGCAGACGAGCCTGCCGCAAGACTGGGAAGCATAGTGTCGGTGTCCGGCGAATTCATCTCGCATCCGACGCTGACGAAACCGAGCGCGACACCCGTGCTGCACATCTACCGCTCGCCGAGCGAGACACCGCGCGATGCGAGCCGATGGGCATCATTCCGAAAAGCCACAAGCGCACTGCAGCTGCATAGGTTGGCATTGGCACCAGGCGGGGCGGACGAAGCGATGCTACGCGGACAGGAGTGGGATGGCGTGATGCAGTTCTGGTCGAGGCTGCTGCGCAGTCGAAGTAGCTGGGAGCTCAGCGGCGACGTGGTACCGCTTGCGCCTCAGAAGTAGTACAGCGTACGGCCCTGCAGCTTGAGCGCGTAGATCACGTCGATCGTACGCACGGTCTTGCGGTTGCAGTGTGCTGCCGATCCAAACGCGGGTCAGCTCGACTCGACGATGCGGGTGGGGAGGCAGGTGGGACTTACCGGAGTAGACGATGGCGTCGTGTACGGCGCGCGTGAGGAAGTTACGCAGAATGAACCGCGTCTCCTCGTACACCATCCCACCCAGACCTATAGACGCAAAGCGCAAGCCGAGTGTCAGCTACGCCACTGCTTCAATGTCGCCCGGTGGGTGGAGCTTACGCTTGACGCCTCCTCGTCGCGCAAGACGGCGGATGGAGCCCTTGCTGATGCGTTCGAGTGCCGAGCGCTGTGCGCGGTACCGCTTGGTGGCGCGCGCCACCCGCCCATTGCCTTGGCCCGGAAGACATTTACCGCCCTATCCCTCGCAGCATTAGCATCCGTTCGTATCACATTTATCCTGTACCAGCGTCTTACCGTGAAAGTCTCTGGTCGATCCAAGCAAGAACGAGTCAGGAACAATGCCGATGCAACTGCGTGACTCTGCCCAACTCACTTGCACCCATTCTGTCTCAAAGTTGTGCTCGGTAAAGATGATGTGATTGAAGCGAGGTGCGGGCTGGCAATGACAAGCGTGATTCTTATGCATGCGGACATTGTATGTGCGGCGGAAAGACAAAGCAAGCAAAGCTTGTTGCGGCAGTGTCAATCGCGGCCTTAGGAATGCAGCTGTGCGGAAGAGAAAAAATATCGAGATGAAAGCGTAGAGCGGAGAATCAGCGGAATTGCTCTGCAGCACGCTTCCGCGGCGGCACGGACTGGGTCGAGAACTTACAATGGGAGCGACGGTGGTCATCCACTCGCCTACGGTGCGGAAGAGTGTATCGTCGCCGCGGTCGACCGGGCCGTCAGGGCCCCAGATTCGCAGCTCGTCGTCTGCCACGTGTGCCGCGGGCGCAATTCGTACTCTCGCCGCCGCCCTTTCGTCGGTCCTTGCCACCGTTGGCTGCGTTTCCTCCTGCTGCTCGGGCTCGCGTTCTGATGCGGGCGAGGCATCTCGGTCACTTTGCTCTTCGTCTTCGTTGTCATCGTCATCGCTGTCCATGGAGAACCTCTGCTGTTTGGCGGGCATGCGCGTAGTCTTTTGCCTCTTGCGCTGTCTTTCCTTGTCATCCTCTGCGGCGGGTTGGGCTGCAGTGCTGGTACTCGGCTGCGCACTCGCCGGCGGTTCGACCTGGGCAATGCGCACAAGCTCCGCGCGGTAGCCGGGGGGAAGCGGCAGGGATGTCGACTGGATGGCTCGTCCGCGGAACGCCGAGACATAGCTGTTCAGAGACCCCGCAGATTCGGTCGTGCTTGAGCTGGACTGGTCCTGCGAGTCATCGCTCGCTGCGGCGCGCAGAAGGAGGAACGAATCGACAGGCGCTGGGCCGTCGTAGTCGATGTGGAACGGCATGAGGTTGGGCGTGCATTGTGGCAGCGCATCCGTCGTGGATGGGCCGAGCACGAGCTCCATCGGTGGCGGTAGCAGTTCGACCATTGCGGCGGTCATCAAGGTCAGCACCGAAAGGAACCGATCAGGTGAAAAGTCTTGAGAAGGCAAAGGCTGGCGAAGGTCAGCAGCGGCGAGGACAGCAGAGAGGGAGACCAACACCTCGCATCAACCCTGGCAAGGCGCGTGGTGGCGCGTGGGCGCGTAAAGTGTCCGACTCGCCGCATCTTCTACTCGTGCGATAGAGCCTCAAACGCCAAGATCAAACATTCGAAGGGTTCCGCCAAAATTCGTAGACTGCTTCGTGATCGACAGTGGCAGAGCGCCTGCCAGCCTTTCAGCGCCGTTCGCCACTTCGGAAGAGCTGTCGAGCTAACAGATTCCGAAAAAAAAAGCGAGAAGAAAGTTTCCCTTCGAAATTTTGGAGTGGGATGGCGAGAAGGAGTTGATGTGCCTCGACAGCGCCGCTGCCGCCCAGCTGATCCCCCCGCCGCCGCCGAAGGTGAACGCACCGTCCATCACTACATCATCACCTCCTCCCTCCATCACCACACCCCCATATCACACATATACAATCATGACTGAAGCGGCAGGTGCCGTCATCGGCATCAACTTCGGCCACTCGTACTCCTCCATCGCCTGCATCAACCAGCAGTAAGTTTCGACCTATGTCTTTCGCTCGGCTGCCACTCCCAGCATATCGATACTGACGATCTTGCGCCTTTGTCCATCTTTCACTATTCCGTAGCGGCCGTGCCGATGTGATCGCAAACGAGGACGGTGAGCGCCAGCTCGCCACGCGCATTGCCTACAACGGCGACCAGGTCTACCTCGCCAACCAGGCCACCCCGCAGCTCGTCCGCAACGCGCCCAACGTCATCGACAACTTTGTCAACCTCCTCGGCCGCCCCTTCGCCGAGCTCACCGACGCCGAGAAGAAGCGCAACTCGGCACCCGTCATCGACTCGAACGGCGCACCCGCCTTCCAGGTCGAGATCGACGGCACCCAGACCGTGCTCACTGCGCACGAGGTCTCGGTGCGCTTCCTCCGCTCGCTCTTCCTCACCGCCAAGGACTTCCTCTCGGGCGTCCCCATCGCAGGCGCCGTGCTCAGTGTGCCCCAGTGGTTCCCCCAGCAGCAGATCTCGGCGCTCAAGGCCGCCGCCGAGGAGGCCGGCCTCATCGTGCTCCAGGTCATCCCCTCGTCCGCCGCCGCGCTCGCCGCGTACGGCCTCACCAACCCGCAGGGCCCCGGCCAGCTCCCCGCCCACCCGGACGGCGTTGAGGGCGCCCCCTACGCTCCCGGCAAGGAGCTCGACCGCAACGTCGTCGTCGTCGACATGGGCGGCTCGTCCACCGACGTGGCGCTCGTCGCCGCGCGCGCCGGCCTCTACTCGACGCTCGCCTACCTGCACGACGCCACGGTGGGCGGCGCCACGCTCGACGCTGCGCTCGTCGCATTCTTCGCCAAGGAGTTCACCAAGAAGACCAAGGTGACCATCGCCGACACCGACAAGCGCGCGTGGGCCAAGCTGCGCAACGAGTCCGAGTTCACAAAACGCGCGCTCTCGGCGTCCAACTCGGCCACGTGCTCGGTCGAGTCGCTCGCCGACGGCATCGACTTCACCGGCACCGTGAACCGCATGCGCTTCGACATGCTTGCCGGCCCGGCGTTCGGCAAGGTCGTGGCGGCGGTGGAGAAGGTGCTTGCGCAGGCCAAGCTCGAGGCGTGCCAGGTGGACGAAGTGGTTCTTGCCGGTGGCAGCGCAAGGCTCTCGGGGCTCGCTGACAGGCTGGCGGGTCTGTTTGGCGACGCCGAGGAGGGCGGTGCGCACATCACCGCCTCCATCGATGCCGACCAGGTCATCGCTCGCGGCTGCGCCATCCAGGCGCAAGTCATCGCTGCCGCTCCCAAGGGCTCCAAGGAGGCAGCGTTCCTCACCGAGCTGCCCAAGGCTCCCGTCGACTCGCTCGCCGAGCTCAAGGTGCAGGCCACCTCGGCGCCCATCGGCCTTGTCCTCGCCGACGGCGCATTCGTCACGCTCGTGCCCAGCAACACTGCATACCCGCTGCGCCGCTCCTTCCGCCTGCCCGTCGCCAAGGGCGCCGAGTCGGTGGCTGTGACGCTCGACCAGGGCATCGACGACGTCAAGGTCGAGACCATTCAGCCGGACCCGGAGGACTTTGACGAGGACGACGACGAGCCGCTCGAGCCCGAGACGCGCAAGACCGCCATCACCAAGCCGGCAGGCAAGGGCCTTGCTGCCTTCACCGTGCCCACGCCCGCCAAGGGCGCAAAGTCCGTCCTGCTCACCCTCGAGGCCGCTGCACCGGGCAAGCTCTCGCTCTCGGCGCAGGAGGACGGCGCCTCGAGCTCGGTCGACCTTGAGCTCTAGACTGTCTTTCCTTCCTGCACACACTTTGGCTCTCGTAATACACTCTCTGCAGCATCAACAATGTGTGTGAATGGTCCGCAAAACCGAAACCAGATGAAGAGTGAAAAGACGAGGTTTAGGCGTGGAGAATGTGGTTCCACCAGCGCGAGCTTCCCTTTGGATGCGAGGCGAGCGAGGCGGAGCGCGAGTGGGTGGGCGAGTCGGGTGGGGGGGTCGAGTGTTTCTTGCGCAGCTTGCGCAGTTTGTGTGCCGAGAGCGAAAGCGCGACAGCAGGTGCAAAGTTGTCTTCGGGATCCGAATGAAGGTGGATCGAGGCACAGGGGATGTCGACGCCATCGTACACGTGGGCACCCGTGCGCAACCCCGTCCCCACCTTCGCTTCTGCTGGCTTAGCTTCCGACTCGACGCGCGGCGGTTCGGCAACCGAGCAGGTGGCGTCGGAAAGATGCTCGAGGCTCGACAGGATCATGTGTCGCGTGGGGTCGAACTTCTTGGCGCCGGTGCGTGGGGCAAGGGGCGTGAAACACGCTGTATCGTCCGATTCGGACAACGTGCGTGTTCGGCGCGACGGCGGGCTTTGCAACGAGGCGCACGAGCGTTCGGCACGCAGCTTGGACTCGTTGCCCGCCGAGTGCCAGCGTTGGCGCTGCGCCCACACGCCTGCTTCCTGCACGGGTAGCGGAGGCAGCCGCGGTGCATCATCAAACGACACCGCATGCCGAAGCGTACGCTGTGGCTTGGGCGATGCCACCGCTGGACTGTTGAGCACCTCCATGGCTGCCGACGATGGTGGTGTAGCAGCCGTATCGCTGTGGTGTCGCATGCGTCGCGGTGGTGCTGCCGCCAGCTGCACCGGTAGGCGCGGCGGCGGCTCGAGCGCGCCAAACGTACCGCGCCTTGCCTCATGGCTGCCGACATCAAACGTGCTGTACGCATACTCGCTCGGGTTGGGGCTGCACGGCAGACTGCTTGCAGTGGTGCAACCGTCGTCGTGTTCGAGCTGCGCGTGGGCCCGGAATGGATCGGGAAGCAAGAGCGTCGGCGGCTTGTGCGCGCGTGAGCCTGCGAGGGATGCATCGGGCGCAAGGTCGAGCAGCGGGTCGTGCACGGCAAACGCCTGATCGAGCGTGTGCTGGTCCAGACGGCGGTGTTCGAGCGGGAGACGCTTGATGCGGATCTTGTCGCCATCATGTGGGCTCTCGTGATCTGGCTCGCGGTGGAAGGGCGCATCGAGCGTATCGAGAGGATCGTACGAGTCGCTCTGGCGTCGCTTGAAAGCAGGCGATGGCGCCCAGTCGAAGCTGCGCTCTCCATATGCAGCGTAGGGCAAGAAGTTGTCCACTCTCTTGCTCGCCATGGCGACATCGCTGTCGCTCCTCTTCCTACGTCTGCGATTGCGCATGCTGTCCGTCGAGTCGATAGCGACATGGTTGAAGGTCACTACAAGTGGACTGAGCGATGCCGAGCCGGGTGCTGCCGAGTTGCGGCGTGCTGGACTGAGCGGTGCGAGGGGCGAGTTGAGCGTGAGGCAGGTGGCTGTACTGCTCCTTCTGCGCGCATCGGCAGAGGAAGGGCTTGTGAGCGAGCCTGTTGCGAGCAGATGCTGCCACTCGTCCTTCTCGATCCAGTCAAAGTAGACATGGCCGTCGGCCTCGCGCACGCGAAGACGCTGCTCGCGCTTCTGCACGGAAGTGGTTCCGAAGAAACGGTCGATCTCCTCCTTGGTCTGGTAGCGAACGGGGCGAAAGTGACGCGCCTGCGCAGCGGTGGGCGAGTGTACAGTCATGGAGCGCGAGCGTGTATTCGTCGACATTGTGAAGGAAGCTGTGCAAAGGTGGAAAGCAGACCGAGCCAGGCGTGGGGCTTTCCCGGGTGTGGGCTAGGTCTTTATAGCTGCAGCTGGCGCAGGGGCTATCGAAGGGTCTGAGGAGCGCAGCCGGGTGGGTTTTGCGGCAACAGCGCAAGCATGCACATCTGGGCAGCTCGGCTAGAGTCGCTCCGCCGCGTCGAGATTGGTGGGATTGCATCTCCGCAGGGCCCGCAGGCCGAAGCTCGTCTGAGCTCAGACGCGGCTGAGAACTTTCCCTTTCATCAGCTGCTTCCTTTCATCACCAGGCAGCACAGACCTCGAATCGCAGGTGTGAAGGCACAAAGGAACAAAGGGCAGCCGGCAGAAGAAAGCGTGGCGAGTCTGCAGGGAAAAAGTGGGCGTAAGTTTAGCTCCAAATCGACTTCATGCGTTGCCGCCCCGAACAAAGGGGATGCTGCGCCATGGCGCTTCCGTCTTATGCGCATCCGTCGGATGCTTTCATCCGCCATCAAAGGGACTCTTGACACACACCTTTGTCTTTGAGCATATTCAAGCGGAATAAGATGAGCCAATCAGCCAAAAAGTTGGACGCATGATTCCGTGCAAATGCAAGTATGACAAAGACATAGAACGAGCAAAAAAAAGAGGTGGCGCCCCGAATCAGTAGACGAGGTAGCCAATGTTGAGCAGCGGGAAGCCCGCCATAAGGCCGATCCAGAAGATCATGTTGCCGAGCGTTTCGTTGCGCTTGATGAAAGGGATCTGGCTGATGATGATGAGCGGCAGCTGCACCATCTGCGCCGCAAACAGATAGAAGCGGATCTTGCCGCTGACGATGGCCATGACGAGCTCGTGCACGAGCGAGCTGAGCAGGAACGTCAAGAACATGGCCATGCTCTTGCTGAGACCCCACGCGGCGATGGTGCTGGCATACACGTGGCGCAGCAGGAAGCTGTGCACGGGCTTGTTCCACTTGCGGCTGAAGACGTCCATGCTGGTGGCGTTCCACCAGTCCAGGTAGAACTCGCGATCGGCAAAGCGCGTGAGCTCGGCAAACGCGTTGCAGATGCACTCGAACATGATGTAGAAGATGAGCAGGTAGTTGATCATCATTGGCACCGCCAGCTGCAGGAACGTGCGCAGAAACGGCGTCTCGGGCGTGGGGGTGAACGGCATGATCCAGTGCTCGGTGATCACGTAGATCACCAGGAACGTGCCAAACGTCGCCAGCGTCTTCTCGAGCACGTAGAGCGGACGGATCGTCTTGAGTCGCGGGTAGGAGAGCTCGTAGACGAGCGTAGGCACCAGCAAGTAGTCCCAGAAGTTGGCGTACGTCAAGTTGGCAGGCCACATGACGGGATCCTGTCGGATCAACTCGGGCGACGGCTCGGACGACGGTCGGGACGACAGCAGATCCTCGCGCAGCACCTCGATCTCGCGCGCCAGATCCGAGATGAGCCCGTCCGGGTGCGAAGAGAGCGGATGCGGATCACGAATCTGATGCGGCTCGGCGCCCGAAGCGGCTCGACTCGTGGATCGGCGTCGGTTGAGCGACGAGTCGGCTTTGGCTTCGTTGTCCTTGTCGGTGCCAGCCTTGCGCTCGGCGTTGGTCTTGTCGGTCATGTTCTTGTGCAGCTGAATGTGCTCTTCCCGGCTTAATTGCTTGTCTTTGCGGCCTGGCGGATCTGGCAGAGAGTCGGCTTGGTCGCGAGCTTGGCTGGATTCGTCCTTGACGGTGAGTTTGGGAGATGGCTCCTCGCCCTGGGGTGCGGCATTGAGTGCTTGTCCCAGGTGCAGCCGGCTCGAGCTGCTGCCTCGCTGCTTGTGGAGCGCCGACCATTCTGCAAGAGAGTGCGCGGTGGCCTTGTCGGCGTCCTTGTCACCAAAGCCTGCGGCGTTGCGAGCGAGACGGACGGCTTTACCCCACGCGGCATGCAGTTGTTCGTCGCCTCGACCGGCCTCGGCACCCTCGACCTCGGCGACGCGCTCCTCGAGCATGCCTTCGATGCGGCGCATGCGGTGGTAGGTGTCGGCCATGTTGCCGTTGACGTTCATGTAGGAGTGGATCTTCATCATCATGGCGAGCGTGTGCAGCACGAAGAAGCCGCTCTGCACCCACGGCCACTCGCGATAGCGCGCCCACTTGATGACGAGGCCGAGCAGCGTTGCCTGCCACAGGTGCTGGAAGGTGACCGCGGTGGGCCAGTAGCGGACCCAGCCGCGGCGACAAACCTTGGCGAAGGGCACGCAGATGAAGAGCGAGGCGATGAGCACGCCGTCCGAGATGGCGAGGATCCATGCATCCCTGCTGAAGAGCGTGGCAAAGGTGAGGCTGAGCACTTGGCCGGTGGAGGCGAAGGAGGTGTAGGAGGTGTTGAGCACAAAGAGGGCGAGGCAGACCCAGAAGAGGGTGAAGAAGCCGCGGAACTGGTCGCGCGAGGAGGTCTCGTTGAAGCGGTCAAAGTGACTGTTGCGCGGCTTGAAGCTGACGACGGCTCGCATCTTTTTGCGCGAGCGTGTCGAGGCGGCGACGGGCTTGAGGTGGATGGCGCCATCCTTGCCGACTCGAGGCGAGAGCGCCTTGGCGCCGATGTGCTTGAACTCGAACGTGGAGGATCCGGTGCCGTGCGAATTGGAGATGGTGGTGGTGAGCGTCGAGGTGGCGACGGACGGCTCTGGTTCCGAGTCGGACGGTGTAGCTCTACCGTTGGTCGGTGTCGACGGCAGCTCGGACGACGGCACCATTTCGGATGCGGGCGTGCTAACTGCGGACGAGATGGCGTCTTCCGGGGTGTCTGTCATGAGTTGGGCAATCTTGGGGTGTTTGGCGACAAAGTCCTCCTCGACAGGTAGCGCACGAGCGCCGGAGGATGTCTCGTTGGTGGCCATGGCTGGGTATCCTACTCAAGTTCCAATGTGTTCCGTGGCGGCTGGGGCGGACGAGTTTTATTGCGTTCGGTGCGCTGATGCCGGAAGAACCGAACCGATTCGGTCGCGAGAGGCGCGGCGGCAACAAGCCGAGTAGCCAAGTGAGGGTGGAGCGCGCTTGCAGGCGCAGGCAAGGTGTGAGTGTAGAGAGCGTCGGTTGTGGTGGTCGAGCGGGATCCTTGATCGGAGGTGGTTACCGGTCGCTGGGAAAAAGCTTCCGGCGACGCCACTCTGAGCCCCTGGAGAGAGAGAGTCTTGACTGTCTCACCTCGCCCAGACGCGCACTCACTCCACTTGGAATCCAATTTGCAGCAAGGCGGCAGCATTGAACCCCTTTCCGGGACAAATTTCGTGCAGCAACGTGGAGCATCGTCATCGTGTGCATCTGTCCGTGCAGCCATTCCTTGAACGCCAACCAACCGGAACTCGCATCCGCAACGCCATCCGACCCACAGAAGAGTACGGAATCGAGCTCTCGACTGTTCCTGCAGTTTGCGTATCCCCGCTCCCGAAGGTGTGGATCCTCGCCACCCCATGCAGTAGAGCAGGCAAAGAGCGAAGAATAAAACCTCCGACACGAAAAAAAGCAAAAACTAAAGTTCCCGGCCAGGGAATCGAACCCTGATCTGAGCAGTGAGAGTGCCCTATACTAACCATTGTACTAACTGGGACTCGGTGTTGATTACTAGTCATCGAGCATATATATAACCTCATCCTGCACAACCCAAAGGCACCTGCTGGACCCTGACGGCGGGGTAACCGAGGCGAGAAGTGCCGCTCTTTGGGCCGAGCCGGTACGGCAACCAGCCCGCTGTGCATACCCGCTCCCTCGCACAGACACTCCTACGTCCCGACCTCCAGTCCTGACCACATCTTCTTCATCTTCGCCGCTCCACTCCGAGCTGCAACACAATGTCCATTTCGACGCCCAACTACTCTTCCGGCAACGACCGATTCGGCGCCGAGGCGGCCACGTGGGATTCGCAGCCCGAGGTGGTCGAGTCGTCGCGGCTCTGTCTCGACGCGGTGCTGCGTCACTCGGACCACTTCCCCTCGCTCTCCTCCTCGAGTGTACTCGAGATCGGCTGCGGTACCGGCTTGCTCACTGTGCCACTTGCTCAGCATGTCGGCTCCATCCTTGCACTCGACACCGCACAGGGTATGATCGACATGCTCTCGGCCAAGCTCTCCTCCAACGCGATCCAGCACAAAGTCTCCGCCAAAGTCAAGCTTCTCGAAAGCGCCGATGATCCCGTACTTGAGGCGAAGAAGTTCGATGTTGCACTCAGCCATCTTGTCTTCCACCACGTACCCAATATGCAGCAGCTGGTCGACGTCATGTTTGGAACTCTCAACAAAGGCGGCAGAATTTGGATCTCGGACTTTGAGGATGACGGGCCCCAAGCAGAAGCTTTCCATCCAAAGGCCAAGGTACGATCCCGCACTTCGCTTGTACCTGTAGAACTGAGACTGACCTCTTTGCTGCTTTGTAAACCGACAGCATGCAGGCGTGGAACGACACGGCCTCAAACGCGACGAGATGCACAACATCCTCACCAACGCCGGTTTCACCAACGTCGAGGTCTTTGAAAGCTTTCAGATGCAGAAAAAGGTCGAGTCGGGACAAACACAATCCTTCCCCTTCCTTGCTATTACAGGCATTCGACCCTGAGCGCCTATCTTTGCAATGCGTAGCAAATCTCTCGGGCTCCGCCATCTAGTACGTCTGAGGTGGGGTATCTGGAGTCGACTCGAGCAGCCACAGCTCGCGTAGCGCCTCGACTGTACGGCCTCCGTTAGCCTTGAGCATTTTGCGTGCGTGCCATTGTTGCCTTTCGTCCGGTGTCCCGCGTTGCGATACCGCCTGCTGTACCGCCTCCCATCGATCGAGCAGATCGCTCCAGAATGTCTCTGCCTCCTCACCACCATCCCTTTCGGATAAAACGAGGCTCTGAACCGCGAGGTCCAGATCGACCGTACGTGCCAACAGATCATCGCGCACCGCTGCTGCCTCCTCCACCATGCTTCCTCCATCGCCATGCGACACGCGCAAAAGTGCACGCACCACCGCCGTATATGTCGCCAAGTTGGCCGGTGCAAAGTCACCCTGAACCTGTACAGGTTCTGCTTCGTCAGCGGCCGCAGAGAGGGGCGAAATCGTGTTGATCCCTACCGCCCGCGCCAGGATCGAAGTAGTGGTGTTCCAGCGTTCGCGACCTTCGCGTGCAAGACACTCGAGCGCAATCGTCCACGAGCTAACACTCGGCTGCACCCCAAACGTCTCGGTCATGTCGCGGATCACTCCAAGCACCGCCTGGCTAGAGCCCCACGCCTGCTTCTCCACCTGTCCTGGCAGCGTCTCGGACTCCGTTTCGCTGGCTACGCCGCTGGCGGGAATGTCGACTTCCAGTCGGCCAAATGCGCGGATGAAGCCATCGAACGTACGGCTGGTCGGTGGTTGCGATGGCGGCCATTGCTCGAACACCAACGATCCGCTTCCATCGTGCTCGTGGTCCTGCTCGGGTTCCTGCTCTTGCTCTTGCCCTTGCTCTTGCGCGTGCTTTTGCTCGCCCTCGCGCTCGCCCTCGTGCTCGCTGTCGGGCATTCGCTTCCTCGATGCCGTCTGCTTCCACAGCTCGTACACGCGTTGGAGACGAGCGTAGTCCTTGGCATCTACGCACACACCCACCACGGCACGCAGTACCAGATTGATGGCATGCGTGGAAGGCCAGTATTTTCCCAGCAGCCGTCGAGCAGGCAGCTCGTGTCCCGATCGATCCGACTGCGGTAGGTGCGACTGGGCGAGTGCAAGTGCGATCAGCTCGCTGGTGATGCCTCCCGCCGGCATCTTGAAGCCGTTACTGCCCACGTAAAAGTCGAGCGCAGCCTTCCACTTGGCCTTCTTGATCAAGCCGTACAGCGTAGCAGTCTCATACAGGCCCTTGCCACCACGCACTGTAAGTAGGCGCTTCCGGACGGGCAACAAGAATTTGTCGGCTCCCACGGCCTCCTGCGACGGGGACGCTTGAGATCCATCCGTCGTGCCCGTGGACCCGACATCGCTCTCGGTCAGCGACACGAGGACGGGTACCGTGCCATAGCCGTACGCCAAGTCCTGTAGCTTCGATAGCGTGCGTGCCGACGGCAGATGCGCAAAGACAGCCCCGTCTTTGGAGCCAGGGGTATAGTCTTCTGGCATTGGACTGTCGTCGGTGCGACGCACCTTTTCCGCACTCCGCAACACAGAGAGGAGGTGCTCTCTCGCAGCGAATACATCGCCTTGATCGAGATGCGTCTGCAAGATGGCATCCAGTGTTGCGCCTGGTTCGGCCTCGGTATCGACGCCTTCTGCTTCCAACGAGAATGCAGTCTCGCGCGCGATGCGCTTGACGATCTCATCCACATTGGCCACCTTTACCGCCCTTCTTCCGCGTTTGGAGCTGCACGCAAGCAGTTCGACCAGCGAGTAGGCCTTTTGGACGTACTCGCCGCCCGCCCGAAACAGCTCCTCGAAGAGCAGACGCTGCGTGAAGTTGGACGTGCTGACAATGTGCGCGACCGCCTCGAAGCTATGAGATGTTCGCGCACTGTGCTGTGCCCAGGAGATTGCATCGTCGAGTCGCCCTGCAAGCGCAAGTGTGCGAATGCCAAGATTGTAAAGAGCACGCAGCTCGAGGTGCGCTGGCCTCACTTCTTCGCGTGCGCTGCGTGGTCTCCGCGCCATTCTGCCCTGGTGACCCTGCACCAGTCGCTTAAAGTACTGCCAGGCCAGTATGGAGTGGGAAGCGTCCGAGCCGTGCAGACCTCCGATACCGTACCGCAGAATCTGGGCCAGAGACGACCGGATCACACTCCAGTGCCCCTTTTCGGCGGCTATGAGGCTCGCCTGCTGCAGCAGTTGCAGTTCGTCTCCGTACCCTTCGAGGAGGACCACAAAGCACTTGCGGATGTAGGACACAGTAGGATCATCTTGGTCACTCGAGACGCTAGATATCGCCTCGACGTCTCTCATGCTTGGCGTGTACTCGGGGCAGAGACGCATCCAGTTGAGCATGTCGTGCCTCCTGCCGCGCTTGATCGCCCACAACGCTGCGACTGCGAAGTCGGGCAGAGGCTCGTTGAGAGTCGTGCCCAGAGACTGGAACTCGTTGAGTGCTGTTGTGGCTGCCTTGAAATCTCCCTCCTGGATGAGCCGTGCTAGCAGCTGGGTGGACGGAGAGAGAGCCGCCGTTGACTCTGCTGTAATCGAGGAGGACGCAGCCTGGACTGCGCCGTCCGCACTCTTCTTTGAAGTGGATGACGATGCTTGTTGGACGTAGACCTCATCTTCAGGCTCGAAGAGCGAGAAGTCGACTCCATGGGGATCGATCTCATTGTTCGAGCCGGGAAGCGGATGTGCAGGGTTGGAGGTCGAGTAGGCGAATGCGAGCAGCGGTCTTGGACGTCGAGCGGATCTGGCCTTGGTCGGAGGAGAAGGCGCCGCCGAGAATGTGAATTTGAGGGGCAAGAAGGAAGAGCTCGCCGATGAGGTAGATGCGGTAGCTGTAGAAGCGCTGTTGGCGCTGAGGGCGGCCGAGCTCAGCAAGCGCAGCTGGCGCTGCTGGTGAGCCAGGGTTCGCCAAGCATCTCTGGCGGGCAGAGAGCTGTTTGGTGGACGCATGAAGGCGTATCCAAGCCTTCCATTCGGCCTGCGGTGCCAATCGTCGAGGCCTGAATGTGCCGATGGATCCCTTGTTGGGCTATGATTGGTGTCAGATTGAAAGGAAAGTTGGGAAGAGCACAAGGCGAGAAAAGGGTCTGTGAGAAGAAGTCTCCGAAGGTTTCAAGAGCCGAGTCCCGGTGCGATTTTTTTGACTAGTGTTACATCGCTGTCTAACACAAATGCGAAAATTCGCAGAGCGAGCTCTAAAGCTCGACTCGGCGACAGCGAAGTTCCACGTCAACTTTGGCCAACTGCGGGGACTCGCAGGGGCCGCCTTCATCTAGGCCTGGCTAAAGCGTACTCTCCACATAGCTTCTTCTCGCACCTTCACCATACCCTTCTTATTCGCTTCGAACGAGCCAGTGGAGGCTTCATCGATATGACGCTCGCGAGTCTCAGGTGGACATGCAGCCTGCTGCTGCTCGCCACCGTCCTGCTCGGCAGCTGTGAGGCGGCGCTATTCTCCAAGAACTCCAAGGTCACCATCGTCGATGCGTCCAACTTTAAGCGCGAAGTGCTTGACATCGAGAAGCCGACCATGGTTGCCTTCACAGCTCCCTGGTGTGGCCACTGCCAGAAGCTCGTCCCTGACTACACTAGGGTCGCTGCGCAGCTCGACGGCGTCGTCAAGCTTGCTTCGATCGACTGCGACGAGGACAAGAACAAACCTACGTGCGGAAAGTACGGCATTCAGGGCTTCCCCACCCTCAAGCTCTTCCCGCCGACCAAGAAGCGTCTCCCGAAGGACTATCAGGGTCCTAGGACTGCCAAGGATATTGCGGCGTACATGGTCGATGCGCTGCCTATGGGCGCCAAGAAGCTCAAGGCCGAGGAGCTTCAGGAGTACGCCGAGAACGACGCCACCACGCCCAAGGTCATCCTCTTCTCCAAGAAGCCCACCAGCTCGCCGCTGTACAAGAGCCTTGCACTCGACTTCCGCAAGAGTCTATCTTTCGCCTTCCTTCGCGGCGACCAGCGTCCCGTCCAGGCCGCCGCCCGCATCCACCTCGGCGTCGATGTCTCGGATGACAAGCTGCCGCTCCTGATTGTCGTCCCTTCACGTGGCGACGGTGATGACTTGGACAAGGCGGCTATCAAGACCTATACCGGCCAGCTCAAGTACCACGAGCTCAACGCATGGATCAAGCAGACCGTGCCAGAAGCCAAGTCCGGCAAAGCTAAGAAGCCCGCAACCAAGGCGCAGATCAAGAAGAAGCCCGTCAAGCTCGATCAAAATGTCGACGATCTTCCGGAAGGCGCCAACCGTGAGTGGCGTGTCGAGGAAGACATGACGGAAGAGGAAAAGCAGAAAAAGATGGAACAGCTCGCCGAAATGCTCAACACGGCCATCAAGCAGAGCAACGATCTCAGGGAGACCGAGCAAGCAGCGAGCAGCGATGCCGACTCGTCTGCCCACGGTTCAGGCTCTTCCCACTCTTCGTCATCTTCGTCCTCTTACTCTTCCACCACAGACGAGGATGGACAAGTCACCACGGACCGCACGGCATCCTACTCCACCTCGGGCGATGACGACGACTCGGCGTCGTCTTACAAGGTCTCCTCCCACACCCAAGGCAAGGGTGGCGAGGACATGTCGCTCAAAGAGAACCTGCAACGCTGGCTTGAGGGTGAACAGGTGGACTGGTCGTCCGACTACGCGGACCACTTCACATCCGCCCAAAAGGCGGCCGAACACCTCATCAAGGAGGACCCCGAAAAGGCGGAGCAGATGGCTCTCGAGAGCGAAAAGTGGCTTGCTCAGTACCTCGTCTCGGACCTCGAGATGATGAAGCTCGCCCGCGACAAGGGCAACGAAGACCCAGCCGTCTCCGACGCAAAGATCGAACGCATCCAGAACATGTACGACGAGATCAACAAACGCATCGAGGAGCGCCAAAACAAGATCGCAGCAAAGGCTTCAGCTTCTTCCGACGACAAACAAGCCTCGAGCCACGACGAGCTCTAGTCTCCATCTCGTCTCATTTTCACCCCGTGGCAATCACTCTAATGCGCTCGTTCCGTGAGAAACGACCTTTGAAATTGTTGCTTGTCTAGTACACACTGAGGGTGACACATGGTATCGAGCTAGAATAGCCAATGCTTCCGAAGGCACCAGAGGTATATGCCCGGCTATACCGGGAACTCGTTTGCTAAAAGATGGGAGGACGAGGCTTTTTCACATGGGCGAGTGGTGGCCCTTCTTGTTGCGATGTCCTCCTGGGTTGTGCTCGACGTACGGACCGTTGCCAACCGCGCTGGCCTTGCGGTACGAGTGACAGGCGTGTGCGTGCTTGAAAAAGGCGGCAAAGTTGCGACGGCGCTTGGCAGTGCAGATGAGGATCCACTCCTTGCACTGGTGGCACTTGCCTTCGACGGTGCCGGCGGCGTCGGCGTACACCTTGAGATGCGTAGGGGCAGTGAAACGAAGACCCGAGACGGACGAGATGCCATGCTTGTGCACCTGGTCGTACCAGTACTGCGAGTTCTTCAGTTGCAGCCAGTTGCCGTTCTCACAACGGTCGCACCACGCCTCGCGTGCATTGCCAGCACCCCGCACCCAGCGCGGCGTGTACAAGTCACCGGGAAAGCGCAGCTTGTCCGTCTGCCTTCGCGGTCTGTCGTCCTCGTTCTCGACCTCAAAGTCCGAGGCGGGCGGATCAGGCATGCCTGTGCGCATCTCGCAGTGCTGATCGTAGTAGACATCCTCCATCTTGCTGCCCGGAGGCGCACGCAGCACGATGTCCGTGGTGATCTGGTACGGCGTATTAGCGAGCGTATTGGCCTGCTGCACCGCCGACGCCGACGACGACGATCGATCGCGCTGCTGGCGCTTGTCGCCTCCTGCCATACCGCTCGGCGAGGGATAGCCCGCCTCGATGCCGTAGCGCATGGGCGCGTGGTCGCGCCAGCCTGGCAGGCTCGGCGACGAGGCCGAGGCACTCATGCCCGCCGGCACGCCCGAGTGCGACGAAGCTCCACCCCACGGGCTCCACTGCTGCGACGACGAGTAGCCCGCGCGCTGCGTCGCCGGAGCAGGCTGCTGGACATTGTACGGATCCGAAGGCAACGACGGACGGCGAGGATCGGTGTGCGCAGGACGATAGCTGTTGATCGCATTGCCGACCGGCGCCGAGGGTCGAGAAAACGACATGTTGGAGGCGAGCGAGTATCTGCGCGCGGCACCGTCGCTTCCATCGGCAAGGTTGCCATGCGACGACGCACCCATGGTCTCCTCATCGTACTGGCGCTTGCCAAGGCTCGACTGCGGAAACTCGTAGCCGCTGATCTCGAAGCCTCCCGGATTCGACCAGCCGGGTCGGGGAGCCGAGCGCGTCTCGGGGAGCGGGGGCGGCTGAAGCCTGCGGGCGCCGTAGTAGCCCTGCGCCGAAGCCTCATCGACTGCATGCGACTCGGCGGGCCACCACTGACCGCCGTTGGAGGCGTCGGCAGGAGCATCGAGCGGGCGACCGTGCTGATAGTTGGGTCTGCGCGCATAGTGACGATCGGCCAAAGCAGCTGCGTCCGAGCCGACGCGCGATCTCGACTCTCCTGTCGGCCCCGCCATACCGGACGGAGCTGGCACGCTCGAGTACGACGAAGGGTGGTCCATCTGAGCATGATGACCGTCCTCAGCGACGTTGTTGTAAGAAGGCATGTGCTGTTGTTGCTGCTGTCCTTGCTGCTGCTGCTGCTGCCAGGTTGGCTGCGAGTGGAGAGAAGGGACCTCATACTGTCCCTGAAAGCCCATGGTCATGGTGATCGTCTCGCGCGGAATGTCCCAGATGGAGGAGGCCGCCTCGACGTCGGACGGACGCGCAGGCTCGAGATGGTCTCCCTTGGTGGCAGCGGGTGCGGCCATGACACGCGACTTGTTGTGGGGGGCTCCGGTGAGGCTGGGCCAGATGCCCTTCATGCCGTCACCCCAGAGATGGGAGCCGTCCTCGACGGGGCGTGCGTGGTGCGAGGAGTTGGAGTGTGCAGGTGCAGAGTGGTAAGAGTCGGAGGCCGAAGCATGTTCGTGCGGCATGACAGAAGGATTCGATCGGTGGCTGAAGGACGACGAGGAAGGATGCGCGGCGGTCGTGCTGCGCATGGCACCTAGAAGAGGCTGTCCGTCGATAGGACTTTGAGGCTCCTTTGGGCCGCTAGAACGGGAAGAGATTGAGTGCGGGGAGGAAGGGCAGGAGACCGGATTGGAAGATGAGGCGAACGAGCTTCGACTGCGGCCGGCGTACTCCGTAATGAAGGTAATCGGAGGAAGAGTAGTGTTGTTGTTGTTGTTGTTGTTGTGTAGCGGTGCCGACGAGGAGGGGGAAGTAGAAGAAGAAGAAAAAGAAGAAGACGATGGTGTCCGGGTAGAGGGATATTGGTCTGGGTGGTATCTATGTGCGCGAAGCGAATCTCTTCTTTGCATAGCTTAAGAGACGAAGTATGGCGGGATAGCGGTCGGAGAGAAAGCCGTTCGTCGGGCACAGCGCAGCTTCCAAGACTGGTAGCAGATGTAGCCTAGGCGCCAAAGTCCTCGAGCTGGGACGACGCTGAAATTGGCAAAGGAGCGTCAAGGATGGTGAGGTGGTGCTGCGAACGCTGACGGAGCCTAAGAGCCTAGAAGCGAAAGGACAGATACGGTCCGGAGTCTGAACAAGCGATCACGATCGAGGGAGCAGAAAAGATGGGTGGGTGGGGGAGGGGGCATGAGATTGGCAGCCGTTTGTGAAGTCGCCTTTAAAGGATGAGACGGCCGACTCAGCTGGCGGGCGGCAAGGGCAGCGGAGATGGGCGAGGCTTTCTGGGCTGATAGGGCCGGGCCGCGGATGTGTTGATTGGGAGGGCGTGGTGGTGGACTGGATTGGATGCAGTCGACGGGGTTTGGGCCAAGTGCCGAAGACGGCTGGCGGGCAGAAGCCAGGTTCGGAGTTGCAAGGGCACCGAAGGGTAGAGCGACAGTGGGATGCATCGATGACCCAAGAAGCAGGAGGCGTGGACGGCGGGATGGAAGCCGGAGCGATTTGGGCGTGGGCGTGGGCGGCAAGGGGCCCGAGAGGACACCCAGCCGCTGTCTCACTCCGAGGTGACGAAAGCATGGCGCCACCCAGGCAAGAAGGCAGGGAAGGCACGAGGGGCACAACGGAGGAGCGGAAACGTCTGTCAGTCAATCAGTCGGTCAGGGCAGGATTAGAGCGGTGCATGTGCATAGCAACACTGCATTCGACCTCCGCCATTGTTCTTTGGCTTCGAAAAAGCGAAGGGGCCCAACGAAGGGAGGAGCGAGTCGCGGCGGCAGGAGCGTCATCATCATCAGCAGCAGCCATTCGAGGCCACCAGCAGCGTCGTTGGCGGGAGGGCTGCTGCTGCCGCCGTCATGCTCGGTGCCTGGCTCGTCGGGCTCGGCTGGGTCCGAGCCATGGAAGGCAGGAAAAGCGCCAAAGTGTGCATGCTGGGTCGCAGGCAGGAAAAGTGAGCTCTATCCTTCGCACCCACATTTCCTGGCGAGGTGCCTCGTCGACCATGCACATCGCCAAATCCACCTCGGCTCGGCACGCTCGCTGCTGCTGGCTGGCTTCCAACGGAGGCTCGCTCGACGTGCCGACTGCCGCGACATCTGATTGCATTTTCGCCTCTCCCACATGTCGGTGCCCGGCTCCACCTTTCCACACTTTTTGTTTTATTTAATTTCGAATACAAGACCCTCTGGAGTCGCTCGGCATGTGCCTGCTGAAGAGTAATTCCGATGCATAAACCTGAATAAAATAAAATAAAATACAGTAGCCCCGAGCTTGCGATGACATCTGGCTTGATTGGCTGCCATTCACGATTGTCCGGCTGCATGCCTAAAGCAGTGTGGTGTGCATGGTCGAGAGGGCATTCGGCTACGTCGAGATTCTCAAGCTTGGTCCGCAGGGCAAAGGACGATCAATGCTGCGAGCTTTGACAGCCGCAGCTGCTGCTCAGCACCGCTTGCATGCATGTACGCAGCGAGACGGTCGGGCCACAACAGCACACAACGCCGCGGAGCGCTGCGGCCGTCTGGCTGCGCGTTGTCAAGCACGCACAAAACACAGCTGAGCCTACTCGGATCTCAGTTGACCGCACGCTTTGTTTGCTGAGCAGAAAGCTTTGCCCGTCGATGGCCTCCGAGACTCGTTGGCAGTGCCTGACCTTTCGGACACGACCATAGACACCCAATTGCTCCCTCAAAGCTATGACAGACGAGACAGTTCAAAAACAGCCTCTTGAAGTGCTCTCGGAAGCGCCGAGAGAGCTCATCTGCGAGGGTGCGGATGCAGTTGGCCGGGGCTGAAGGCAGGATCGCGATCTTGGCCATGCAGCTGCGACGCGCTCCCACCAAGACTGTGGGAGAGAGTGTGGGAAACGAGGGTCGGAGCGGCCTGCACGCGAGCTGAAGCGAACAGGCGCACCGCACCAACGCACGCTCGCCTGGGAAAAATCCGCGGGAGGCAGCGGGTAATCCAAATACGCGACAAGCGACTCGACCAAGGCACGCCAACCTGCCGTTGCGGTACAGTAGAACCCGTTGACCGTGACTTCGTTAAAAATCCTTTCTGTTTTTTTTTTTTTTTTTTTTTTTTTTTTTGAAAATTTTCGGCGGCGGCAAGGTTGCTCGCGGTGGGGGGAATGCAGGCTGCAGGTGGCTCTCTCGGGTTTTATTAAACCACCGTTCGGAACTGCAGTCGCTGCCTACCCATGCTGCAACAGATGCTTTTCGATTTTTTGGCCCTTGGCGTTGCGTCGCGCGTGCCAGTGCCCATCTGCACCAAGCGCCAGGGATTCGGACGCGCTCCCGTCGGCTCAATTCCGGAGACGGGTCGGAGTCGAGGCATGGCACAAACTGCGCGGGACGTGGAATCCAAGCAAGCTGCTCTTCGGGCTGCTCGTCGGTCGTCGGGCTGGGGCTCGGGCAGGGCACTTCTACACACACTCATGCAGCGCGACGCCGGCTTTGAGGGGCAGCGCAGGCAAGGAGGCGAGAGAGGGCGGCGCGAGGCGCGCTCTGCTGCCGTCGCCAACAATTCATCCGGATGGGCGACAAGCGAGACATCCTTTTGCACACACTACCGCTCCCGTTGGTGCCAGGTGGCCAACCGCCTCGCCTTTTCCGCGGCGTTGTGCGGATGTGTAGTTGCGCCAGACCTGGCATTCGAACACGCTGTCTCCCAGACGTAGTGTGCACTGGATCTCAGTGCGAGTCCTTAAATAAGGCTCTGCTTGCACCGCATGATCCTGCCAAATTGCATAGGAGATTCGAGTAAGTTACAGCGTATTCGCGGGTAGGGCGCTAGAACGTGGGGAGAGAGGGAAGCCGGCGAACACTTCGCGCGGACAGCCAGCATGAATTCAGAAACGCAGGCTCGAAAGAGTCGGAAGCAGCTCGGCCTACGTTCCTTTTTCACAACTCGACAACGGGGCCTCATTCAGTGGCATGGGATGCCGCAAATTCTGAAGCGGCGCTCCTCTCTGCTACGCCCTACGCAACCCGACTGCGACAGCCGTAAGATGAGCACCGTCGTGAGCGTGGACTAGCTCGGGATCGCCGAAGATTAGACTCCATTCGCTTGCTGCAGCGGCTGAGACACTTACTTACACGCAAGGTTCAGGCGTGTCAGACCTTGCGCAGCTGGGCAGGCCGTTCCGGGCAAGCTTCGCAAGGCAGCAGCTGACTGTATACGTGGTGGAGATTGTTCGCCAGGCCGCGTTCATGCCTACATCTTGCGGCGGCTGACGTACGATTCGCGCTCGCCAGCAAGCATGCCAGAGTTGCTTCGGGTAGGGATTGGAAATTCATGCCTTTTCACTTCGCACCTCTTTGCAGAAAGGAGCTTACAGATTTCCGAAGCATGACAGGGCATCCAGCGCGCTTGCTCAGACACCGAAGTGAAAAGGCTCATTGTTCGTTAGAGCGGAATTGTCTGCATTGTTGCTTGCGCCCGCCTCGAGGTACGCGAATCAAAGCATCTGGCTGCTAGAGATTCATGCTCCGCCTCAGTTGCCAATGTGCCATTTTGATTGGGGTCGAGCGCCAAGCGAATTCGCGTTGAAAAATTACCGAAGGTGCCACCAGCGGCTTGTCGTTTCAACCTGGCCCCTGGAAACCGCTGTTCTGCGGGAGCCGGCTTAGATATAAGCCAAGCCACGCTGCGTCCGTTGCGGCTCTCGTAACAAGCTGTGAATGTTTCGGCAGGCTCCGTTGGAAGGTGGGCAAGTCTTCTTGCCAAGACCTACAGTCTAAGAAAATGCGACGAGGGCCCTATGATCCTGCGATTCGCCTTGAAAGCGCCGCGCCGGGTTCCGAAAGTATCCGTGGATATCCCGACGACGGACAAAAAAACATAAGCGCGGGGGAGTTTCCGAAAGCATGCGCGGTTGAATGTTTTCCTCGTGGCCTGCTTTTCTTCTCTTCGAGCTGTGATCAGCATCCATCACAAGATGTCGATGAAGCTTGCAGGAATCCGTCGGATGTCGCTTCTTGCTCGCGCATGTTTCGGTGTTGTCTGTGCGGACAGAGTGAGACAAATGAGACTCCGCTACGGGGCATGAAGGTTACTCCATCAGAGCGTCCGAGACACAATGCAACTCTCAACATAGCCACCGGAGAGCTTCCGAGGGAGGAGCGAGCAGCTCGGTCACGCCCAAACAGCTCGGCGCGTTTCGCTCTGTTGGAATACCGTAACTCATGCACAAGTTCGGCAGCAGCCGAGCATTGCTTCAAGGCATCGCGCCTGGTGTCGATCATTGGCTTCGGCGCAGGTCGACAAGCGAGCCAAGCACATGCTCTCACGCTACTGCAGCTCACCAGCTCGCCAGATCGCAAGACACTTTCGGGTCTGCATCCTTCCGCACGGCCTTCTACGCTGCAGCGAAGCATGTCGCTCAACCCTTGCTCATCGTACCCCAAGATTGTGCTTTAATCTTCCAGCTTCCGCTGCTGCTGCGCGCTCTGGACGGGCCGAATGAAGCTCCGCCTCGATTGATCACGCGTTTTGTTCGGTTCGCGAGGGCATCAGTCGAGGGACCGTGTTTGAGGGAATCCCAGTCGAAACTCCGACCAGAACTGGGTCGCCTTGACGGCCTCGACGTCAGACGGCGGCGGGTTTCAGCACCAAACGGGCGCGAGACCACACAGTGTCTCTCCCCCATCAGTGAGGGTCCGGCGCGTCTGGCTTCGAATCCGGCTTTTTGGATTGCAGCCGCCTTGTTTGCTTCCGTCGGGATCAGCTGCAGGTGCATCATGCGGGCCGCTGCCCCCTCCTCCCCCCTTCCCTCCCTTACTTCCTTGGCCAGTTTCCATACAGACACTTCGCTTGCTGCTCCTGTATCTTAAGCCGCACGAGCTGGTGTCTTGGGCTAGATGACCTGTTGCCCGCCTCCACCGACTTCTTCTCCGCCAGAAGCGAGCATGAGCGTGCGAGAGAGATGGCGGGCGCATGCATGGACGGTCATGCTCATGCCCTCGCATGCCGGGTGGCTTTGACCGGTTCGGAGATCTGCTCGGCTCGCCTGAGCTTGAACCTTGGCATCGCCTCATCCGCTTCGCTTGGGCAACGCCTCCGTTCCTGCTGTTCCTGAAGGCGTTTCTCGCATCGCTGTGCCTGGATCTGTCTCGCGCTTTGCCTTGCCTTCCAGAACGGCTCTTCTTTCTTGACATCATCTTACAATACTTGCTCGTCACGGGCGCAGCGCTCACAGTCTCTCCTCTTTGTTGACGGCTTGCACGGCGCACGGGACGACGTTGTTGTGCCGACGGACAAAAGTGCCCATTTGCATGGTTCATGCGTTCCATTTTGAGATTCGCAGGACTCGACACGCAACCATGCCAGCCGAAGCATCGGAAGCATGACTTCCTTGCTGAGTCGAGTCGCCAGGTAAGTTGGTGAGAAAGCGTCATCCTCCGTCTTTGGCTCGGAACTCGGACCACGGAGTTGACCTCGTGTGATGCATTGGCACATAGCCGAGCCCTCGAAAAGTCGGGGTGGCGTTGCAGAGCAGAATCCAAGCAACGACGCGCCCACCTGACAGCAGCGGCCCCTCGCTGCCGCTCCACACGATGCTTGTGCCTGCCAAGACCCCGGGCACGTTGCTTGCATCTCGCCGACGCCACAGATGGACCCCTTCGAAACTCGAACTGGCTTTCGACGTGCACGGAACGATGAAGACCTGTGCCCAAAAAGACGCCTGCTGCGGCACGTGCGCGATATCGGTGAATTCCGCCCCGATACCGACTGCCGGTACAAAACATCGGGGACAGGGCCCAAAGCTCTTGCGTGCTAGCACGCAAACGTCGAGTCCATGGTCAGCGAAGCTGACACTCAATCGGCATCCGAACTCAGATCCCCCAGGGCGAGGAGAAGACCGGTGCAACTACAACATCGCCGGCCACCGATTGGGCAGACCTGGGTTGGCCGAAGCTTCGTCCCTGCTGGCCGTTGTATGTGCTTGAGCGGATGCCCCCTGATCTGCAGACGCGTCAAAATCTCTCTAGGATGTATCGAGGAGAAAGCGAGACCGCTCAGGGGCACACAGCAACTGGGTTCGGACGGCCAGAGTCCGATGAGATTGGTCTAGTTTTAGCGGTGGGAGGGGAGACCGCGTGCTCGACTTCCCGCTCGCGTGTCGGTGAACGTCAGCCGATGTTCTGGTCTCGAAGCTAAAAAAAAAAAACAAGCGCTCCCCGAGGGTCTCGTCGTTTTCGCCGGATCGACCCCTTCCTCAAGTTGAGACGCTGCACGTGCCTCTCGAGATGAACTGCTCCCGCAGAGACTGTGCGGGTTGCATCGATGCACTAAGTACGATGCATGAACAACGAGGAGACGGGTGCTGCCACGATGCTCACGAGGCAGTCGCCGGTATTGAAAGCCACGTTGCCGGCTAGCAGCTGAGGATGGCGGTGACGCTGGATCTGGAATGGATAGCGAGGAAGCCCAAGAGATTTCGCCTGACGCGGTCGGATCCGATAGACTACTCGCTAAACCGGCGGGGGGTTGGGTCTACGACGTTGTCTGCTGGAGGGCAGAAGGGCGCGGATGCAACGGGCTCGGAGCAGGCAGCTCGGTTGCGGGTCGAGAGGGAGAGAGAGAGAGAGAGAGAGGCTGGCAGTGCCTGATTCACGGCGACTCCGTCGAAGCACGATGCCCCGGCTCGCTTAGGTGCGGAGATGCAAGTGCGATGAGGAGGCCTGAGAAAAAAAGGGAAAAGTGCAGCTGCTCGCCTCGGATAGCCTCATCGCGGGCCATCCGAGCTACCGGACTATGGGATCGCTTGAATTGCTGTGCACCAAAAGGCATCAAGTGAAAGCGGCAAAGTGTGGGCCGCTCAGGCTCGATGGCAGGAAGGTGGAAGGGTCTGATGCCAGATGGAGCTAGATTGCCAGCGCAAAGTCGATTGACGAGCGACGCGATGTGCATGATCGTGGTCGCGCTCCGTCTCTCAGTCTGGCTTCCGACCCGAATTTTTACACCGTCTTGTTTGGCAATCTCTTCTGCTGCATGGCCCTCCGAGGACGGAGAAATTGTTGCCTTCTTTTGCCCAGGGGGAGGCTTTATGCAGAACTGCAGGACCGCCCTGCATGAGGTTCGTTGCGCAGATGTCGCGTAGGCGGACTCGCCTCCCCCTCTCTCACACGCAGACCGGAGCCGGCATGGCGAGTCGACGACGTTTTCAGCAACGCTCTTCTGCCGCTTGAGCGTGAGCTCGCTCGCGAGTCTGCCCTCCGACCCGGCCGGGACCTGTTCATAGGTCGACGCAATGGACTGGAATGGACATGGAGATGCATGTCGGTTGTAGTCGACACGCATGAAGCTCCAACGGAGCTCAATCAATCTCTAGGCTCTCTTTCATGCCGCGACCTGCGGAAGCCCGTGGCCGCACACACACCGTCCTGCACCCAGGTAGAAGCGAGCTGCGTCAAGGTGGCAAAGTCCAAGATCGCACAGCGAGCAATGGGGACGTCACTTGATCGTCTCGCTTCGTATCTGAGCGGTCTGCATGGCCAGTTGTGGCGGCAGTGGGGCGAGATAAATTTGCAACAGCAGCTCGGTCCACAGCCGAGCCAGCCACGAATATGCAATTGGTTCAACTTGGCGGCGCCGGTTTTTCCGAGCCGGCACCGTTTGCAATGCGCTTTGCAACACGAGGCTCGCCTTTCGATGAGGTCGGCCAAGATATGAATGGCTTGCATGCTGTTGGTCTGCTCCATGCAATGCGCGTCGACGCACGAGGATCCAAGGGCGCTTGCTCCCCCTGCAAGCGCTGGTGGTGCACCGGGAATCCACACACGGGATTAGGCGAGCGGCGCTGTCTCGCGTCCCGTCTCGGGCGGGCGACGTGGCCAAGGCATCCACCGCTCGAGTGTTTGGCTTGCCGAGCAAGACCGCCTCGGGGCATCAACGTGCCACCCAGGCGCCGCCCGCCTTCGTGTCAATCTCGGAACCGGAGCAGAGGCAGCATTTGCATGGACGCTTCGGAGCCTCGCCGCCTTTCCCGCCCTACAAAGCTACTGCGGAGAGCTACTCGAGTCGGTTCGGAACGCGAGCTCGGAACCGGGCGTTGGTAACGCGAATCGACATCCCGTCGACACGCGCTACTCTTTGGGGTTTGGGCAGCCGACTTTGCTTGGATGCAGAAACGGCAACCGCGTCTGGCGATCGCATCTTTGCCATCGCGCCTCTTGCAGATACGCCACAGTGATGAGCTCAGCCAGACGTCGCGGGCTCAGACCAAGGGTCTTTGCCGACTGTGGTGCCAGGCACGGTCGCTCGACCCCAAGTCGCCCTTATTGGACGCTACGTCTCGCTTATCGCAATCGCATGAGAAAGTCCACTGCGAGCTTCGGCGTCTGTCCCAATTCCGAGCCCAACTCAATCATGCACAGTCCACCCGGGTCGCAGTGTGTGGCTTGCCAGCCTGCTCGGACTTGAATCGTCCGACCGACCCCAGGCGTCCAGGCGTCCAAGCAACGCCGCCCTTGTCGTCAGCCTTGTGCACCGCCGACGTTCCGTCTTCCTATCTCCGGGCCGCCGCCCTCAGCCCATCAGGCTCGCTGCGATCTGTGTTGATGCAAAGGCTACAGGTGTTAGGCCAGAAGGAGACACACTCACGCACGTCCGACCCCATCAACATGACGACGTCAAGGCCCTTGCATCTGACAGACCCTCTGATGTGGATGTCTATGTGTGTATGGAGTGTCTATCGTATTGTACAGCGCATTGCAAGAGGCGACAAATCTATGATGGTGTATGGAGAACAAGTAAGGTGACTTTTCACGATGCTAAAGCCAGAAGGTCTTTCCGAAGGGCACGGCGAGGAGACGATTGGGGTCGTCGGGAGACGTGGCTCGGAGCTCTTTGTGGAGCTGCCAGTAGGGGTCGTCCCACCGTTCGTCGCTCATCTGCCAGGTGCCCCAGTGCATGGCGAAGGCGCGCTTGCTGCCAATGTCGCGCGTCACCTGTACCGACTCGGTGACGTGCATGTGCTGGATCTGCATATGCCAGCGCGGCTCGTACGAGCCGATGGGAAGGCACGCCACGTCAAACGGTCCGAGCGCGCGACCGATCGCGGTGAACAGCGACGGCGAGTAGCCCGTGTCGCCGCAGAAGAAGAGCGACTGGGCCTCGGGTGTCGAGCCTGTGGCAGATGCGCGCTTATCGCCCTCGCTGTGCACGCGGACGGCGTACGAGTTCCACAGCGTCGTGTTGGTGTCGAGCGGTGTCCTGGCGCTCCAGTGACTCGCAGGCACCGCGGTAATGTCGAGCACCCGTCGTCGCTCAGAAACGTGGCCATGCCCGGATTGCTCTGCATTGGGCGCGACACGGATGGTGAGCGGCAGCCGCGATTGCTGCCACCAGTCGAGCTCCACAATGCGCTCCGCCTCCACGCCGTACTGCGCGAGAAGCCCGGTAAGCCCGACGGGCACCACGAACTGCGTGCGTTTCGGGATGAGCGGGAGCACGCTGATGTCAAGATGGTCAAAGTGGTTGTGCGTGAGCAGCACGACGTCGATGGCCGCGTTGGCGACGAGTTCCTTGATGCTGCACGGCATGGGTCGCAAGCGGGTAGGACTAAACAGACTTGCCACGGGCTGTTCGCCAAAGACTGGGTCGGTGAGGATGGTGACGCCGTTCATCTGGATCAGGCAGGTCGACTGACCGATCCACGTGAAGGACGACTGAGCTGCATTCCGCACGGCAGGCGCCGCCGCCACATCGCCGGTGCTCGCTTTGGACGCATTGGTCGCTGATGCGAAGAGTTCCGCCCACTTGATGCGCTCAACCGGCAGCAGCATCTCGATCTTCTGCCTGCCTTCGTCGCTCTTGTTGTCCGCCTTGAAGCCTCCGTCCCACCAGATGCGTGGTTTGTAGAAGACGCTGTAAAGAAGTTTCCAAAACACCCACTCCCAAGCCCCTTGCTCGCGCCATTCAGGCACGATGTTGGCGTAGCGTCCGAGCACCTTGAGCGAGGAGAAGCGGTGGTGGATACGTGTGATCTCCGAGTCAGTCGCACCGCCGTACCACGATGGACCTCGAGCCGTCGGCTCGTTCAGACTATCCGAGTCAGAAGCGTCACTGTCGGCATTCGTCCCGTTCTGCTTCAGGATCTCTTGAGCATGTTTCGCTTCGGCAGCGCCGTTGGCACTGGAGCTTGATAGCGGTTTTGCGTTGCGCTTCGAGTCCGTGTGAGCGAGCACGCCGACGCGCTCCGCGACACGCACGCCCGACGAGATAGCATGCGGAGGCAGCAGCGGCGCCCTGAGCGGATACTTTCGCTTGCGTGCGGCGAGCTCGCGCCTTCGTATCGTCTCCTGCGCGAGATAGTAAATGCCCCAGCCCGCAACGTAGAGAGACGAGACCGAGACGAGCGCCGTCTTGAAGTGCTGCGGCTTCGAGGGAAGCATGACGGCGACCCCTCTGAGCAACACGCCCGACTCGCTCGATCCTTGTCGGCGGGAGCTCCGAGTGAGGTCGTGCTCACACGCTAGCGGTCGCAAAGCGCGGAGAGTAGAGCTGTGATTGTCGGCCCGACCGAAGCTAGGATGGTGCTGAATCAGCCGATGAGGTTGCGGATGTGAACGCTAACCTTCGCAGCTGGGTGGAGGCTCTCAACTTTTTTTTTTCAGAGCCTTCTTGCCCTGCGGCTTCGGAATCACCACTCAACGGTATCCGGAGAATTTCGGCAGCGGCGCCGGCACCAGATCTGTCACTCGAGTGCGAATCGGGCTTGATCCGACGAGAAGTCCTCCACTTTGGCGGTCGAAGGTCCCTTTGAAGAGCTTCGCATGCACGTCGTGAGAGCGCGAGCCGGACCAACACAAAGGGACCCTGGATTCTCTCACGCCGCGTTGCTGGTCCCCTTTGTTCCGTCGACTTTCTTCATTCCGGCTCGGTCGTCTTTGCCGTCGCTGCGCAAAGTTCCCAGTGCAAGCGCTCGCTTGAGCTGTTGGAGGCTTTATCCCACTGGGCAATCAGCAGGGGCCAGGCTTGGCTTTCTTCCACCAACTAGCACTGCCGATCGTGCCACACACCCAAAGAGCCATCGATCTTGCCCGCTCTTACCCCAGCGATCACAACTCTAGCCTGCGATGCCCGCAATCAAGGCCGCAGCATGGCCATCGCCACTCGACAATGTCTTCACGCAGACATCGGATGACCAGGTGGACACCGAGACCGCCATCAACGAGCTCTTCTCACGCCTGCGCCCATCACGCTTCGACTTTGCAAAGGATGCTTCTGCGCAGTCAGGCAAGGACAATGCCATGGTCAATCCATGGCTCTCGCCAGCTGAGCAAGAACAGCAGCGCGCACAGGCGTCTGGTGGGCTCGAGACCAAACCGAGCCTTGTGCTGGAGAGGCAGGCCCACGTCGCCTTCCTGACCAAGCTGCTCGAGCCACTTCCGGGCGCGTACACGGCCTTCGACACCAACCGCTCCTGGCTGCTCTACTGGATCTTGCATTCGTTCGACCTGCTCTCCGTAGCTTTGGATCCCAAGGGCAGAGCTCGTGCCATCGCCACGCTGCTCTCGTTCCAGAACAAGGCGACGGGTGGATTCGGCGGCGGACCGGATCAGATCTCGCACCTCATGGCCACGTACGCGGCAGTTTCAGCGCTAGCCATCATTGGAGGTCCCGGTCCTGCGCCCACTGCAGAGGATGTCGCCGATGGCAAGTCGGTCGAAGTGGGTCGCGGAGGGTGGGATGCCATCGATCGACACAAGATGCGCAGCTGGATCGCCAGCCTCAAGCAGCCCGATGGCAGCTTCCTTGTGCATGCCAACGGCGAGGTCGACGTGCGTGCTGGCTACTGCGTCGTCTGCATCACTACGCTCCTCGGCATCTCCAGCCCGGAACTGTTCGACGGCATGGCTGCATTCATCGCTAGCTGCCAGACATTCGAGGGTGGCATCGCTGCCGCGAGCCAGCCGACGTACAGGACCGAAGCTCTAAGTTCCGGGCCAAGCGGCATTGCGCTTGCATCGGCCGAAGTTGCTCGCCCGGCGCTGGGGGAAGCACACGGAGGGTATACGTACTGCGCAGCAGCCAGCCACCTTGCGCTCTCGCTGCTCACATCTTCCCTCGCTGAGGCACCGGCACCAGCGCAATCCGCGACCGCGCCGAACGCTGCAAAAGGTACACTGCTGCCGGCAGCCGCGCTGGACCAGGAGGCGCTCATCCGGTGGGCGACGGCGCAGCAAGGAACGCCGTTCGAAGGAGGAGGATTCCGGGGGCGCACCAACAAGCTCGTCGACGGCTGTTACGGCTGGTTCTCTGGCGGCGGCCTGTTCACCGTGCTTTCGGCCATGGTCGAGGCGGGGCTCATCGAAGAGGCGAGCAACGCGGGTGCATCCGATGGACACTCCTCGCGCACGCACGACTGGAATGGCATGCTCACCGTCCCGTCCGCGCCCGTCGTCCATGCCGCGCCCGCCGACGCGGCCAGTAGCGGGGCAGGCTCGTGGAAAACCGAGTCGAGCCTAGATGCCGAAGGAGCCGACGAGAGCGAGGACGACGTAGACGATCTCTCGCCACTCACGCTGTTCGACCGCATTGCGCTGCAGGAGTATATCCTCGTGGCGGCTCAGCGTCCAGCCAAAGAGGGCGGCGGACTGCGCGATAAACCGGGCAAGCGGCCCGACGCTTACCACACCTGCTACAACCTCGCCGGCCTCAGTCTCGCACAGCATTCGGTGCGGCTCAGCCCAGAGACCGCCAAGGCGCTGCAGAAGAGCGTCGCTACAGGTGTCGCGGATGCGTGGAACGCCAAGGTGTATGCGACCATGCTCGCATGGACACTGGTGCAGCGCGACGAGATCGTCGTCGGTCCAAACGTAAAGTCGGGCGAGGCGCCGCAGAACAGGCTCAACCCGACGCATCCGATCTTCAACATCACCTTCCCCAGAGCCAAGACTATGATGGACTGGGCCTACGCGAGCTCCTCGTAGATGACACGAAATGCAGTCACAGTCACATGTCTCCGAGTGACCACCTCAGAGTTTAAAGTTGGTGCTCAGATCGTGCGGATGTGCTGAAGGTTTGTGAGAAGGAATCGACTTTGTGATTTCAGAAGACAGGATGAAGTGAATCGAGACGATTGACTTCGAGGTTGCGATTACCGAGGGAGACGACTTAGACCTGCACGGTCTCGGTGCCTTTCTGCGAGTGGACAGCGAGGACCTTGGCGCCGTACTCAAACGGCGATCGGTCGTAGACGACAAACTCGTCATCGGTCTTTGCGGCCTTGACGCCGAGCAGGTCGTCGAAAGCGGTGGTGAGGAGGTGGACGATGGCGTGTTTGTCGATCTTTCCGTCGGTCTCGAGCGCGGCGCGCGTAGCGTCCCACAGCAGGTTAGCTGCCATCCAAGCCTCCTCGATCTTGAGCGCCACACGCACACCGGCGTCGAGGAGGGCCGAGAGCGTTGTGGCGCGCGTCAGGGGCGGGCCGCTCAAGCCGCGCAGCTCGTCAAACGTGCGCGGCCAGGTCTGCGGGATGAGCAGCACCCCGACATTGCGCTTAGCGAGCTGGTCGGCAACCAGGTGGCCCTCGGCAGCACCAGAGATGACGAGCTTGACCGAGGGGAATGCGTCGATGAGTCGGAGCACCTGGCTGATGTGATCGGCACGAAGCGCCGTCACCACAAGAGGCAGATCACCCGCCGCAACGCGGCGCCACACAGAAGCCGAGTCGCTCCCCTTGGCACTGCCCTCGTTGGCAGTGAGCAGCTGGCGCAAAAGACCGATCTGCTCCGAGATCGACGGTCCGCCTCCACCGTTGTGGCTGAGCGTGATGTGAACTGCAACTTCGTCGTCGAGGACGGCGCGTTCGTCAAGTACCGTCTGCGCGCCCGTGTCGAAGCGCGTCGAGATGCCAGAGAAGAACGTGTCGCTCTGCGGGAAGACGATGGCCTTGGTCACGCCCGAGGCGCGCGCACGCACCAGATCGTGTCCACCAAACTGCAGCCCATCAGCGGCGCGTGCTACGGGCCACGAACGCACGTACTCGGCCGTCTGCACAGCCGCATTGTCCGCACGCACCGGATCGAGCGCATACCCATCCGACGCCTCGGCTTCAGATACGATATCCGTCAGCCCGAGGTTCGAGCCGTACGACGTGATGCCCGGCAGAACCACACCGCCCTGGGCATCGATCACCGCCGCCTCTCGCGCGCACGCCGAGGCACTGCACGTCTCACCGCTGCAAACCACCTTGCCGCCCTCGACGACGATGCTGCCACCCGCACCGCCGAAGCGCGTCGACGCAATGCGCGGCTTGCCGGCAGCATCGGGCTGGGCAAAGAAGCGCTCGCGCACGTTGGTGAAGACGGTGCAGTTGGGCGTGGGCGGCTGTGCGCTCGGGAACGCCAGCTGCTCAAACGTGATGATCTTGTCGTACGAGCTGGTGACCTTGGCGATCTCGGCGCTGAAGTTGCCGCCCTTGGGAGCCTTAGGAGCAGGCACGGCCTTCTTGTCGCCTTGCGCCTCGGCGTCTTCGGGCAGCGTAGGAGCGGGCACGGATGCATGTGGACCGAGCTGTGGCACGCCATCAATGACGACCTCGACGGGCGTAGCGCCGATCCTGAGCGGATGCGTGTTCCACACTACCACATCCGCATCCCAGCCCTGCCTGACGTATCCGAGCCGATGATCCAGCCCCAGCCTCTCTGCAGGCGCCGAGATGACGCTGCGCAGCGCCGAGACCTCGTCGAGGCCAAAGTGGTGTGCCTGAGCGGCCTGGTTGAGGATGCGGCGCGAGTCCGTCACGGGATGGTCGGACTTGTAGATGGGCGTCACATTGTGCGCTGCCAGGATGGCGCCGGTGAAGGGCGTGCCAAAGTACGCCTCGAGCTTGTAGTTGGCGTTGGTGGAGAAGATGGCGATGGCGGGGGTGACGTTGCCGTACGTCTGCTTGAGCAGGTCCGGCACGAGGTACGATTCGTGAGCGTGGTGGAACGCCGCGACGGGGAACTGGAACTCGTTCGAGTGGCGCACAAACGCCTCAAAGTCGACCTGGGTGTAGCAGTGCGTGTTGAGCTTAACCTTGCCGCGCAGCAGTGCGACGAGCGCCTCGAGCTCGAGGTCGTCTGGGAATTCGGCGTCAGCCAGCGTCGCGGGCGCAGCACCGGCTCCGTGCAGCGCAGAGAAGGAGCGAGCAGAGTCGCAGAAGGCGTCCTGCTTGTTCTTGAGCTCGCGTGCGGCGGTAAAGGTGCGGCGGAAGTCCCACGCCTCATCGAATCGCGTCATCTTGTACACGCGACGCGCATTCTCGCCGCAAGCCATCTTCATGTACCTCCAGCTGGAGCTGCTATCGTTGCGCGCCAGACCCGTCTCGGCATGGAAGCTGGCTGCTTTGGGGCCTTTGCCCTGACCGAGCGGAGCGAGCGAGGTGGGGGGCTCGATGAGACGGTCCTGCGGCAGGTGCGATGAGGGCTGACGGTACTTGATGGGAAATGCCTGACCGCCCATCGAATTCGCCGAACCGGGTAGCACGAGGCCGGTGGTGATGCCACCTGCGAGCGACTTGCGGAACGAAACGTCGTGCTGGTTCATGCCGTCGATGGTGCGCAGGTACGGGTTGGTGTTCTTGCCGATGCTGTTGACATCGTCGTGGCCCGGAAGTGCAGGCAGTGCACCGACAGACAAGTGCACATGCATATCAACCAGACCAGGCGTAACCCACCTTCCAGCGGCGTCGATAAACTTGGCGCTGGCGCTTACGAACTCGTTTTTGCCGGTCTCTGCGATCTTTTTGATGATGCCGTTGGACAGCAAGACGTCGCGGGCCTCGAGCACCTCGTTTCCGCCATTGAGGCCGGTCCAAACGGTGGCGTTGCGGATGACAACGTCCTGCTGCGCGGGTTCGGCGCGCTCGGAGCGCGTGCGCTGGTGAAACTGCGCCGGCGCACCCACGGGAGCTGCGACCGCATCGCACTTTGCCAGCGCAGCCGCAAAGACGCTCTGAACGTGAGGATGCGCCGTGGGCTGGTAGACGTGGTGCTCGCTTGCATCGAAAGTCGTCAGCGCGCCGAGGTAGTACACGAGGGCAACGAGGCCGAGCAGCGAGACGAACGACGTGCGCAGCGCCGCCGAGCGCGGCTTGCGAGCACGAGGCTCGGCCACAGCCGCATAGCTAGGCAGCGAATCGTGGGCGGATTTGCCCAAGATGTCCGACATTTTGGAGATGATGGTAGGAAGACAAGATGGCAGCGTGGCTCACGACGCATTCAGGAGGGATCGCACCGGCAATGCATTCAAATGGAGAAAGCCCGGATCGCTGTATGCGCGAAGAGCGGAGCTGGTGCTTCCGACGCTCGTGTGGGCCGTGCATCAGTCGCACGCATTTTCACAATTCTCCGCCAGACCCTGGCGTGCCCCTGACTCGCACTCGGCAACCAGCACGGCCAATTCACACCCGTGCTCCTCAGCGAATCATTTCAAGAGAGCCATTTCCTAGAATCAAAAAGAGTGATAGTGTACAGTGGATAGAGACTGAGGACAAGATTCAGTGGTGCTTGTCAACGACCGCTGTGGCCGAGAGCTCGTTGTCGACGGCAGCGATCTCTTCGGCGCGGCCAGGCACGGTGACCTCCTGCAGGGGGTCAGTGTGCTCTGTGACGCGCAGCGCAATGACGGGGATGACGAAGATCATTCCGGCCGCACATAGGCCCCACGTGACGGCGAGGTTGGTCATGAAGGGGTGCTTGTCGTTGTCCATGGCAAACGCGCCCGCCGCACCTGCCGACTGCATCGACTTGTAGAATCCGGCGAGGTAACCGAGCTTGGACAGATCGTTGGAGCAGGCGCCGATGAGCCAGTATGCGAGGTTCTGCCAGATGGCGTCGAGAACGCCCGAAAAGATGTAGAGGAAGACGTAGCCGACGTACTTGCCGCCGTCCTTGAAGTCGATGCGCTTGGTCTCGGCGTCGATGGAGGCACGCGTATAGGTCTTTTGCACGTCGTACGAGCCGCCCCATACGGCCCACATGACGACAAATACGACTGACCAGCCGATCCAGGCGCGCGACCTGCGCGACATGCGCTTGTTGTCAAGGATCTGGCCGATGGCGAGGCTGCCGACCATCTGGCTGAGCCAGTAGAGGAGGTTGTTGAGTGAGCGCGTGCGGAGCGTAAAGAGGACGCCGTTGTAGTCGTTGAACTGCCAGGTGTAGAACCAGTTGGACGCGAGGAACATAGGGAACATGAGCATCACCCAGGGGTCGGCCTTGAGCAGGATAAAGAGACCCTTGAGCTCTTTGGCCCAGGTGGTCTGGCTGGGGACGAGCACACGCGTGCCGTCATCTCGAACCATCTTGGCCGGGTTCATGAGCATGGCCGAGACAAAGGCACCGAGACCGGTGAGCACGATGAAGGCAGCATAGGTGCCGTTGGAGACCGTATTGGCGGTCGAGTTGTAGGTAAGGCCAAGCTCGATAGCAGAGCCCAGGACGGCTCCCAAGTTGAAAATGACCCAGAAGACGCTGATAAAGGTGCCCTTTTGGGATTCGGTGGGGTAGGCGAGCATGAGAGCGCCCTGGGCGGTCCAGAGCAGCGAAGCGCATACACCTAGGATAGCGCCGGAAGCTACAACGAAGCCCTCGTTCTGGTTGATGTTGTAGGACAGGAAGGAACCGATGTAGAGACAGTAGCCGAGTGCGCCAATGCCAAGAGTAAGACGCGATCCGAGCTTGTTGTGAATCGTACCGGCAAAGAAGGATACCGCGGCGAAGGTCGAGTAAAGCGCAATGGCGGCCTTGTTGGAGGCTTCCGAATTGACCTGTCCTCCTCCTCCTATGCCACTGATTGCGTTGAACATTCCGGGGCAAAGGAAGCAGACCATTCCGACTAGAGCGACCTGCACGACAGGCATGGCGTATACCCGTTTGAACGGATTCGAAGATCGCTCGACGGGAACGACCTCGGCGAGGGTTGTCGTGTGGAGGGGGTCGGCGGCGGCATGCTTAGGGCCTGAAGAGCTGCTGGAGGCAGCGTCCGAGTGCTTTTCGTCCGTCATTTGGTGGATTAGGGGCGAGTAGTAGGGCGAATGTTGTGGGGAGCGAAGTATGAGGAAGGTCGGGTGGAAGTGCCTTTATATGGGTGAAAAGCCAAGGCGAAATCGCGTGGCCATGTGGAAACTCGGGTGCAGGAAAGGCAGAGCTAAGAGACAGGGCGATAAGCTCGGGCCGTACGCCGGTGCGAGGCGATACAAGCTGGAGAAGGTTTGGGGTTGAGGAGCGCGGGGTGGTGCGGGGTCGATGTGCGTGGCGGGGTGCGGCGGTTTCGTGGTGATGATTGGACGATGAGCTCGGAAACAAAGTCAGGAGCGGGCCGAGGTTGATGTCGAGCAAGTCGAAGCCGATACTCTAGGGTGTGGTTGGTGGGGCGGAGCAAGGGAGCTGGTGCGGGCCGACGAGGAGATACGATGTCGAGGGGGAGGGGTCGCACAAGACTCGCGTGGGCGTGCACAGAGGCGTGCAGAGGCCGCAGTCGCAGTGGTCGGGCTTGATCGGCGGGGCTCCGAGAGCGGGTGGGCGCGTTCGAGTGAAACAACTGCCAGAGAGTCGGCACTCGCTATCGACAGTCCCGTTGCCATGGAAGCGGTTCAGTCACACTTTCCGCCGCCACAGTCTCTGGTTTGCCAGCAGATCCGAGACTGCACTGCGAGCTGCACACACACACCGACAGGGTGCAGCCCCAAATTTAGTCTCGCTTTTTTGTCCTTCTCCTCGGCAAGTGACTTAGCGCAGGGCTACTGGAGTTGTGCCTGACTGCAATCAACGCGCACCCTGCCAACTCACACCTGCGGTCCGCAGATCGTCGGTTGAGATCCGGCTCTGCGCTGTTGCCCGCTCTGTGGCGCTTTCGCTCAGAGTAGAAGCGAGCGAGCGGGATCAAGTCGATTTGCGCAGTCACACCCGCACTTTCATTTGTCTCCGCCTTTGCAGTGACCAACAAAAGGCCGCGGCCGAGCCGACTTTAGGGGAGGCGAATAGGACTTTGAATTGTCGGCCTCAAGCGCCTAGCAATTTGCCTCTGCCAAGCTCGGTCGCTCGTCCGAAGCCGCCGATTCCGCTTCCGCTCGCAAACAACAGCGGTCACGCGCCCATCCAACTCGCGCGCTCATGCGAGCATGCAAGCCCCGTCTCCTCTCGACCCCTCGCTATCTCGGCGAAAGCGCCGACAACCATGCGGTGACCCTTGCTATCACCACCCCCGCTCGCTCGCCCGCTCTCGCGCAAGGTCGCGCTCGACACGCTTCAATGCCGGCTCGTCCCTGCGTGTGGCTCTGCGGAGCCCCCCGAGGTTGCAACATTCCAAGGCAAATCAACGCGTCGCTCGCTCGGTCCTCCGTTGCCGCTTCCGACTAAACCGATGCTCCGGCCGTCGACGCCCCATTTCCACTGTCTCTTTTCCGAGCCCCAGTTGCAATCGAATGATCTCGTCGGGCTTGTGAATGAAACATCAATGATAGCTTGGCCATGAACACGCGGCAAAGGCCGACGTACAAAGCTGAGTGAGATTGCTCAGTTCGATGGTGCCTGAGAAAATAGGGGCACACTATCTAGTAGCAACTGCGACCAGTGTGAGTATCGAACGGGGGTTTAGCTCAGTTGGTAGAGCGTTCGCTTAGCATCGCCTAATTTGCGAAAGGTCGCGTGTTCGACTCATGCAGTCTCCACTCTTCGTTATTCTTTTGCTACTTTTTTCGATGCCTGTGAATCTATGCGTCATCAAAACCTCACCAGGTAAGGTGGACCTGCCATGTCATGTCGTGCGAGCGAGGTTCTCCAGCGAAGTCTCAAACAAGCGAGGGCCGAAAAGTAGAGGGCGTGACAGGTGCCGGACGAGGCTGAGTCGCTGCTTTGTGGAGGCGAACAGCGCCGCAAGTGCACGGATCTCGGATCAACGCGTTTCGCAGAAAAAACTCCCACTTGGAAGTGCACTTGCTGGTGTTGCCGAGTGACGTTGCTTAATGCCGTCCTCGCTTTCCTTCCTTCCCGCATCGACGACTGAGCCATTCCGGCGCAGCGCTGTCAATCTCTTCACCTTCTCTTCGCATCATCATCAACAACCTCGACCTCGTCCAGCTCGATTAGCGGACTTGGGCAACTGCCGTCAGCCATGGCTTCGTCCAACACCGAGGAGGAGCGTCTCAAGGCCGAGATCGCCAAGCTCTCCGGCGCCATCCAGTCGCACAAGCAAAACAACCAGTACCATCAGCCGTATGTGCCCCGAGGAAGAGGCTACTTTTCCGCCGGGCCGTCCTACCGAGGCAGCTATGGCGCGCCTCGCGGCGGCTCAATACCTGGACGCGGCAGGGGGCGTGGAGCAGCGGTCATTCCACCTCGCAACCGCACCTTGATTCTCAATGAATCTGCCTCCAAGCCCAGCACATCTGCGGTTTCGACTTCTACGCCGACGGAAGCCCCTCCAGCACCAGCAGCGCCGACAGACTCAGGTGCAGCCTCGTCTACAGACGCATGGATCAAGCGCAAGTCGACGCACAACATGAGTCTCGTCAGTGCGTCGACGTTCCAGCGCACCGAGCCGGCGCGGCTGGCTGCGCTCGAGGCCACGCGCAAAGCCAAGGCCGAAGCGCGGTCCGCGGCGTCCCAAACCAAACTCGGCCGGCCCAAGGCTGCCAAACCGTCGGCATCGGTGCGTCGCGGCGACAACATGGGCGAAGTGGTCATCGACGGCGTCGTGTTTGAATTCGATCCGTCCGGAACCAAACTCGTCAAGAAAGCCGCGCAGCCCTCAGCATCGTCCGACGACCAAGCGTCTGCGAGCGCCGCTGCTGGATCCTCTACCCCTTCCAGCAGTGCGGTACCGCTCAAGATGAGCATCAATGGGCAGGAGTACATCCGGACCAAGCGCGGCAATCTCATCTCTGCCGAGCTGCTCGCCAAGCGTCGGGTACAAGCCAAGATGGGTCGTCTCGACAAGATGGTGGGTCAGATCTCGGCGATGCAAGCCACGCGCAACGCTGGTCGCTCCAAACGCAGCGGTCCGGTCGATGTGCAGAAATCCCGCACGCTGTGTACGTTCTTCAACAAGACCGGGCAGTGCAAGCGCGGATTGTCGTGTCCGTATCGCCACGACTCGAGCAAGATCGCACTGTGTCCCAAAGTGCTGCGTGCAGCGGGGTGTACGTTGCCCAAGGGGACCTGTCCGCTCTCGCACACGCCGCGCGCAGAACGTGTACCGCACTGCGTCCACTACCTCCGCACGCGACACTGTCGCAACGGCACTGCATGTCTGTACACCCATGCGGATCTTGTGGATGGTCTGGCCACCAGGATCTGTCGCGACTTTAGCGAGTACGGCTGGTGCGAACGAGGTGCATCGTGCGAGCAGCGACATACATACGAATGCCCCGACTTTGTCGAGAACGGTAGCTGCCAAAGAAAAGGCTGCAAGCTGCTACACATCCTCCGAGCCAACGACACAGCCGAAAAGGATGCAGAGGAGGTCAAGGACGATGACCTGTTTGTGCGCGACGATGTAGCGGCCGAAGAGGAGAGGCCAGGGAAGAGGAAACGCCCACTCATGCAGACTGAACTCGACGACGAACCGATCCCGGACTTTCTTGCGGCAGAAGGGGAGGAGGAGGAGGAGGAGGAGGAACAGGTGGATTGGACGACAAACAAGCGCAGTCGAAGCACAAAGGCGTTTACCAACCAGCACGACTTTATCTCGTTTGCCGACGATGCAGATTCGCAGCGCGACGACGAGAGCGGGGAGGACGATGATGCCGCAAGTGTGCATAGCGACGAGTTTGAACTCAGCGATCGCGAGGACGAGGACGAGATGGCGAGCGACCATGATCACCGGCACGAGGACGAGGACGAGGGCCAACAGGACGAGGACCAGACGGACGATAACGATCATGGCGACGACGATGACGATGACGCAGTGGACCGCGATCTCTGACATTCACCTCTTGCAGCACCGCCCGCCTCTGTGCTAGGCGTGTTGTATCCACCACACCAGGCGCCTTGACAGCGCTACACCCTGCACGAGCGTGTGCGGGAATATGCGTGTGAGCCGAGGTGTGTGCAACAAGTTTGGATCCGACGCGGCTTGAGTGAGGAGCCGCACGCGCTGTGCAGGACTGTGACCGCGGGCGCGCCTGCTGAGACCGACTCGAGGCTGTCGTTGTGTTGAACAGCAGCATGATTGTGCATCGACGCTGCCACCCTTGTGCGCCATCGACGCTCTCGAAAGGGCGGTCATCACCATCTCAATCTCTTTCACCCCAGCCACACGCCTTTTGTGCAATCCAACCAATTGTTTCAAGTGTGATGTGATGTTTGGTGCGTGCTGTATTTCAAGAGTGCTGTTTCTTCTTGAGTCTACGTTTGCCGGACCTTGATGCATCGGGCATGGCAGCCTGGATCGCCTGCGTCTTTACATCGTCTGCATAGCCCGCCACTTTATCGCCCAGCTCCCACAGCCAGCCCTGCACCGCCGTCTGGCGCAGATTCGCCGTGGGCACAGCGGCCAGATTCAACACATCGACAAACAGCGCATTGGGCCACGCCGAAGCATTGTACGTCTTTTGCCACAGCGTGTGCAGCCTCGGATGGCGGGTGGCGTCCACCGGGTTCTCGCCGAGCTCCTTGGCGGGGATCTCGGGATAGTCGACGTGCGGGAGTGCAGCAAGCCCCGCAATCTGCTGGACTGCATTGCTCGCGACTGCGTTGGTGGGTTGAACTGCGGTGGATTCGTCCCAGCCATCGGTGGGTTGGTCGTCTACATCAACTCCTGCATCGCGCGAAGGCAGGTGTTCGTCGTCATCGACATCAGCCATGGCGGTAGCACGCTGGGAGGCGGCCTGGATCATAAGCTGTCGTGCGCGGTGCGTGGCGAGTTCGGGGATATTCCAGCCTCCTGTAACGACCAGTGGCGAGATGAGCGGATTCATGGCACAATCCGCGCCCGGGATCCAGGGGTACGGCGCGCGCGTGGGCCAGTAGAGCAACTTTTCCGTCGGCCGCAACGACCCCTCCCAATCGCTCGCCTCATCCCACATCTCCCGCAGCTTCTCGGGCTTGCACCTCCTGACCTCTGCAAACGCCGGATGCGTATCGGGATCAATGCGCCCCCCTCGCACAACGGAGGGATGGATCGTCTCGTTCGTCCGCCCGCTCTCGCCCATACTCGCCCATACGCTGCGCCGCATCGTAGACGAATGGTACTCGAGCTGATTCACCGTCCGTGCCTGCTGGTAGTTGACCGTCGGTCGCGAATGGTGTGGCAGCTGCATGGCCCACTCTCTCCGCCGGTCGAGAATCGTTGCCAACAACCCTAGATCAATGTTAAGCAGCGGACCGAGCGTTTGCGTGCCGTCGGGGAGGATATGCTTGTCGACGAGCTGCGAGACCATCCAGATGAGGGTAATGTCCGAGAGACCGTGGAACTGGTACCCGCCACCGCAGTCGGTGTGGACGCCCTGGAACCAGCACTGCTTGAGCACCTGTTTGGACCGCATAAACTGCCCGCGCACGCCAAATTCGCCCTGCCCCGAAGTGGGGATTGCGGCGGCGGGAGGGGGTTGATACCACATGGTGGGGAGGAAATCCTTGCGGTCCTCTTCGAGACTGAGCGCATGGAATCCAAACTGCACATTGCTGCCCAGCCCGGGGTCGTAAAAGTCGAAAAAGTCAATCATCTCCTTGTCCTGGAACATACCCGGCAGTCCGAGCGCCGAGACGGTATCCCACACGCCGATCGCCTTGATCTGCGGTGGCACCACCAGCGTCTTCTGCCTGCGCTTGGTGCACTCGTCCTTGCGTTTGGCGATGAGTTCCTGTCGCCTAGCCTCGGGCATGTTCTTGTTCTCGGGGAGATTGTACAGGTTCCAGACATACATGCTCGTAGCGAGCGCTTCCGATTCCGCCGAGGGATAGCGCAGTGTGGCGGTATAGAGCACCTCGGCAGCCTGGGTCTCGGTGCGGATCTTGTCGGCATCGCGATGCTGGTAGGCGGCCCAGATATCGGCAAAGTGCGTCATTTCCACCTTGGACAGGATGCCGCACCAGTTGATAAAGCCGTTGATGCAGCGCGCCGTATACGCTCCACGCGAAAAGCCGAACAGAAACAACTCGTCTCCAGGCTGGTAGTTGTCCACAATGAATCCGTAGGCTTCCTCGATCTTGGAGCCGAGGCTGAGTCCGGTGCCTTGATCGAAGAGCTTCTGCAGTGCACCCGTGCCTGTGCCGACGCCGGACTGGTAAAACACGATTTGCGGCATCGCATTGGTTGCGTGCGGACTTTTGGTCTCGGCTCCATTGCTGGCGGGATTGGGGCTGGTGGGTGGTGAGGACGGGGAGTTGCCGCTGGATTGGGCGATGATCTTGGCGAGGAGGGCGACGTTGGTGAAAAAGTCGCCCGACTGAGGGTCCGAGTCGTCCTTGTCGGCATCCGATTTGCGGGGCTTGTCGCTCTTGTCGCCGCGGTCCCAGTCGTCCACGGCGTCCGGGTCGTTTGGTGGGGTGGCGAGTTTGGTCTTGACCCAGTTGCGCGCCTGCGCGGTGCCGTCGCAGAGCACGATGATGCGCGCCGGCCCGCGTGGGATGCGCGGCTGTAAAGGGGCGGGCAGCATGGTCGCCGGCGCCGAGAGCGACGGTAGACCCGCCGTGGCTGCGGATGGCTCCAGCGCGACCATTGTGTCCGGAATAGATGCGAGTGGGTGTATGCGAGGTGAAATGTCTGCGAGCGAACGATGGTGGTTGTGCGCGAGAGAGGCTGGGTATGGTCAGTGAGCTCGCCGCTCAGCTCGTGGTGGTGCAGAGGAAAGGGAACGGGTAAGATGGACGAGAGTCAGGATCAATGGTCATTCGTGACTTGATGCTCAGTGTCCCGCGAAAGGGATGGGGCTGGACCCTGAGCCCGTGCGACGTTGGTGATGGAGCGGGATGCGCGGACCAAGACGCGGGCCGATGTGTGCACCGATCCGCATCGACGTCAACTCCACCGTGCGCACACTCAACCGCATGGGGCTTGATGCAGAGCATCGGCCCGAAAGCTTCCCTTCGATGTTCCTTGCCGGTACCACACCCTCCCTTGCGCTTAGCTCGGAACCAAATCCAAGCGAGTGCCCCACCCCCCCGCGCTTGTGTTTTTGCCGAGACCAACACTTCCCCCTGAGATTTCGTTCTTGCCTTTTTCGGGGCCTTTTTCAGCGGCCTTGTTTTTCCCTGCCCTTTTTTTTCGGGTCCACATGGCTGACTTGCACATGCGATTCTGCGAAAATCGACGTTCGACATGCATGTGGTGCAACTTCTAGCTGTGTGCCACGCTTGCGCGGAACGACAGGCTGGCTCGGCAGCACGATGCTCTTTTGACTACGTCGGATCGCGCCGGGGCAATACGCTCCCCAACAGACAGACTGATCACTCGAAGCACACTACCGGTAGTTCACATCTCAATCAAAGTCATTCTTCACGCGCATCCACAGAGTCGTGTCCTGTCACCCAGAAAAAGGCACAGACAAGACGGCACAGAAAAGGCATGCCGCAGATGTGCTTAATACCAAAGCCCATCGCGCACGAGGCAGAACCGCAACGGGCGCGCAAACAATCGGTCGTCTCTCCAACCACTCGCCACACGTTCGTACCGCTAGTCAGCGCGCGCAGAAACCTAGCCGTTTTGTAACGGGCAAATCTGCCCCCGGATACGTTGTCAAGACATGTAGGCAAACGCAAACGCATTGCCAACGCACAGCTGCACAACCAGTACGACTCGGTGCAGCAGCCACGTCGAGCTGGTGCAAAGCGAGTCTCACAAGATGAAGACACCAATACAAGGTGCATAGCGCCAGCCACGACGAGTCAAAGCGATCACGGCTGCGCTCAAAGGCCGGCCAGCTTGACTTTGCGAATGAGCACACGCTGAGCCGGCACCAGAAAAAACCGTCGCGTGTTCCCAGGCAGTACGCAAATCACAACAACTTGCACCACGGCTGGAACGTGGCAATGAGCATCCCGACATGCTCCAACCTCAAGGCTCTCGCTTGGACCATTCCTGACCCACAACAGCAAAGTCGATCAGGTGCGTGAGCGAGGTTGACCTGCTGCAAAAGCTTGGTCCCAAAATGAAGGACGAAGTCGAGGTGTCACAGCCACCAAGTCATTCCAAGAGTAGAGGTGGACGTCATTTCATTTCATTCGGTGCGTGCACGACACCTTTTTCGTTCGCAACTGGCTCTGGAGTTCAGGCAGGAGCGGGACCATCGTCGCGCTTGTCGGCACCAGCTTCGGCGGCCGGAAGTGCCACCTCGACGGCCACGGCTGCCTCGACAATCAGATCCTCCAGCGCCATCTCGGCGCCAGCCACTTTGCTCTCCTCCGCCTTCGCGGGTGCATCGTCGCGCTTGACGGCGGTTTCGGTAGTGGCTTCCTGAGCGGCTTCGCCCTCGCCGGCTTGTTTGGGGACAGCCGCGTCGTCTGCAGCAGCGACAGCGGCGGCACAACCTTGCTCAACCTCGGCCGTGCTCGTCTCTGCGGTGTCGTCGTGCTTGGCGGACGGCACGGCCTTCTGGTCGCCCGATGCGACGTCGGGCAATTCCAAGGTGGCAGTCACAATCTCTTTAGTGTCGATGTGAGCCTCGATGCTAGCTACCACCACGCTGGCGTCGGGAGCCTTGGTCACCGACTCTGGCGAAGGCTGCTCTGCCAAAGCAACTGCACTAACAGCTGGATTCTGCTTCGCCTCGGACGGCTCAGCTTCGTCCTCCTTCTGCGTCGAAGCAGCGGCACTCTCAGCTAGATGCTGCTCGGCCTCGGACACCTTGACGTCTTTCTCCGGCTGTGCTGCGGCAGCCGCGCTATCAGCCGGATGCTGCTCGGCCTCGGATGCTTTGGCTTCTGTCTCCTGCTGTGGGGCAGGCGGCTCTTTGGGTGATTCGGCCGGCTTGCTCTCTTCAGCAGCAGCAGCCTCGACAGCGGCACTGCTCGGGACAACGGTAAGGCTATCGGGCTGGAGCGATTTCTCGGGCTGAGCCTCCGCACCTGCCGGGTCCTGACCGCGAGCAATGGTCGGCTCGATCTGCGTCATCGACTCGTCTTGAGTCTGCGACTCTTCCTGGATCTTGGGCTCGTCCTGCGTTGTGGACTCGATTGCCTGATCGGAGACCACACCCGGCGTCACAGCTTCCGCGCTTGGTTCTTGCTTGGCGTGCCGATCGACAGCCGGCTCGGATGCCTCCTTTGTAGCATCGTCGGAGGGCTTTGCGTTGCCGGCAATGTCAGCAGCGCCGAGCTCTTGCTCTGTGACGATGGGCTCGGGCTTGTGCTGATGGGCAGCGGCTGGCTCTGGCTCTTCGTCGCGAGCAGTGCCGAGATCGTGCTTTTCGTTCTGATCCGCACTGGGCTCGACCGCTTTGTGAGTGACGGGAGCGGCAGCGGGTCGGACAGGCAGCATGAGCTCGTCCTGCGTCGAGGCAGTCTCCTGAGTAGCGTGCTGAGCTTGCTCAACTGCCATGGCAGTGGGCTCCTCGACAGGCTTGTTTGGCATTTGAGTCGGCTGAGAGTCGATGCGCACCTTCTTGGGTGGGCGTTCCTCGGCTGCGGCCTCGGCGTGGATCTCCGGGTCGGTGGCGGCGGTCTCGGCGATCGACGCCTCCGAAGGCAGGTGCGCGGACGGCTCCGTGGGCACATGGGTGGGTGCCTCTACGACGCTGGTAGTGTCGGCCACTGCAGAAAAGGGTGCAGCTGCAGACGTACCTGCGGTGTCGGCATCGTCATGGTCTCGCTCGTGCTTGGAGGTCCAGAGATTGGCCGCGGCTGGCGATGCGAATGCCTTGGAATTGTACAGCGTGGAGCGATTGCCGAGGGGATGGCCGCTCCTGATGCCGAGGAGGCTGTACAGGCTGGCTCTGCAAAAGATGGGCATCCTACCGCAAGCCTCGGCGACGGACTGGAGCACGCTGCGAGCCACCTCGGAGCTCCAGACGGCGCGGAAGAAGACGTCGATGGCCACGGATTGCTCATTGTCGGTGCGAGACGACGACGATGACGAGGAAGTGGTGCGCGAATTGCTGAAGCGCGATGCAGCGGACTTCTTGCGCTTCTGTCCGCCATGGGTTTGTTCGCCAAAGGACTCGGACGGGGGCAAGTGGCGGGCGCGCAGCGCAATCACCAAAGGCTGGGCGTGCAGCTCACCCGACTCCAAGCTTTTGGCCAGACGCGTCCAGGTGGCGTCGAGGTGCTGCGGGTTGAGGATGAGCGTCCATCTTCCTTGCGACCAGAGCGGATGGTCGGTGGCCATGAGCATGATCTGGTCGTGGAAGAGGCCCTGTACCTGTTCCCTGCACTGCTTCTTGCTGGACTTGGTGCTCCTCGAATTGATGCGGACGGGGATGGCATCGTCTTTCTGAATCTGGTCGATGTTGGCGGTGGCCTCGTTCATGAGCTGCTTGGCGTTGATGAAAGTGTCGTCGGCGGCTGTCTGCTCGTCTGGCTGCTCGTCTGGCATGCTCTCTGCGACTTGCAGATCGGGATCGGCGCGGGTAATCAAGAACGGAACGGACGGGGCGCTCAGGTGGCTGGGCATGTGTGTCGTGAGCCACTCGTCGAGATTGCCGGTGCCAAGCCTCCAGACCGGGCTGTCGGCCGAGGATTTGGCATGCGGATGAGGAGCAATGGCCTGCATGTTGGACGACGAGACGTTGGGGATGAAAACAAGCGGCGCCGGTGTGGATGGGCAGTACTTATACACGGCTCGCTGGCTTCGCGCAGCCCCCAACAAAGGCCCCTGGCGTGTAAGGGCGATGCGCACTGGATGCGGATGAGGCGAGGGTGCGCTCGGCGCAGGCTGGCTTCATCTCGGCTGAGCCGAAGCCTTGTGCGGCAGGCAGCGGGACAGTGTCGACTGAGCCTCGAGAAGGCACAATGTGCTCTCCGAACGAGACCGGGGTGCGGCTGACTCTTGTCGGGACGACGCGCGAAAAGACAGCGTCGCGTGATGACAAAGAGGTTGGCGTGGTCTGGCAATTTGCGCCGCGTCGACACGGAGCTGTCACGAGCCTCATCCATCTGCGCCCAGATCAAGCTTTGGCGCTGCGCAGCCACAGCACTATCCCGCACCCCCAACCTTTTTGGCGCATGGACTGTCATTTCGTGCAGGTGTCGTGTTGGGGGATCGTAAGGAATCGTGTCGTGCAATCGATTGCTGAGTACAATCTAGCGCGAGTAGCCGCCAAACAGGTGTTCGAGCGCGCTCTGAGTCCAGTCCTTCTTTGGCTCTGCGTCGCTTTCGGAATCGAGGCCGTAGTCTGGTTTGTGGATTCCGGCGTGTGACGAGACGGAGCGCTCCCTCCTTGGCTGCTCTCTTTCCTTGCTGTCCAGCAGCGCATACGCAACAGCCACCAGTGTCGATGTGATTCCCACTGCGGCTGCTGCTATCACTCCGTATCGCACCATCTCCTCGGCGTGGATTGCGAAGGCTATGAGGGCGGATAGCTGCAGTGCGGCGCCGAGGCACACAAGCACACCGCAGCTCGTGGTGATACTACCCAGCACCTGCGACCATCCATACCGAGTTCGAACTGCTTGCAGAGTGTATACGAGCATGGTGACGACCGAAGCGTATAAATTGAGCACGAGCGAGGTGGTGCCCAGCAACACTACCACTGGACTCCCGTGGCCGTAGAAAGCTAACGAAGCTGCTTGCGTCGATCCCAACAGCAAAGCTACAACCAATACCGCTGCCGTTCGCAAGCCCTGCCGCTCGCAACATCCCCTCCAGTGTCCGTCTTCCATCGTCGTACCACTAAGCATCGACTCCCCTTCCCCGCGTTCTGTGCTGTGAATAGTTGGAGTATACCCAGCAGGCGGAACATAAAACCCGCCACCACATGCAACCCTTCCCTCCTGTCGTGTCGTCATCTCGTGAATGGTGGTTCTCTTCCTATCCCCTCCTCCCTCCCCAGATCGCAGGGTATATATCTAGAGCCGCTGTTTCATTTGTTCCCAAGCCCGCCAGCCGCCAGCCGCCATTTGCCGGTACTGCACTAAATGAACCGCAACCCTAAAGGGGCATCGCGCATCTTAGCCTAAAAATTCACGCGCCCTAAACCCACACCCTCATCCCCACCTTGACCCCTCTCAACCACCGCCATGACACTCTCATACGTTGCACTATGACATCACACCTCACAGCTCGATCATACGCTCATCAAAAAGTCATTACCGCCATATGCATGCGCAAATTCTACGTCGACTTCTGCTCGAGCGCCGGGTTGCCGTTGCGGTACATGCGCTCGTACGCATAGTCCTGCGAGTGCGCCTGCTGCTGCTGTTGCTGTGGCGGATACATCTGCGCCGGATGCTGCTGCGACGGCGTTGCATATCCCGAGCCGGGGCCCGACCCCGGATTGCGCGCCATCATGTGCACGCCCTGCGCCGCATAGCCCGGCCCGCCATTCGGCGCGGCGTAGTGCGGCTTCTGCGGCGTGCCGTGCGCCCCGAGCGCCTGCTGCGGAAGCCGCTCCGTAGGGCTATGCCCAAAGTGGTGATGCTGCGGCGGCACCGCTCCCGCCGACCACGGCCCTGCGCTGTCCGGGCTGCGCGAAAACTCGCTCCGCATCGGCGTGCTCGCCCCATTGCTGCTCGAGTACTGGCGGTGCTGCGCCACGCCTTGCTGCTGCTGCTGCTGGAGCTGCTGCTGCTGGTGATGCAGGTGCTCGCGCTGCTGCACCTGGCGCATCGTCGTCGGCGGATGCACGTCTGGACGATGGCGGTTCTGCAGCTCGCCCGAGTGCAACGGGCCCGCGCCGTACGCTCCGCCGCTTCCATTGCGACCCATGCCCACGCCGCCGCCGACACCGCCGCCGCCGCGCATCTGGCGCATGCGCGCGTACTTTTCGCACTTCTTGAGAATGTCGCGCGACGTCAGGTCCGCCGAGGCGTTCATCAGATCCTTGTCCTGCAGCACCGCCTCGAGCTCCTCGGGCACCTTCCAGATCTCGTCCTGGTGCTCCAGCAGATACGACACTGCGCGATTCGCCAGGAACGTCTCGTCCTTGGTCGGATCGCTCCCCTTGCTGTACAGAATATTGGGGCAGATCACCGTCGCCAAATTCGGCAGGTCCATCTTGCTGCCCGTCTCCTCGTCAATGTGCGAGAACGACGCCACCCACTTGAGGAACGCAAACAGCACCTCGAGCGTGTCGCGGTGGCCCTTGGGCAGCAGGATGGTCACCATGTGCAGGATGCGTCGGCGCTCCGCCTCCGACTCGAGCTTCTGCGACATGACAAACAGCTTGTGCAGCTTGAACGTCATGAGCGGATCCGGCAGCTCGCGCAGGAACTTCTTGAGCAGCGCCGCCAGCTGCACCGGATTGTCGTCCAGCAGATTCACCGACGAGCTGTCGCGGTCCAGCGCCTCGGACAGCTCCTTGAGCCGCCGGATGTTGCCGTTCTTGCGGAAGATGCCCTCGACGGACAGATCCATCTGCTTCATCGCCGAGATCACGTCGTCGATGAACGACGGCACGCGCAGATGCGCCGCACTCGCTCCCAGCGTCGAGTCGGCGCCGTTGCGCTCCACCAGGATCTCGAGCGGGATGCCAAACACGCCCTTCTTCTTGATCTCCTTCTTTTCCTTGCCGCCCTTGAAGATCTTGCCCCAGAACGTGTTTTTGCGCGTCTCGATAAACTCGATAAGGTCGTCCAGATTCACGTGGTCGCGCAGCGCCGACTGCTGCAGATACATCACCGCCATGTGCTTGACGATGAACAGCTCCAGCGCCGAAAGCTCCGAGATGCAGCGCGTGCCCTCGCTCGGCAGCGGACGGTGCTGCTCGCGCGCCTGCTCGGCCTCGAGGATGTGCGGGATGTCGGCGAGCGTGATGCCGTCCTCGCTGCGCGTGTCGCGCTGCAGTTCGTCGCCCGACGGCTGGCGCATGGGACCATCCTCGCGGATCTTGACGTCGGTGTTGTGACGTGCAAAGGCAGGCCGAATGGGCACGATCGATCCAGGCTCCAAGTTGGAAGGCGAGCCTGACCTGGCTGACGCCCCCACGCCGAGCTGCGGCTGTTGCTGCTGCTGCTGMGGTGCCATGCCTGGCCCACCGGGCAGTGCAAACGGAAGATGCTGCTGTACGGGCTGGAACACTTGCTGCGACGCCGATTGCTGCGGGTAGGCACCGGGCTGTTGCTGCTGTTGCTGCGGTCTGCGCGTCCGGCTCGACGGCGACGGCTCTCGCGACGAGCCACCGTCGCGCTGGAAAGGTGATCCGGACTCGCGCGGCGACGACGACGGGCTGGCCTGGCGGGGCGAGTGTCTGCTGTCCGTCTGCAGACCCGAGTCGGAGGGCGAGGGTCGTTGCACATCCGAAGTCTGCGTCTGGCGGCCGGACGGACTGCCGACGACGGTCGAGATGCGAGGCACCTTGGCTTTGGTGGACTGCTTGCGGTTGAGGTTGACCGACTTCATGCGCTTGATGTCCTGCGAGTCGCGGTACGCCTCGTGCATCGATACCTCCTCGGCATCGGCGGCCGCGGATGCATTGGACGCCGATGGATCCGCGTCGCCAATCATGCGCGATGCCGATACGGGCGGAGAAGGCGGCACGACGCCACGCTTGCGCAGCAGCGCAAACAGGCGGTTGAGCGCCACACGCAGCAGGAACGCATACTGCTCCAGCCGCGTGACCGATTCGAAGCCCGTGCGTAAACTGAGACCGCCGGCGCAGTTGGGGCAGAAGCACGCGTGCTGCCACGGGCCCGAGGCAGACACGGCGCGCGCACCGTTCTGGCCGCTGCCCTCGGTGCGACGTTTGGACTCGAGACCGAACTGCGAGGCGGGCAAGGCGTCGGGTGTTCCAGCCGCAGGATCCGGCTGCTTGCGCGTCGAGGGTCCCTCGCGCAACGCTGGTCGCTGGCAGGTGGAGCATTGGAGGCAGTTGGAGTGCCATCGCAGATTGACACCCATGCGCAGGCATTCCTCCTCGACCGTAGATCCGCACGCCACACACAGATCGGTGGCGGCTTCGCCATTCTCGCTCGAGCCCGAGCTGGTGGATCGGGGCAGCGAGCGGTAGCCGTACCAGCGTCCGTCGGGCCCGACGGTGTTGGTGTTGGGCGGCTGGGTGCCCTGCTTGTCGTCGGCGGTGATGCTGCCGAGCTTGGCGGAGAAGGCGAGCTGGCTGAGGAACCAGTTGAGCGCCTCCTCGTTGTCGTACTCGCGGTCGAGCTTGAGCGCGCCGGTGAGCGCGATGCGGATGAGGATCTTGAGATAGTGCGCCAAGCCGGTGACGAGCGAGAGGAGCTCCTGAGTGATGCCCATGCGGCGTGCGCCCGTCTCCTGAGTGTGCGAGAGCAGCGAGAAGAAGTTGACGATCTTCTTGCAGAGCATCCTTGCCTCGCGAATGTGCGAGATGCCCTTGGCTTCCTCCTTGCGGAAGTTGGCCTCGAGGTCGTCGATGGCCGAAAAGAGGATCTCGACGTGGAGGATGAACTTTTCGGCCATGCGGACGCCGCCGAGGTAGCGACCGCTGCTGACGTGGCGGAGCATCTCGGAGATGCACGCAGCGGAGCTCTCTTCGAAAGCGGAGAGGACGGTCCAGATGCGGTAGACGCGCTCCTCCATCTGCTTCTGCTTGTGCTTGAGGCTCGAGGGCGTCTCGGCCGCCTCGATCTCGGTAGCGTCGGGCGAGGGCTCGGAACGCGAGGGTGCGGCCTGGCCTGGCGACGACTCGACGGCTTCGCCCTGGCCTTCCTGGCTGCCCGCTGGATTGTCCGCCACTTCGTCGGCGCCTGGTGCTGCTGTCAACGCTGCGGCGCTGTCCTTGGGCGTGGAACCGGTGGGGCAGAGCTTGATGTTCCAAAACTTGTGGATCATGTAGCATTCGGGATGCCAGTGCTCGTCGGTGTTGTTGCGGTTGATCTCGACAAACTGCTTGAGGATGGCGGTCTTGCAGCCGGTGCACTTGATGGCGAAGCGGGTGCTGTAGTGAAAGTGGCAAAAGACGTGGCCGTCGTGCTCGTAGTAGCTGTCCTGCGGGCCAAAGACGGTGGGGCAGACGGAGCAGGTGAAGTGTTCGACGTGGAACTTTCTGCCGAGGGCGGTGATGTAGCTGCCGCGAAGGGCGCCGCTGCACTTTGCGCAGATGAGGTCGAGGCGACGGAAGTAGTCGGTCTCGCAGAGCGGGAAGAGGCGGCCGGTGCCGGAGGAGTCGACCATGTCGTCGGTGGCGGGGAAGAACTTGGCGGCGACGACCTTGTTGCAGTCGTTGCAGCGGAAGCAGTCGAGGTGGTAGACGCTGCCGAGTGCGCGCACGAATTGTCCGGTCATGACCTTGCGGCACGCCTGGCAGGTCTGGTCGCGGCGTCGAGACGAGGTGGCCGCCGAGGAGGAGGAGGAAGAAGGTTGGGACTGCTTCTGAACCAGGGACTGTGGCGCCGCCGACGCCGAGGTGGGAGGATCCTGCGGCGAGGCAGCGGCGATGGGCGGTGGTGCGCGATCGGACACGGCAGGGGCCGAGGCAGGGGTGGTGATGGGGTTGGGTGGCGCGTGGAGGTTCTGCGGGGATGCGACGTTGGAAGCGATGCCAGGACGGTTGGGCCATGTGGCGTCTGTGGCGTCTGGGGCGTACGAGTTGGCCGAGGTGTCGATGCGGGGTGCTGGACGCGAGGAGCCGCGGGAGGGGAGGCTGGGTCTGGACTCGATGCTGTTGGAGCGTATGGAGGCTGTGGTGGCCTCGTGCTTTTCGCGCTCCTTCTCCCAGCTCCAGCCTGGATCGACGGCTCGACTCTTGATGCGATCCATATCGGCACGGCTGCGAGAGCTGGTGCTGCTGCTGCTGCCCTCGCCAGCTGGCACGTCTGCGAATGAAGTGGATGGCCGAAGCGATCTGGCGTGCGCGGCATCGTCCGAGATGGGGGCGGCCACCGTGTCATCACGGGAGCGAGAACGAGACATTGCTGCCGAGCTGTCGTGAGGGAGCGCCGGCGACGCCGACGAAGGGCCTGCCAGACTCAAGTTGGCGGTTGCGTGTTGGAGCTGACTGGCGTCGTCTGTAGCGTTTGAGTGGTAGGAGCTTGCCGAGCCGGAAGCGGCGTTGTCGGCGCCGTTGGCGTGGCTTTGGTGGCTCATGTTGGAGATACAGCGGATGGAGGGGGCGGGGTGCGAGGGATGGATGCGAGAGAAACGGTGGATGGTCCAATGTACGGGGAGGAATGGGTGCGTTGACGAGCGAGGCACAGACGTGGAACGTGACTAGCCACACGCCTGAGCCGGCAGCGTTGGGCTCCCGTGTCGAGGGAGCGGGCGGGCAGCTGACGAGGTGGAGGGCTAGCTGAGGCACGGCATCCCAGCGTGAAGCGGCGAGAGAGAGAGAGAGAGAAGAGTGTTGCCAATGCGAGAGCGGTGTGTGAGTGCCAAAGGAGCGTCGAGCGTGGCGTTGAATGTAAATGGGTTGATGGTGAGCACGACGATGGTCGAAAGCGGCTGCAGACAAAGGATGTCGACGATGGTGAAACAGGTTCTAGGTGTATGGCTGGAGTAGCGGTGAGCGTTGCAAGCCGAGTCGAGTCGAAGCAAAGAGCAAAGGTGAGGACAAGGGTGAGGAGGAGAGTGTGGTGTGGAAAGGATGATGAAGGTGGAGCTGCTGCGATGGGTGAGAATGTTGCGGTGCTGTTGCTGTGCTGTGCTGCGAGGATCCCAGAGCGCGAGAGCGAGAGAGAGAGAGGGGCAAGAGAGAGCCAAGTTGGGTGCCTGGCCAGCGCACAGAGGCGGATCGGCGCTGCACTGCGCTCGAGTGGCTGCCGGTGTGCGGGCAGGCGTGAGGTGTGTCAAGTCGCGCGCAGCCGTACACTCTTCACTCCAGCTGAGCACAGAGACGACACCCTTTCGCTCTCTCGCTCACTCACCGCTTGCCCGCCTCTCCGTCGGTTCGCCAGCTCAACTCGCCGAGTGCTGCCTCGCCGCCTCTCGCCACGAAAATCCAGCAAAAATAAAATCCAAAGTCGAATAAAATCCCATCCCCCCTCCTCCTACAGTAGCGAAGGGCGTGTGTGTGTTGGAAATCGACAAAAAAAAGGGGGGGCGCTGCTGGTGCGATAGGGGGGGCCAACTTCAAGAGCAAGCTAAAACGCGGCTCCCAAGCGGCACGCGCAAGCGATTCGCGCGGGGTTCCTCCAAACATGCCCCGGCAAAGGGGGTTTCCTGCCATCCGAGCTCAGCACAACTCCAACCTGCGCGTTGGGATGCAGCAAAGCCGATCCCCCGCCCTTTTTGCTCTTGGAGTTCCGTCCTAAAAACGGGCCTTTTGCACAGTGCATGAACTCAGCTGCTCAAGGTTCGCCGACGGCAGTGTGTCACACACACTTTTGCTGGGGGGCGCCCAAAAGAGAGCCGCTGCACACCTTGCAGCCCCCGCTTACATGCATCATCCATCCTCTCTCGCAAACCCGCCGTCACCACTGGCACAGCTCAGGAACACCCAACACCAACATGCATGAGAAGAATCCTACTGTACTCGTCCCGAGACCCCGCGCGCACTTTTGAGATGCATTCTTTGAAATTCTCGCAGCACGGGCAACCATCTTGTTAGGCACGCTCGACATAGTTGGCGGGGAACAGCCCCTGGGCGCCCGTGCGCTCGTTGGTGCCGCTCCACCAATCCTCGCTGATCTGGTCGTCGACCTGGACGATCGTGTCGCCCTCGACAAAGCTCAGCTCGTTTTCCTCGCTCGCCTCGAAATCGTACATGGCCGTGCACACCACTCCGCGCTCGCCACCCGCCGCCGCTGCCGCCGGAGCAGGAGGCGCAGGCGGCGCGGGCGGCGCAACCTCCTCAACAGGAGGTGCAGGCGGTGCGGGCGGAGGTGGAGGAGGAGGCGGAATCTCGTCCTCCTCGTCGACAGCAGCAGGCGGTGCGGGAGGAGCAGGTGGCGCAGGTGGGGCAGGCGGGGCAGCAGGCGCCTCCTCTTCGCCGCCCTCGATCAGCTCGACGTACGATGCGGGGAACAAGCCCTCGTGCCCGTGCTCGTCGACTCCAGACCACCACCCTTCGTCAATCTGCTCGATGTTCGAAATGAGCGCTCCCTCCACCAGCGTCAGCTCGTTGTCTTCCGCTGCCTCGTACGCCCATGCCACCCGGCCCTGCAAGCCACCGCTGCCAATCTGCGTCGATGCCAGCTTCTGCGTGGTCTCTTCCACCTCATGCGACGGCTCCTCGGCGGCCGCAACCGGAGGCGCGGGAGGTGCGGGTGGCGCAGGAGGAGCAGCTGGGATCTCGTCTTGCTCCTCCTCAGCCGCTGGCGCCGCAGGGGCAGGTGGAGCAGGAGGAGCCGCCGGTGCAGGAGGAGCAGCAGGGGCAGCCGGAGCAGCGGGGGCGACGGGAGCCTTCGGGGCCGGAGCAGCGGCGCCCGATCCGTAGCTGGCGGTACGCATGCCGGACGAGAGCTGCTTGACGCGCGCCTCTTCCTCTTCGCGTTCTTTCCGCGCCGCCTCCTGGCGCTGGCTCCAAGTGAGTTTGCCCGGTGTGCCTCCCGATGCCACTCGCGGCGCCGGAGCGGGCGCCGACGACGTCTCGTCCTGCTGTCCAAAGGGGAATCGGTTGGCCATGTTGAGCTTGCCTGGCTTGCCCAGGCTCACCGGCTGGTATGCCGTGCCCACCGGCTGGATGCGGTCGTCCTCGGCCGGTTTCGTCGGTGCGGACGAAGCTTCAGGTCGCGGAGCTGGAGGCACCGCGGAAGGCGCGCTGACCGGTTTCGGAGCAGGGGCAGCTGCGGGGGCTGCTGGCGCTGCAGGAGCCGCAGGGGCATGGGGTGCGGCGGGTGCCGAATCGAAGGCGGGCGCATTGACGCGAGGAGCGCTGGGCAGCTGCGGAGGCTTGGCGGTGCCGGATCGGATCTGCTGCAGCTCGTCCCTCTTGGACGCATAGTTGGTGCCTACAGGCGCAATGGTGTCCTTGGCTGCCGACTTTTGCATGCCCCTGATGTCGGGCGTGCCGATGGGTTGGTAGCTGGAGCCGACCGATCCGATGGGTCCGCCCCTGTGCGTGTTGGCCGCCTGACCCGCCGCCGAGTAGTTGGCGCCGGACGACTCGGCGATGCGACGGATGATCTGCTTGGGATCCACATCCGCCTCGGAACGGGCATTGATGCTCACGTGGTACGCGCGCAGATACTGCGCCACCGCCGACGAGTGCGTGGCGAAGAGGCCCTTGCGGTTCTCGGGCACGCCGTCGCCGCACCAGCTGATGAGCGCGAACTTGGGCAGCTGCGTGTTGGGGTCCTTGACGCGTGCAAAGGCGTACTGGATGCGGCCGTCCGAGAACTCTTCGTTGAGGTCGTCCAGGTCGCCGTTCTCGCACACCTGCACGCGCAGATCGTTCGACGCCTTTTCGTACGTGAGCACCAGGTAGTCCTTGGCGCCGTCGAGCACCTTTTCGTAGGCGTCGCGGATCGCCGTCGACGAGAGGTTGACCGTGAGCGACATGTTGTGCTGCTTCGAGGTCGTGGGTGATGATGGTGGTGAGGATGAAGGGTGGTGGGGATCGATGTGTGTCGCCGAGTTCGAGGCGGCGGATCGCCTGATCCGAGCGCGCGGTCGGTGGGCGGGCTTGTGGAGGAATGGCCGGTGGGTGGGGGCGTGTGGCCGTGCGTGGCTGTGAAGCTCAGCGGCCGATTTCCAAACGATCGCGGAGCTTCTTCGGGCTTGGCCTCAGAGGGGCGCCGCACATGGCGCACGGTGCAGGCTCAGCCATGCATTCACTCAACATCATTTCGGCGTAACACGGTGGACTTGCTCCAACCGGCCGAATACACGCACGCGCGCTGGGTCGCTGCTTTTTGGGGGAGCCGGCTGCGAAGCCTGAAGATGGCAGCCCTCGCCCGAGGCGCACCGATCGATAACCGTGAAAAAGACGCGAGACCAAGCCAACACGCGAGATCGCCCGGCTGTCTGTCTGGATGAGGTGCTCGCTCGAGCGGAATTCTAGCGCACGAGCGTTGGGGCCACCCTTTTTTCTTGCGCCTTTCGTGCATACTTTCCCACCTTTCCCTCCATCATCTTCTCTTTCTCATTGCCAAAATGGTTGGAACTCTCGTCCTTACGCGCCACGGTCAGTCCGAGTGGAACAAGCTCAACCTCTTCACGGGCTGGAAGGATCCTGCCCTGACGGAGCTCGGTCGCGAGGAGGCGCTTACGGGTGCTAAGCGTGTTGCTGCGACGGGCATCAAGTTCGACGTGGCCTTCACCTCGGCTCTGCAGCGCGCGCAGACTACGCTGGGCATCCAGCTCAAGGAGATTGGTCAGGAGGACATTACGATCCACAAGGACCAGGCTCTCAACGAGCGCGACTACGGCGAGCTCTCGGGCCTCAACAAGGACGACGCGCGCAAGAAGTGGGGCGAGGACCAGGTGCACATCTGGCGCCGCAGCTACGATATCCCCCCTCCCGGTGGCGAGTCGCTCAAGCTCACCGCGGAGCGTGTCTGGCCCTACTACCACAAGGAGATCCTGCCCCTCGTCAAGCAGGGCAAGAACGTCATCGTCGCAGCCCATGGCAACTCCCTCCGTGCCATGATCAAGGATATTGAGAACATCTCGGACGACGATATCGGTATGCACATCCACATCCTACTCGCCAACACTTTCGCCGTGCATCTTGCTCACTTTTGCTTTCCATTCGCCTGCATTCGACAGTCGGCCTCGAGCTCGCTACGGGCGTCCCCATCCTGTACAAGCTCGACCAGGACGGCAAGGTCGTCTCCAAGGAGATCCTGCAGGGATAAATCAGCACTTCCATCGCTGTCAGTCCACACTGCTTGTTTCCTACATGCTAGAAATCCAACCTCATACATCCAGCTCTCGATTGTCCGCTCGTGTGCACACTGAAACAAGGCCGAGCTCGTCCAACTCTCCACTCTCACTTGGTGCGAACAGACACACGCGCATCGCCGCTATCATCCAAATATGTGTTAAACCTGTAACTGTACGACCATCACGGCTTTGCCTCGTCCTTTGGCGCTGGGACAGTGGAGCTAGCGGCGGTCTCTGCGCTCGACACGTTGGTGCTACCGGAGGTCGACGTCGACAGCCCCTGTTTCCGCTCACCAGCCTCTGGCGCGGCGACCTTGCCCATAAATGTGGCTACCCTTGCGAGGTCGACGTCGGGACCGTCGCTCTCCATGGCGGTGAGCAGCTCGTCGAGCATGCCCTCCACCTTGTCCTGCGCAATGTTGGCGCAGATCGCCACGACTTGTTTGCACTGCGCCTCCTTGGTCGCTGCCGCCTGTTCGAGCTCGCCGATCTGCGTCGCCAGCGAGTCGCTGCTCTGCGAGAGAACCGACACCACCCACCGAAGCCTCACAAGCTCCTCTACCTCTGCATCCCCCTCGACCTCGCTCGTCGAAGCCACGATGTCAGATGCCAGAGACTCGACCAACCCGACCACGTCGCCATCCACATCCATAGCATCTGCATCCTTGGTGGCCGACGCCGCCTCCGCCTCGTGCTGGAGCTCCGCGAGCCTGGCTTCGGCATCGGCATCGTCGATGGCCAGCTGAGCGATGATGGCACGACGCAGGTTCTGGGCGCGCTGTCTCGCCTCGTCGCGCTCCGCCAGCTTGGCCTGCGCCGCACCCACGGTCTTGCGCCTCGCGGCCAGATCGCGCGTCGCCGCCTGCAGGTGGCTCTGCACCGTGGCGAGCGCATCGTTCTTCTCGCCCAGCTCGCGCGCAAACGTGGCCTGCAGATCGTCGAGCGTCGAGCTGAGCTGGTCGCGCACGTCGCTGCTCTTCATCACGGGCATCTGTGCCGGCCTCGTCAGCGCCGAGATCACATCGGCCGGATTGTGCGATGCCAAATCCGCCGCCGTCAGCGGCGGCAACGACGACACGGTACTCGCTGCCACCGACGCCCCATCGTGCGACTCTGCACCGCTCTCGATACCCCAGTCCGACGGTCGGATCCCCAGCGCATTCGGCAGATCCTTACGCGCCCCTACATCCAGCAGCATCCTCACCATGCTCGCATTGCCCAGACGCGCGACGATGCCGAGCGCAGTCTCGCCATCCTCGTCCTGCGCATCCACAAGCCCCTTGTACTTGGAGCTCTTGTCGGCCGCGACGAGCTCGAGCACGCACGCGAGGTAGTACCTCGCCGACGCCGCACGCCCCTTGAGCGCCGCGACGAGCGCAATGTGGTGCAGCACCGTGCGCTTCTTAAAGTCGCGCGTGTTGAGCGACGCCGCGAGCAGCTTGAGCAGCGTGGGGAACGACGACGCGTCGTACGAGTTGGTCACCAGCACCGATCGGTGCAGCGCCGTCTCGCCCGCATGGTTGCCTGCGTGCACGTTGGCCCCGCCCTGCCAGTGCGGGCGAGCCACCAGCGTGCGCACCAGCGCCAGTCGGCACAGCGCCGACGCCCAGTGCAGCGCCGTGTGCCCATGGTCGTCCGTGACCAGGTCCACCGTCGCGCGCGGTCCCTCGGAGCCACTGCTGCCGCCCAAGCCGCCCAGACTCGCCTTGTCGCGCAGCTCGGCCAGCAGATGGTCGAGCTTGGCCACGTACGCATCCTCGTCGTCCGCAGTGCCGTTGGCAGCTTCGTTGGCGGCAGCGCCGGTCGAAGCCGAAGCGGCCGTACCCGACGCTCCTGGCGCCGAGGACGGCGAAGCATCGGTGGCGGTGACGGGCTCAGCGACGCCGGCAAGCACACTGTCGTCTGAGAAGAGACTGACGAGGTGGTCGCGCATGCGCTTCTCGCCCTCGTCGTACGGCTTTGGCGGGAGCGCGCGGTCGGCGTAGCGCGGCACGGAGCCATCGCGACCTGCGGCGTCGGGCGGGCCCACGGCCATGCGATGGCCGCGCGGCGCCGAAGCGGCACGGAGCGAGCCGCCGGCGGGGCCGAGCGCATTGAGATCCTTGACGGGCGAGGGGCCCAGCAAGAGGCCCGACTCGCGCTGCGGACTCGAGAGGCGCGAGCGCTTGGCGGCCGACGAGGCATCGTGCTCGTCCTCAGCTGCCGCCCTCTTGTCTCCCGCTGCCGAGGCATCAGTGGCTCCGGCCGCGGGCAGCGGCACGCCCTGCGGTGTGTAGCCGTAGACGTTGTAGCTGCGCAGCGCGTCCTGCTCGGCCTGGCTGGAGCCGGGCGGGATGGCATGCGGGCCAGCTGCGGCGTGCGCATCGACGCCGAATCCGCCGAGCAGGCCGCTGGCGCCCGGCGGCATGAAGAGAGCAGGCGACATATCTCTGTTCTGCGAGTCCTTGGGCGGTCTGAGCGCCAAGAAGCGGGGCTGCTGGCTGGGCCCGCCGACGCTGGAGGGCGCGGGCGAGTAGTGCTTTGTGGGCGTGGCGCTACGACCATCGTTGATGGCCGAGGCGGACGAGTTGCGCGCCGAGGGCGCGGGCTTCTTGCGCTGGTAGAGCTTCGGGATTTGGTCTGCGGTGGCCGGGTCGAACTCGAGGATGGGCTGGAGGAGGTGGGAGACGTTGTACTCGGCGGCGACCTCCTGTGCGCGCTGGAGCGGGATCCAGGTGCCCTGGAACTTGCCGTATCCGCCTTGGATCTTTTCGTGCTCGCCGGTGAGGATGCTCTTCTCGAGGATCTTTGTGCGGCGCGTCTTTTCGATGCCGGCGATCTTGAGGATCTGGGTAGCGTTGAGCCAGCCGTCGGCTCTGCGGCGCATGACGGCGATGCCGCGCACGGTGATCTCGTAGACGGGCACGTTGGAGTACGTGGCGAGGTAGACGGTGGGCACGTTGCCGACGGGGTTTTGGAGCATCGCATTGGCCTGGGCGGGCGTCATGTTCTTGAGCTGCGCCGGGGTGAGCGGGCCGGCCTGTGCCGGGGTGGAAGCGCCGTTGGTGGCGGCGGCCGATGCGCCGCCATGGCCCATGACCCTCTGGAGGGACTCGGAAGCAGCAGTAGCGGCGGCAGCACCACCCGGAGTAGCGGTGGCAGCCATGGTCAACGATGGGTGGACGGGGAGCAGACCTGCGCGCTGAAGAGCCGAGGTGGTAAAGCCGAGGCTGGATGCGGAGCCGGCAGGAGACTTGAGCGGCGAGGCGGTTGGATGAGCGGCAAGGGAAGAGGCAGCGATCTGTTGCACAGGCTGGAGCGGAGCGTGTGCGGGTGCGGTGGCCGAGGAGAGGGGGTGGGTGGTTGCTTCGTTGGCGTGTGTATTGGAAGCGTCGGCCGTGGTGGAGAGGTCCAGAGGCATGTGGGACAGCGAATCGCGGGACAGTCGATGTCGAGAAGAGGGGAGAGGTTCCAAAAGGGGGGGCGGTTGGTTGGTGCGCGACGAGGCTTCTAGGAAGCGACCGGTTCGGCGTGCATCAAGGGAAGAAGGGATGGTGCGGCCGGCCAAGCAGTGAGCGCAGGGTCAGAAGGGGGAGCGGCGACGATTGCGAGTGGGGGAAAAGCAAGTAGCGACGCGAGATCAAAGTGCTCCGGATGATGGGTGCAGGACGACGTTGCTCTGGAAAGTGCGCGTTGGCGCGAGGTGTTGGGCTGGCTGGCTGGCTGGCTGAGGCGGCGCGGCGGCGCGTGGATTTGCGAATCTGTTGGTTTGGTTGGGGCTTTTCGGCGGCTGCTTGGCGGGTGCCGCCTCTTTTTCCAACTGCAGACAGTCACTCACTCACCGCGCCAGCCTCGCCCAGCCTCGCGCCGCCCGCACCTTGGCCAGCTGACGCGCGCCCAGCAGAGCCTCAGAGTGTCAATTTCGCCCGCCTTGGCCAGGCACACCTCAGCTGTTCCTTTGCGACATACGGTCTCATTGCAGATCAGAGATGGGCAGTCGCCACTTGTGCACAGAAGCTGAGTCACCATCGCAGACACAGTCCATGGTGCGGTTCAGGCAGCCAGAGGCGGATTGGAAGCCAGGACGCGCTTTCGGGGCCGGTTAAAGTGGCATCGCGCTCGCGCTACGCGTCGCGCCGAGCCTTGGGCCGTTGGCACTTGCAATTTCGCTCGGCTCGATCGAGGCCGCCCCTCTCGCGTCGCGTGTCTGCGCCCGATCGTCTCACTGCCTCGCTCGCATCGATCGACACAAGTCAAACACTGCCCACCTCATACAGAGAGAATCGTTGGCATTGCAAGTGTGCTACTCAATAGCCTCCATAGCCTCCACCGAAACCGTTGTTTCCAAACTGCTGCTGCTGTTGCTGCTGGCCGTACCCCATGCCCGTGAATTGAGGCATGACTCCACCCGGCTGGAAGCCGGTCGGCTGCGGACGCAGCGCATCGTACTTGTCGCTCGTCTGCGGCGCCGCATTGGGGTCCTTGGCAAACGAACCGCTCTTCATCTGCTGGAAGATGTTGGACGCGTTGAACTTGTCCTTGTCCTCCTGCTGCTGCTGCTGTTGCTGCACCTGCTGCTGCGAGCCCATGCCAAAGCCCGTCTGCTGCGCCATCATCTGCTGCGGACTCTGCACGCTCGCCACGCCCTGCTGGCCAAACTGGTTGAATCCATGTCCACCCGCACCGCCAAACCCGGTTTGCTGAGGCTGCATCCCCATCTGACCCATCTGTCCCATTTGCCCCATTGAGGACATGGGAGACATGGCGCCGTTGTTGAAGCCCGTCATCTGCGGCTGCATACCCTGCATACCCTGCATACCCTGCATACCCTGCATACCCTGCATACCCTGCATGCCTTGCATGCCCCAACCGGTCTGCTGCGGCTGCATGCCCGTCATCTGCATGCCCATATAGCCCGTCTGCTGCGGCTGCATCTTGGTCGGCACAAACTGGCCGGTTCCCTGCGTGGGCACCAGTGGCTGCAGCAGGCCCTGGTTGGCCGGCACGGGCGCAAATGGTCCGCGCGGCGCATTCGGGTTGTATGCCTGCGACTGGCCCAGGAACGACGACGCCGGCGAAGGGCTCGCGCCCGGCCGCGGACTCGCACCCGCCGACGGCGGCTTCATCGCCGCGAGCTTCTCGAACAGCGCCGAGTTGGGGTCCGCTGGCGCCGGCGACGCGGCCGGGGCGGGCGACGCAGCCGCAGCAGGTGCAGCAGGTGCAGGCGGCGGCGTGGGTGCCGGGGGTGCGGCTGCGGGCGCAGGCGAGGCTGCCGATGGACGCGCAGGCGTGGCGGGCTTGGTGCTCGGCGGACGCGGCGTCCAGGCATCGTCGTCGAAGCCGTTGGCCACCGCTGAGCCGGTGCGCTTGGGTGCGATCGCCGGGCTCACCGTGCTCACGCGCGCCGGCGGCGAGGTGGTCCTTGCCAGCGACTCGCTCGCTGCCGCCAACGAAGCCGCATCCACATTGCTGCCTCCCGTGTTCTTGGGCGTGGGCCTGCCTCTGCGCGTGTTGTTCTTGAGCGTGCCGTCCGGGCCCGAGAAGAGCTGGGGCGGCGCGGGGCTCACCGTGTCGCCTCGCCTCGCCGAGCTCTCTTGCTCCTGCAGCTTCCTCGCCAGCTCCTCGTCCGCCTTGATCTGGCGCTCCAGGTCCGCCGCCGGATTGGCGCTCGCGCGACTCGACTGGCGCGACGACGCCGTCTTGTCGCGCCGGTACTTGCGGTCGATGAACTTGGACACGCGGATCACGTCGCCCTCGCGCAGCCCCAGACTGCGCAGCGTGCTTGCGTCCAGATCGCCCAGCACCGTCTCGTCGATCTTGTCGCGCTCAAACGCGCTGGCGTAGCGCGTGCAGTCGTCCACATCCACGCCCGCCGCGAGGAAGAACTCGAACCAGTCCACGTTGCGCTTGGGGCCCGTGCGCGACTGCTCGCGTCGACGCTGCTCGCGCTCCTTCTCCTTGCGCCTCTCGCGTTCGCGTTCGCGCTCCTCGCGCGACATGCCGCTCGTCGTCGACGCCTGCGAGCGGCTCATCTGGCGCTCGCGCTCGCGTTCGCGCTCGCGGCGGCGGGCGCTGGTGGACGCAGCGATCTCGTCGTCGGTCGGATTGAGCTTCTTGCCCGTAATGTCCTCGAGGAAGGCAATGTCGGTGTTGGACATCTTTTCCACCACCACCTCGATCACCACGCCGTTCATCTTGTGCAGCCGGATCTTGCCCTGGTTGAAGCCGAGGAACTCGGCCTCCACCTTGAACTGGCCCGTGCGGTCGGTCCACATGCGCGTGTTGTTGGGCGACGGCTTGGAGCGGCCGCCGGCGTCCTTGGGTCGCTCAGGCGCGCTGCGTCCCTGCGGGATGGCGACATTCTTGGCGGCGCGGCTCACCTCGGTGGTGCTGGGTCGCTGCGTGAGTTTGGGAGGCGCAGGTGCGGGTTGTGCCTTGAGCGCCTCGCGTCGCGTGCGTTCCTTCTCCTCCCTCTCACGGCGTTCCTGCGCGCGCTGGGCGGCCTCGGCAGCTTCACGCTGGCGTTCGGCCTGTGCAACCGCTTCGGCCTCCTCCTCCTCCTGGCGAAGGCGTTCGTCCTCCTCCTGCTGCGCAGCAAGCGCGGCCGAAGAGGCGGGGTCTGCCGAGCCACCGGCCGGACCGTCTGTAGCCTCGACGTAGCTGGCGGGGACGACACCTTCGTGGCCGGCGTCGTTACGCACCTTCCACCAGTCGTCGTTCTCGCGCTCGAGGATGACGAGGTGCTCGTTTTCGGCGACGGTGAGCTCGTCGTCGCCCTGCGCCTCAAAGTCGTACATGGCGATGGCATGCTCTTCCGCCTCTTGCGGCGCTTGCTGCGCTTCCTGCTGCGACTGGAAAGAGACGGTCTTGCGGACGGGAGGCGGGAGCACGGCGCTTGCGGTGCGTGTGGGCGGTGGCAAGGACGCAGCGGGTGCGGGTGGAGCCGGAGGTGGTGGAGGGATGGCTGCTGCGGCAGCGATTGGGGGAGCGGCGGGAGCGGCTGGGGCGGATGTAGGGGCTACGGACGATGCGGTGAGCGCGTTGGCCTTGCTCGTCTCGATTTTGCGCACGATCTCGGCGGCGGCGTCCTTAGAGCCGCAGTGGAAGTCGAGCGTGGACTCGGCCATGCCGGCGTCGGGCGAGAGTTGGAGATGGAGCGTCTTGCCCTTCTCGAGCGAATGGCCCGCGACGTGGAGCACGCTGATCTTCTGGACGGGAGTCTTGTCGCTTTCGGAGGCAAAGAAGAGCGAGGCGTTGCCGATGCCGAGCGTGCCCTTCTTCTTCTTCTTCTTGCTGTCGAGCGCCGAGACGGGCCACATTTTGATCTCGTCGCCCTTGCCGAGTTGGGCGGTTTGTGGCATCTGCATGGACGGGATGGCGGTGACGTGGCCATCGTCGTCGTCGTCTTCATCTTCGTCGTCCTGATCGTCGGCGGCATCGTACTGGTCCTCGGTGGCTGGAGCTGCGCCGGTATCGACGGCTTCGGCCTCGTCGACATAGTTGGCGGGGACGTAGCCGAGGCGACCCTCGCCGCCGCTGAGCGGGTCGTTGCCCTGCTTCTTGACGAGAAGCCAGGTGCCGTCGGATTCGTAGACGCGGAGCAGCTCGTCTTCGGCCATGGAGAGCTCGTCTTCGGTCTGGGCATCGTAGTCGTAGAGCGCGCGGCTTAAGCGGATGGGTTCGGCCTCCTCGACGTAGTTGGCGGGGACGAGGCCGACGGTGCCCTCGTCCGGTCCATCCTGGATGGGCGTGCCGTCTTCATCGAGGCGACGGACCTTGGCCTTCCACCACTCGGGGTCGTCGGACTCGAGGATGTAGAGGTAGTCGTCCTCGGCGAGCGTGAGTTCGTCTTCGGCCTGGGCGACGTAGTCGTAGAGCGCCTTGCACAGCGCGACGTACGCCATGGCGGACTAGCCAACGAACGATGTGCAGCCGGACCGAATGGAGAGTGAGGCAGACAGTGCTGGTTTGAGCGACGTGCAAGCGCCGATGAAGAGCAGACTCGTGGTGGTCGTCTGGGTGATGAGGAATGGGAGGTGGGAGGAGAGGGTGTTGCGACTGGGAATCGAAAGAGGATCGGCTTGGATTGGAATCAAGGTGGGGAGGCAAGCGAGAACAGTGCGGTGCAGCCGTTGCCAAGGGTTGGCCGACTGACCGGCTTGCCTGCTTGTGGAGAAGGCGGCTGGCAAGTGTGTGCGATTCGATTCAAGATTGCTGAGGCGACCGTGCGAGGCGGCATCCAAAGCCGTGCAGTGCGACGTTGGATTTCAGTTGATTTCCGGCGCTTCACCTCACCCAGCTCACTCGACGGAGCTGGTGCTCCGATCTCGGCGGCTCCACGCTCTCTTGCTCGCACGCACGATGACACGCGCATCCACACAGCCGCTGCTGCTCGACAGCTCTCGATGCACAACGCCGACGTCCAAGCCAGCCTTTCAATCCCCACCATTCCCACTTGGATTGGACCCTTGATCTGCGCTCTGATCAGCGTGAACAGCATCTGAGCAGTCAATGCCCTCGAACGCAACTCTTTTGCTACTCTGCCACGGTAAGCCCGACTCAGGGGCTTTGTGGTGCTGTGCCTGATCGCCGCCGAGAAGGAATCGCGCCAGTCAGCCAATGTTAGACCGGGGTGAGAGCGAGAACGCGGCTTTTTTTTCGACAAAAATTCGAGCTGAAATCGGGGACCGATGGCGGGCGAAAAGCAACCGGAAGGGCGCAGCAGTTCGGATCCGTCGAATTCGAGGCTTTGGCAAGAGCCTCCGAGAGAGACAGGCGTCACTCCCGCCATCGCCGCCTACCGCTGCCACTTTGATACCGTCGCGCTTTGACATCCTACCACCTTCTTGTCACCCTCACACTTCGAGAACTATCGTCACAGTAAGCGTCACTCCTCAGCAACAGCACTGCATTCGATCTGCATTTCATCGACACATCTGGCGGGCCGATTTGCACATGGGAACATTCGACATTGGGCGTGTTGGGTGGAAGGGCTATTCGTACTGACCACGGCCATTCGTCTTTTGTGTCTAAAGATGCCCGTCGGATCGATCCCCGCTATCACCGGAAAGCTGCGCAAGCGACTTATCCTTGACCTCACCGTCGCGCTCGGCGGTGGCACCGCCCTCGGCTACGGATACTGGTATGTACACACGGCAACACTGCGGTCGCCCCTGCAGCCTTCTAAACCCTTGCTCTTGATGTGATGTACAGGTACGGCGTTCACGTGCCCTCGGTCGCCCGCCGCGATGCCTTCTACGCAAAGCTCCAGTCCGAGCGCTCCGAGTAAACACCACCGCACCAATGGACCCGACATCGCAAATGTCTAATTCCAGCCGTGATCTCGTTGCAATCGACTCAATCCCTCCCACACTGACGAGTGGTGTGCATGATTACACCCGCACTGCAAAACGAGCGAGAAACGGATGCGAGAAGGCGGTGTTTGCAATGGCTATGCGTGACAGAGATGCGGCTATACGTGACTGGGATACAAATACAGCGGAATGAGAGGGACAGAAAGTACAAAACGGACGCATGGACACAGAGCGTGACGATTGAGACCGGGGCAGTCAACACCTTGATGTGGTGGCAGGAACAGCGTCGATGCGGCAGGTGTGGGTATGTGCGTGCATGGCGGTGGTTCACGCCTTTTCCGCGGCGAGTTCGGCGGTGAGCTGCGCAATCCGTCTTCGTGTCTCGTCCTTCCTCTCGGCCTTGCGACGTTTCTTTGCCTCTTGCTCTGCGACCTCGCCATCTTCCCGATCGGCTGTGCGTGCCTTCTTCTTCTTATGCTGCGCTCTTGATTCCATCTTCTCTCGCATCTTGTCCTCTTCGTCCTTGTCGGGGTTGATAGTGACCACGTCCGACCCTTGCACTTTGCCCCCTTTAGCCAGTGCTGCGTTGAACTCCCTCGCACATACAGGGCAGTTGTGCGACTCTCCGCGCGCATCAGTCAGGGTAGCCTGTAGGCCCGATGCACATACGACGCAGCCGCACGGGGCGATGTAGACGAAGCGATGCATGCCGTCCATCTGTCTCGCCGAGAGCGGACACATGAATGGATACACCGAGTGCTGCTCGTTCTGCCCCGCCGATGCAGGGCGGTAGAGCGTATTCGGCGTGAGAGCAAGGTCGGTGGTATCGCGCAGCCCGCGGATGTGTGGAATGGCATCGGTAGAGTCGGACGACTGATGGCGCTGAAGAAGGTGCTGGATCACAGCATCTTTGTTGTACAGCCTTCCTAGGGCGTCGGACACTACAGGCGCTTGGAGGGGTTCGCGCGAGAGACGACAGACGGTCCAGAGCGATTGTCGCAGCAGCGAAGCATCCACCTTTTGCACCGACGCTTTGGTACGCACCATCTCGTCGCGCTTCGATATGGAGCCTCCATCATTGCCCTGAACAAACACAAGCAAATGACGTCAGTATAAAGCCAGCAATGCTGCGCGAGACAAGTGGACTTACCATCTTGATCGTCGTTGCACGGTTGGAAGAGATGCGGATATGGTGGTGAAGCAAAGGCAAGGCGGGGGGAGATACACGTGACTTTGAGTGGAGATTTTCGAGGCAGCTGCGCGGCAGTCGGATTTGGAGCGCGGTTGGGCCGAGTGGAGAAGAAGCGCATTTTGGAAAGGCGCGTCGTCGTCGTCGTTGGGCTTTCTTCCACCACCACCACGCTGTTCCCCCACCCTGGCGGTCACCACGTTCTTTTACTCGCGCGCACACTCGGGAACGCCTAGCACTCGCGACTTCATACAGTCTTGGGGTTGTTGCGATTGTCGCTTGGATGCGCCCTGTGCGCGGCGTTGGGTTGACCTGTAAACGGAGGGTGTAGGAAGCGCACGACCCCGCTCGTATCTCGGATTCGGTTTCCTAAACCGTAGCATCACCCAACACACTCTCTCCAATCGTCGCATCCGCACGAAGATAGGCTTGGGACGATGTTCTTCCTCAAATACCTCACGCACAAGACGGAGTTGCATCCGTCGTACTTCGGCCCGTCCATGGTGGAGTTTCTGAACCAAAAGCTTCGCGACGACGTCGAAGGAACATGCACGGGCAAATACGGATACATCATCAAGGTGGTCGGAATGATCGACGTTGGACAGGGCAAAGTCATTCCCGGCTCTGGATTGGCAGAGTTCAATAGCACCTACCAAGCAGTCGTGCTGAAACCGTTCAAGGGCGAAGTCATGGATGCCAAGATTACGAATGTCAACAAGATGGGCTTCTTCGCAGAGGTCGGTCCGCTGAATATCTTTGTCAGCTCCCATCTGATACCCATCGAGTACAAGTTCCAGCCAGAAGCAAACCCGCCCGAGTTTGTAAGCGCCGCAGATCGACTCGTCAAGGGCAGGAAAGTCAGGATCAAAATCGTGGGAACGAGAGTGGATGCAAACGAAATCTTCGCCATCGGCACCATGAAGGAAGACTACCTCGGTCCGTTCGATTAGCTTCCCACCCTCGAATTCACCTTCTTCCCACCCACAACGATGTCAATAGCAATCCTTGATCGCAAGCACAGTCATGCACAAAAAGCGTGGCTTACAGCGTGCACATTATGACCGCGTATCCGTACCAACTAGCTCGACTAGAACCCACCGACTGCGTTGCACCTCGGCGACGGGGGGAAGGCAGAACGAGATCCAGCCCGTCTCGCCCGTGCTGGGCGTAAAGGAGTGTTCGGTGTGGTCCTTGCCGATGCTGCGTTTGGAGCGCTTCTTGCGGCGAACCACGCGCGCGCCCATATCCAGCGACGAATCGCTCTCTCCCTCGTCGTCCTCCTCTCCCTCGGACGAGTCCGTCATCGCCACATCTTCATTCTCGCTTTGGCGGTGAGATAGTGCGGCCTTGTTGCCGGGCAGTTCTTTCGCACCGTACACCGAGCTGAGCGGCACTTTGGATCGCCACGTCAGCGGCGCCTGCGCAAAGCCGGCGCACGTCATGGTCGCCCATCCGATTGAGGTCAGCTCCGAAACGAGCGCATCGAGCTCGCGGGTAATGTACGCGATGAGCAGCGGGCTCAGCAGCAGTGGCTTGTCGCGCGTGCCGGCGAGGGTGAGTTTAAGCGTGCGGCCGGGCTGGCTGGATCGCGGCGCAGCATAGACGCACGTAGAGTCGGGCTTGGCGTAGGTGCGCACCGCATTCGCGCCGAGCGACGCGAGCCCCGCCCACTCGACTGCTTCTTGCAGATCGTCTTGGAAGTGCTGCCATTCTGACGGAGAGGCTGTGCTCCAAGGCTGCTGTGAGAGAGCGTGCTGCGTGGGATCGTCGAGCCTGGGCACCCAAATGGACTCGGTCACGACGGGCATCGGAGCGTGGATCCGCAACTCTTGCACCTGGCCCGGGTGCACAAGATGGTCGGGAAAGCGGAGTTCGTTAGCCGCCGATGAGTCGGACGAGTCTGCCTGCAAGATCTCGTCCGCAGCATGGACGGGCGGCGACCAGACGAAGAGCATGTCCCAGGTGGCGTGGTCGCTCGTCACAGTCTCGCCACTGCCGTTCGCCGGCTGGAAGCTGGACGATGCGTGTGTCTGAGCCATTGTATGCTCTTGAGCGAGCTTGCGCGTGCGCGCGAGGTCCCAGGCACGCAGCCGATCGAGTGCGTGCTGGTATCCCTTCTTGCCCGGTACGAACGATGGGGATAGCAGCGGCAGCTCGACGATGAAGCGCGAGTCGGGCCCGCTGGTTCGGTCTGCTGCTCGGCCGGACGAGAGGCGCGAAAAGTGACTTGCTCTGCCCGTGAGGCCGAGGGTCTGATAGGTGTCCTTGCACAGCGAGAGCACGAGCGTTCCCTGGCCATCGAGGCATACGGTGTCGTCTGGCGGCGAGTCGAGCCCAGCGGGACCCGATGGTGCGGTGAGTGCGATGAGCGAGCCAGTCTTGAGGTAGGCGGTGACAAAGATGGGATCGAGAAGCATGCTGACAGGTATGTGTGCGCGATAGGATCGATATCTCGACGCATGGTGGTGAACTCGGTCGACAAAGGCCTGGATGCGCGGCGGGAGCGAGGAGGTCTGGTCCGTGGGTGGGAACTGCGAGTCGAGGAGGGGCAGGATGATCTCGAGGCTGCAATTGAAAGGATGCGCATCAACGAGCGCTTCGAGACGGCGGCTGCGCTTCGACAATGGGCTGCTGGGTTGATCGGAGGATGGCGGGATGAGGTTGACGATCCAGCGTGCTGCGCCGAGCTTGCGCGCCCTGTCGGAGCGTGCCGAGCTGCGCTTGCGCTTATGAGTGCTCTTGGGAGCTAGCATGACTGTTGCGGTCCAGCTCCGAGCAGAGCTGAGTCGGGTCGCAATCGGATGTTGCGATGCGATGCGATTCGATGTGATGTGATGCCAGACGATCAAGAAAGCAAAAAGAGTGTGTCGAAGCTGAATTTTGGCTTTTGCCTTTCTTCCCGAGCGTCTCTCCGCTCCACTCTCAGGGTCCAGCTTTCCGCACTTACCAAAGTCACAGCGCAGAGTGTGGAGCAAGGCGACTCAGTTTATAATAACGCGTCGCGGAAGCAGCCAAGCGCGCTTCCCACGCACGAACCTCGAGTCAAAGGAAAGGGTCCCCTTTGTGATCACCTGCCAACACCCTCATCACCTTTTCCTCGAGCCTTCCCGCTTCATCAACGCTGCGCCGCACTCGAACCCACAATGTGCGGAAGCCCACACGCACACACGTACACGCTTCCGCACCTGCTTCCATCGCCGTCTTGAAAGCTCGTGCGCTCGCTACGCCCCACTTGCTTCTCGTCCACGCCATTCGCCTCTTGCCTCGTCAATCATCCCGCTTCCGCCTGTGGTTCAAAGCATCACCATGGGTTGCAGCATCTGTCTCGACGACTTTGATCAAGCCGACGGCAATGAGCGTCGCGCCACCGCCCTCGCCTGCGGTCACATCTTCCACTACGACTGCCTCACCACTTGGTTCTACGGTCCCAACCGCGCTCCCGGCTACATCTCGCCCAAACGATGCCCGCTCTGCTCCATCTCAGCCGATCCTCGCAAGATGGTCAAGCTCTATCCCTCCGACGGCGACGAGCTCACAACCTACCTCTCCGGACAGCACCTCCACGAGGTGATCCCGCTCGGCAGCCTCGGCCAGCACGTCCCCGACAACGCCGACCTCTCCCGAAACCACAAGGAACTGCTCGGCAACCTCCTCGACTTCACCCAAGCCATACAGCAATTCGCCATGGCCGCTCACTCCTTCCGCCACGAACTCACCCTCAAAGCAGGCGTCAAGGTGCGCAGGCTCATCCAAGTCCTCACCACCGACTCCAACGACCTCTCCCTCCGCGAGTTCCTCCGCGCCATCGATGCGCTCGAATCGGCCACAGCAGCCACGCACAAGATCAAGTCCGACTTTGAGCTCAAGTCCAAGCAAGCCGCCGACGTCTCCAAGCATCTCACCCGAACACAACACACTCTCGACGAGCACGAGAGGCTGCTCGACGAGCACGCCGAAACCCTCAAGGCCAGGCAGGCTCAGGTGGAGACCCAATCGCATCACGTCAACACCTTGATGCAGCAAGTCGACGGATCTGCCAAGCACAACCAGGAGCGCGCCAAAGAGCTCGAGCTGCGCGAGAGGCAGCTGCGTACGCGCGAGCGCGAGATGTTCGAAAAGGTGCGCAGGGAGCGCATCGAGAACAAGGAGATGGTCGGCCGCATGCACGCCACCACCACCGCACAGATCAGCCTGATGCACACGCAGGTCAACGACGCACGCGCAAAGTGCCAAGAAGCCGAGCGTCAGCGCGACCTCGCCCATACCAAGAGCTGCGAGCTCGCCGCACAGCTCACGCAGCTCAAGCAGCGTTTTAGCTCGCACAGACGCTCCTCCCCCGGCGACGAAGCATCGCGCCCGTCCCACAAAGCCTCGCACGATGCACGCCGCATCCGGGCCCTCGAGGCGCGCCTCGCCTCGCAGACCGCGCAGCTCGAAGCGGCGGGCATTGCGACGCCCGAGCACCGGCTGAATCGCGGGCGTTCCGCACGCAATGCCATCGAGTTAAGCTCCAGCAGTCCGCCGCCGGACGCCGACGACACGCCCACCACGCCGCGCGACAATGCGCCTTCGCCCAGCCGCACACGCAAGGGCAAGCAGCGCGCGCGCTTTTCACTCTCCGTCGAGCCGCTCAACCTCGACGACGAGACGGACGAGACCTTGTTTCCCATGCCTGGCTTTGGCGCGATGCGCACCACCCGGCCGCCCCGCCCGCCGCTCGCCGCCAACCCACCCACGGCCAACACTGCGCAGGATGACGAGGATGCGGCCAACACTGCGCAAGACGACGAGGATGATGACGGCGGCGACAATTTCGCCGGCTCCTCTCGCCCACTCAAGACGCGCATCAGTCCCGCTGCGGGCTCGAGCCGTGCCATTGGCCTTGCTGGCCGTCTCGCGCGCCGACGTGACGCTGCTGCCCCCGGCGAGTTCGACTGGCTCACCAAGAGCGCCGCGCTCAAACTTGGCCCCAAGCACCGGCCGAAGCACTAGCCCGCCGATCCCACAGGAACGAGTTCGAGCATCCGTACAGCGGCCATCGCGCTTCGACCTGGCACAGCACGGACTATGGATCCTGGCGTGGACTGTCAACAGCGCCGCGCTCCGGCACCGGCCTAAGCATTGGGCCCGCAACACCGTCGCCACCATTCACGCATTTATTACCTCCGCTTTCGCCCGCAACGTCGACAATTTAAGCTTGCATACATTCGTGCCTCTGTGTGTGGCTTACAACGGTTTGAGAGGGATATCCTGCCGCGCGTCCCAGACCATTTGGGCGTGTTCCTCATGGCCTGCACCTACGAGATTGTATCCGACGCTTCTGTTGAGTTCCCTCTTGATGGCGGCGTGTTCGGTGAGGACGACGGTAGCGGCTGCATGTGCGAGCATTACGGCGTACCAGGTTAAGCTTGTAGGGATGCTTTCGGTGTAGAGGGAGGTGATGACGAGGTTGACGAGGTGAAATGTTGCGGTGTGGTCTAGGATGTGAGTGGGGCGACGGACTAGGTAGACTAGGAGGATTGTGTCGAGGGGTATTGATGCGATCCAGGTGAGCATGAGTGTCCAGCTACGGGCCGAGTCCTTGGTGTGAGACCATTCCCAATGCTCCACCCGCTCCTCCACACTACCCCCCTCCCCACTCGGCTCTACAACAGTCGAACCTTTGACCCTGATGATGTTGTCATGATCAAGCATGTTGGTTGAGTTGATCCAGACGTTGTCCAGATTCCACTGGGCAAATACTGCTTGGTCCATAACCGGATCATCGACTAAAGTTTCGTTCCAATCCCACGATTCTCGTTTGGGAGGATTCCAGTCGTAAGTAGGGTAGGCTGCAAGTTGTCGCCAATCAAACAGCATCCCTACCTGCGTTGGGCCACCCTCGAACATCAACGATGCCGTATCTGCAAATACCGCTAACAACGCCGGTATAACTGCAGCAAGGACGAGGTAGTGGATCGATTGTAGCGCGGTGATTTGCGTCAGGATCCGCAAGGCGTCCCATCCCTGAAGCGGCATACTGAACGCCTCCTTCATCGTGCCAAACCCCCCTCACTTCAAGCAGGTGCGCTTGAGGTCGCGAGGCGAAGGATTGAGTGGAGGTGAGGATGCTGCACGGTCAGGCAGTGCGCAGATTGGATTCTCCAAAGGTTCGTTGTGGACTGGTGTGGTGTCGTGCGGTGTGGATCGAGTTGAACCCGCGATCCGGAGGGCCAAGTCTAAGCCGCAAAAGGTGCGATCAGGAAGGCGCAACCAAGGTATCAGAGATGAGTCCAGCTGGCGTGCGAATGCTGCTCCGACCAGATAGCGACAATGAGGCAGTGCGGGTGGAAGTTTTCGCTATGCAAGCCGTCGATGCCTCCTGGTGTGCGACCATGCAGAGAGTGAGTCGGATCCCCAACGTCACGCTGGTGAAGCAACTTGCAAACTGTCGTTACTGCGCCCGCTTGGCCTCGCCACCTTGCCTCTCTTGGCGACTTTGCACAAAGGCCCAAAAAACGCTCTTGGTACACAACCTTACCCGAGCGAGCGCCCTTCAAGTCGCAGCCCCAAACGTCGGTGTAAAGAGTGCAATGATGATGGTCGCAATCCAACCCCCCCGCCCGGCTCGCGCGTGTTGGAACCGCCAAAAGAGGCTCTCCACTTCCGAATTCCGAATCATCCCCCCCACACACACACCTGCAACAAACAAATACACACAAACTCTCGACTGGTTGTACAAAAGGGCAATGCATTCGCACTAGCTACTCATCAAGTCCATCTGCCGAAGGGGAAGGGGCCGAAGGAGCCGATGGAGCCGTGGGTGTCAACTGCATCTGCCGCCGGGTTCCAGGCTGGGAGGCGCGTCTTTGCTGCTCGTACGCAGGCAGACCCCTCGCATCTTCCTCCACACCCTCCACCGCTCCTTCTTCAAGCGCAGGCGCCGAAGCCCCATTTGCGCTGCTCTGCCGCCTCTCATAGCGCGGTACGTCGGGACGCGACGCAACGAGCTGTGCCAGCTGCTCCTCCTCGGCCTCTTTTTGCTTTTCGCTCTTGCGCGACGACATCCCACCTCCACTATCCGAACCGGCTCCAATGCGTGCCATCGGCGGTGACGACGGCAACTGCGCCCCGGGAGGGGCAGTGGATCGGTACGGCTGGTCGAATGGCGAAAATGCCGTTTGGACCGCAGCCGGCGGAGCGGGCAGCAGGCTCGACGTAGCAAGTGGTGTCTGCTTCGCCTTGCCCTTGCCACCACCCATTGCATCCTGCGCTTCGTCGGGCGGCAACTCGAAGCCTTCCGCATCTGCCTCGAGCACGGGTGCGGTCGGCGGCAGAATCACAGCCCCACTCGAAGAGCCACCCGCAAAGCCATACGCAGGAGCCGTGGCCTCCGAAGTGGCCGGCGCCGACGGCATGCTCGCCGCAGCCGAAAGCGCGCCCAGGAGCGCCTTGTCGTCGGTGGCAATGTGCGCTGCTGTGGGCCCTGCCTCTGCCTCTTGCTCCCTCGCTGCACCGGACGACTCTGCAAGCACGGCGGTAAACACTTCGGGCGGCACGCTCGTGTCGCGCTCGGCCGGGGGCGGAATGCCGTGCTTGGCATCTCCGCGAGCAAGTGCCGCAGCCAAAGCACCACCATCGTACGACGACGACGGCAGCGCTGCAGAGCCGGACGAAATGTAGGCGGGAGGCATGTGGCGAAGATCATCGTCGTGCGTCTCGGCGGCATCGGCGGCTTGGAAGTCGGTGTCATCCAAGACAGCGCGGCGGGGGGAGCGCGCGCTCGCACCCGACGTGGGTGAGGTGGCAGTGTCGCCGTCAAGCTGGGCGCTGTCGGGATGTGGGGGTGGTGGCGAACGAGGACGGTTGGTGCGCGAGTCCGAGGCGTGACTGTCGTCGGCGCTGTTGGCATCGCGTGCCGACGTTGCCGTGTGGCTCGAGGCGGCATTGGCATCTGTATTGTCGTAGACGACCTCGACGGTCTGCTGTGCCGTGGGATCGCCCAGCGCAACGCGTCGTGCCGAGCGGCCGGAGCGGATGGAGGCTGCATCGTTGCTGCTGCGCACCGTGTCGTTGCTGTCGCGCGTGCGTGTCCAGCGCGAGACGAGGAAGCGCTTGCGTCGAAGTGCGCTGGACGAGCCTGTGGACGGGTCGGTGGAATCCGGATCCACCGAGTCCTTTTCGGAGCGCTTCCTTCCGAGACGCAGACGTCGTTTCAATCTGCTTCCTCCTCCTCCGGCGGGCTTCTCTGTGGGATCGGAGAAGCGACCCATGGTCATACGCTCCTCGATGCGTGCGAGCGCTTCTTCGTCGTCGAGCCCGGCGAGTTCGTCGTCGAACTTGCGTTCGCGGAGGAAGACGGCGGCGCCGATGAAGAGGACGATGAAGATGGCCAAGAAGATGGAGGTGATGATGATGGCCTTCTGCTGGAACCAAACGCTGCGCTCTGGCCTGCTCCAAGACGAGGCGATGCTGGAGGGGTAGCTGGAAGGGAGCGAGTAGCGATGTGCTGACTGAGTGGCCGAGGTGGCTGCGTTGTATTCGTGCGGGCTGAGGGTGGTGGACACGTCGCGTTCGCCGAAAAGTGCGGACTCGTCGTCGAATTGTCGCGGATACTGCCGATGCAAGGGGGCAGACGGATGGGGTTCTGGCGGTAGCCGATCGTCGACGTCGTCAAAGGAGTGTGGTGGGTGTGAAAACGATGCGGCGGGTAGAGTGTGGTCCGATGCAGGCCGTGGTTGGGAATTGAAGTCGAATAAGGAGTCAGGTGCAGTGGCTCTGGCGTCAAAGGTGTGCTGGTTGGCTGACATGGCGGCGGCGCGAGAGCGAGTGTCGAGACGCGAGACGGACTGTGCTGCAGCGGGCGCCATCATGGCGGGGGAAAAGACGAGGATGGAGGATACGAGGATGGCGGCGTGTGTTGCAAAGGCGGCGACGCGCGTGCACCGACGACGACGAGTGCGCGATGAAGCCGAGGCAAACAAGGCGGGGGAGTGGCGCGAGTTGCGCTGTGGTGTTGTTCGGGGTGGCATTGAATCGCGATGAGGAGCATTGGATGTATGCGCCGAGCCGAGGGCGCGTAGGCGGGGAGAGCGTGGCCGGAGGGTGGACCGACGCATTGTGAGGGTTGGCGGCATGCGAGCCTGTGGAAGGGGGCTGGTGTGGATGCGAGGTCAGACGAGCATTCGTGCGGATTGGAGACGGATGCAAGGATGCGTTGGGTGGGGGGTGTCGGTTGGCTATGAGGCAGCGCAAGGGAAGAATGACGAGGAGGGTGATGGCGCGAAAGCAAAGTGAGAAGGCTATTTGTATGCTGGAAGTTGTTGGTTTTGGTGCTGGGATGTGTGTGGTGGGATGTTGGAGCGGGATTGTGGTTGGCTGAAGCTCGAGGCAAGCGAAAGAGGGAGAGATTGCCGATGCGAGGGAGCGGTGAATATGCGGCGACTTTCGAAGTGCGGGCGATGAAGGTCGAGCCGCGATGAAAGACGGGTGGCCAGCGGTGGAAGCGTGGGAGAAAGGCGAGAGGGGTTGATGAAGTGTGTGCGAGCCGGGAGTCGTGCGGTTGAGGCGAGGCCGAAAAGAGGATGCCAAGCAGCCGGCTTTGGAAAGAAGACGAGAAGGGGTCGAGGTTATATGTATACAGGTTGTTGCCGAGTTGGGCGAAGCGAAGGATGTATGGAAGCTGCGAGATGAACCGGACGAATGCAATCGGTACGACCACGAATCGAGCGAGCGCGACCCAAGACGAAACGAGAGGGTGGTAGTAGAGCAAGAGAAGTGCCTGGCGTGGTTTGCAGGTATGGCCAGGGTGTCGACGAGCGAGGGTGGAGGAGAGAGAGGATGAAGGTAGGAGTGAGACGAGGAGGAGGAGGAGGAGCCGAGGGGCGCGACGCCAAACGGAGCTTTGCAGGCCAGCTTTGCGGAGCGGAGGAGCGGAGGAGCCCAGTCGCCGAGTCCAGGCGGCGTGCAGCGGCGGGCAGCGGTGGCACTACTTTCACCACACACACAGGCAGCCCGTCTCGCCCAACTCGAATTGAACGCGGCACAAATCCACACACACTCACCGCCACTCTCCTCAGCGCCAACGCGGCGAACGGCCAAACGGCAAAATTGGGAATTCCGTAGCTCAGCAGTTGAGCAGTAGAGCAGCACCCACACCGCCCAACTGCCTGCCGATTCGACTCGTTTTTCTTTAGGGCCGAGGCTCACTCACCCACTCTCTCCCCTCGTGTTGGGGAAATTTGCAAGCTGCATGGCGTGGTGCCGTGGTGGTGCCGTGGTGGTGCCGTGTGCGTCGCGAATCCATGTCCAAGGTGCAGTTGAAGCTTGGATTCGGCGCGCACTCGAGCTCGCTCTCTCTCCTCGACGACGCTGCCGAACCTGCGGCGACCGCCCTTCCGAAACGCACCGTTGGCTGTCCGCTCGCTCCGACCCAGCCTTCTTGTCCTCGCACGCACTCCCGGCACCGCACAGCCGGTGCCTCCATCTTCCCGCCGGCAACGATGCAGCATCCACGAGATTCCCGAGGGCAGCCTCCTCTTCTACACCAACCTCCTTTGCCCAAAAACATCTGCGGCCACAGAACCATGAAAGCACCGCATCCCGTCCGATCTGCAAAGTTAAGCATGGCATCGCCTCGTCAGTACTGCGGTGGGGGCTGAGTTTCACAGTGTTAGATCGACAAGGCGGACCCCTTTTTGGCGCGCGCGTGGGCACGGATCGGACAGCCAACTTAGACCCTGATGCAGGCTTACATGCAACATCCCCTCCGCCCCCACCACCACCACCACCACCACCACCATCACCATCATCCCAGCGAAACAAGCGCACATGAAGGTCGCCATCATCGGGGCTGGGCCTAGCGCCCTCGTCACCGCAAAAACCCTCCTCGAAGCCAGCGATGCGCATCCGGACTTCCATCCCGTCATCACCATCTTTGAGGCAGAGGACGACATCGGCGGCACCTTCCGCTACCGCTCCTACTCCAACGCCACCCTCGTCTCGTCCAAACAGCTTACCTCCTTCTCCGACTTTCGCCTGCCGCTCGATCACAAGGACCACCTCACGCTCGCCGAGTACGTCCGCTATCTCGACGACTACACCACCCACTTTAAGCTTCGCTCACGATGCCACTTCCGCATGAACACCAAGGTCATCAAGTCGGTGCGTGTCGATGGCGGTCATCTGGTGCGCTACCGCTCGCTCGATGCTCCGGCAGACGGAGGCGCAGACCGCTCCGAGGTGTTTTCGCATCTGTGCGTGTGCTCTGGTCTCCACGTCACCCCTGCGCTCCCCAACATCCCCGGTCTGCCACCCACCATCCAGGGCGATCAGGTGGTTACCAACCCCATGGGCTCGGACGAGACCGTCGCATCGCGCATCCCCGAGCCCATAAAGCACGCCACCGCCGCCTCCGACATCATCACGCTCCACTCGTCCCAGTTCAAGGACCGCTCGCTCTACCGCGGCAAGCGCGTCATGGTGCTCGGCACCGGCGAGACCGGCATGGACATGGCGTACGAAGCGGTCAAGGCCGGCGCCAAGGAAGTCGTCCTCTGCACCCGCTCCGGTTTTCTGCTTTTCCCCGCCGTGCTCGCCGACTTTGTCGTGCTCGGCAACGTCTTTGACGGCAACCTGCCCATCGACGGCCTCATCACCAACCTCTTCGAGACCGCCTACGTGCATCCCTGGGTGGCAGCATCGCATCTGCGCTGGTTCATTTCCGACTTTGTCATCAAGCGCCTGCTCTGGGTGCTCACAGGTACGCAGGCTGGATGCAACCAGTGGGTGGGCGAGCTTGAGCCACACCGGCTGGGCCGCGCGTACACGTTTCTGAATAAGAGCTCCAAGGCGATGCCCTACATCAACCGCGGGTGGAAACGGCGCTCGCCCCTGCTCGAGCGGGTTACGCGCTACCTCGACCCGCCCACTGTCAAGCCCGACGAGGTGTCGGTCGACCTAGCCCCTTTTCCCGCGCGAGTCAACGAAGATGGGACGGTAGAGTTCGTGCGCAACGGTCGCAAGGAGGAGCTGCGCATGCGCAACCGCACCGTCAAACCCGACATCGTCGTCTACGCCACCGGATACACGCAGAACTTTGACTTTCTCTCCAAAGAGTACCCCGTCCCCGCGACCGTTCGGTGTCGGGATGTATTCGATGCCGACGATCCGAGTGTGGCGTTTATCGGGTTTGTGCGGCCTGGGGTGGGAGCGATTCCGCCGATTGCTGAGATGCAGGCGCAGCTCTGGACGCTCGTCCTGCGGGGTCAGATCCCACCACCCCTTTCGACACCGCATTATTACTTGTTGGTCAAGGAGAATGCCAGGATCAAGTACGGCGTCGACTACTCGTCGTACGTCTCCACCCTTGCTCGCGATATGGGCACCGCTCCACCGCTGGCACAGCTGTGGTGGACGTACGGTCTCAAGGTCACGCTGATCTACTGCTTTGGTGCGGCGTTCCCCACGTTCTACCGCCTTCTTGGTCCCTACCAACATCCGGATGCGAAGCGGATTGTGGAGACCGAGATCTACGATACGATCAAGCGTCGCGGCGTGGTGGGCAACCTCATGATGGGTCTGATCCCCATGCTGTTTTACGCCTGGATCAACCTCGTTGCACTCGTGGTCGAGACCGGCTGGAAGCTTGTTTCCGCCCTTACGCCCGGTCTCTCGCGCAGGGGGGAGAAGTGGACCGGGCGTCGGTTCCAGAGTGACTTTCGCCAGGATACAACCCCGCCAGCCGTGGCGACGAGGGGCAAGAATGCGGGGAACAAGAGGGGAAGGATGCTGCGATTGTTCGCGCTGTTTGCAGGCATGCTGGCAGTGGTGCAGGGGGTGGAGGGGAACACCGAGATTCGCAACCTTGGACCTGTGCGATGCCGTGCCGACGAGTACGGCCACCTTGCCGCCAAGGCAGCCGACCAGCTCTCGGCCTCGTGGTAAGTCGTCCCACCCTCTAGCATGTACGATAAAGCACTGTTTCAATAATTCTTTGGACTGACGTTGTTGTGGGGTTAGGCCGGTACTGCACGCACGGGCACAACCGTCTCTATTCGGGCTCGATCTGGGGACTTTGGGGACGGCATCTTCCGCGGGGGCATGGGTGGTCCTGGACCTTTCTTCGGGTGGGCAGTTTACGCTTCCGGCTCCACGCGAGGCACGGTTGTACGCCGAGTTAGGACCGCGCGGTCGGTATGTGCGCGAGACGATCGACAGCGTCGCATGGTGGTTCACACGACGGTTTACGGTGCGTGCGGTGGTGGCAGCCCATTTGGCGGTGGATTTGGAGCTGCATGTGATGGGCCCAGAAGAGGCACTGCAGTTGGGTGGGGTCGAGTGGAAGGCCGAGCTGGTTGAAACTGCTCCCGTCCCCACCGACGGCGTGACACAACAAGCAAAGGCAAATGCAGGGAAGGAGGAGGAGGGGGAGGGGGAGAGGGTGACGTTTAAGGATGTGCACACGCAGGTGGCGGGCGAAATTTTGGCCGCCGATACCATTGCCATGACACACGATGCTCCGCCAATGTTTCCCTGCACCAAGCTGTTTGTGCACATTGTACCCCACCCTGCAGGCGTGGCTATGCCCCCATCTCGGGATTACAACTCAACATTGCTGCGAGTGGCAGAGGCCGTGTTTGGGGGTTTGCAGTCCACCTCGAACGGTGTAGACACGGCACCGATCCACCTCACGTTCGAACGGCTCTACCTCGGCTTCATCCCCGCCACCGCGCTCCAACTCTTCCTACCCCTGCTGATCATGCTGCCACTGGGACGCTTCTTGCTCATTCCCACCCTGCACACCCTCCTCCCCACACCCACCGCACCCTCCAAAACCAGCTAAAAACATCAAATTGCAATGCTACATCCTCTCCAGCTCTCTAACCCTTGAGGGCCTTTTTGGCGTTCTTGAAGCTCAGATGCGCCAGTGCATTGTACAGATGGAACAACCTTGCGCAATCCTTATCCTCCTCGAACGGATACTTTGCCCCAATCGCAACCGCCGCTGCGTAGCCGGAAACGATAGCCACCTCTTGCATGTTGACGAGCGTCCATCCTCCGCAGTAATTCGTGTGGTTGGCGCCGTTGATCAGCCAAAGCCAGGGGACGACATAGGCATAGTGCGTCCAGCGATGCGATTGCTGCTTCCACCATTTCTCGAGAATCACCTTGTCCTTGCCGATTTCGTTGCGCGTCCATTTATCCTCGAGCTCTTTGTTCAAAAAGATCGTCTGGAATACGTGGTCTCGCACGGGCGGATCCTTGAGATCCTCGGGGTTGGTGGAGGGTAGTTGCGACAGCTGCTTTTCTTGCGAATCGCCTTGTCGACCGTTGGGGCCTTGACGCTCACGAGGCGGTGCAGAGTCAGGAGACCTCGCGCCCCGATCCCGTGGCCCCGTGGGTCCAGACCCGCTGAATTGCGGCTGATAATTCGTCAAGTCGAACGACATCTCGATGAGCGCCGGATCGTCGTCGTACATCTTGATCAGATACAGCGGCTTCCAATTCTCCTCGGCAAACTTGAACGACTTTTTGGTCTCTTCGTCGTCGCGCTGCTTGGCGTTATACTTGGCGTCGTACGTCATCTGGTAGTGCTTGTCCATGTAGTCGTAGTCGTTGTGCGTAGTGGTAATGTCCCAGCGATACACAATCGAGCCGAGGATCTTGCGCTCCTTCCACGTAGCTGCCTTGCCCAGGATCTTGAGCGACGTATCCGCATCACACGCCAGGATCAGCTCGTCAAACACCTCCACCCGCTCCTCGTCATCGCCCGTCGCCAGTGGCTTGCCGTCCTTATCCACGCGACGCGAAGTTACCAGGATGTTACCCCCTCGGCGGCGGGCTTCCTTGGTATTGCGCTCGATGTGCGTCACTTCGCGACTGGCCTCGACACGCACATTGCCGTTCTTGGTGACTTCGTCGTGCCACGCGGCGTAGACACGTGCGAGTTCGGGGAACGCCATCATCGTAGGAACGCTCGCGAGCAGGCTATCCTCTGAAAACTCGAACAACCTCATGCTCGGATCGAGGAAAACACGCTCGAGGATCGCCGATGAGATGTGCTTGGTATCGTTACCCGTCCCAAAGAACAGCGCGACGAGCGGGTACACCATGCGCTCGCCAAACTCGTCCGAGAACCCAAACATCTTGAGCATGCGATGCACGGGGATCACGGCGAAGAGAACCTCGAACCGCTTGATCGTCTTGAGCGTCGTGCCGAACTTCTTGATGTCCGCAGCGTACTTTTCGACGAGCTCCGAGGGAAACACGTTGCTCCAGAAGGTATCCTTGCCCTTGCCGAACGAGATCTGCATGCCCACTTCCTGCGCCTTGAAGCCGAGCACGTGCTCGAAGACTTTGAACGTGTTGTAGAAGACGGGCGAGGCACCCTGCACGCCGTCGTTGATGTATTGCGAGCGGTACTTGGCTGGGTCGGGCAGCTGGTAGGAGGTGGCCGAGCCGCCCAGCGAGCACTGCTTGTCGTACAGCGTCACCTCGAACTCGTCGGGCGAGAGCGAAAAGGCGTGGCATGCCGACATGCCCGATGCACCAGCGCCGACGACAATGACGCGCTTCTTGGGCTTGGTGTGCGCCCCGCCATTGGCTTGACCGTTGGCCGCCGAGGACGACGACATGTTGAGAAAGTGTCAGTGGAGGATAGATCCAAGCTGTGCCGAGTCCTTTGGCTGAATGCGCAAAAGGGTCGATGCGATGATGGTGGAGAGGAGGAGAACGGTGGCCCCTATCGAATGCGTTAAGTCTCTTTGCGGTAAGGCGGGAGGAATGGTGGCTTGCGGAGGAGCGTTAGTCATGCCCGAACTTGGCTGGATGCCAACACCAACCCTGCAGCTTGGCACCGATGTTCGAGGACCCTGACGAGGATGGAACGGCTCGGCTTAGCAAAGCGCGCTGCAAGGACGTCATTTTCCGATGCGGCGGCAATCACGAGAAAGACGCGGCTGACAGCTGCACACCTGCATGACGCCCATCTTTCGCCTCCACTCAGAATCGAGCCGATTTGGCGTAATCGGGGCGGGTACATCGGCGATGGACTTTGCTGCTCGAGAAGGACACGCCGCATCGCAGCGTTCTTCTGGAAGCGACGTGTTGAACCCTGCGCCAAAAGCGAGAACGAAGGCAAGCCCCGCTGCGCAGAGACCAACACCGCAAGCTCTTTCGGCATGCTTCCGAAACTCTTGTCCTCGCCGCTGCGCTGAGCTTGATCCTGTCTTCCTGTCGTCACACGCATCACCCGGTCACGCCAAACCTCGGAGCTTAGGTGGAGTTGTGATTCGCTGGCTCGAGCTTGAGAGCAGCAGCGCTAGGCTCGAGGGCATCTCTGCCGACCCTTCATTTGGCTCATCACGTCGCATCTCGCTCGATCGAAACGTCGCCTCCCGCCCGGCTTCGCTCTGAGATCCCTGGCTCAGCCACGTCGCTGCTATACTATATAATCCGCCTCACAATCTCCTCCTTCGGCGCTTTGCATCTTCTCCATCAATATCGCCCCTCGCACTCCATCATCTTCTCCAAACTCGCTCATCGCGGTCCATCAGATACGCCAAGCTCGCCCCTCTTATACCTCGTTCATCCATCAACATGTCTTTTGCCGCCGTCCGCACGCCGTCGCGCGCCTCTTCCTCCAAGACGCCGGAACCATTCCGCCGCAACGATAGGTACGATCGCATTGACCACCGCGCAAGCCAAGACGACGACGACGACGACGACGATGTAGTTGAAGTCGTCCGCTCACCCCTCACCTTTGCAAGTCCAGAGATCAAAGCGCTGTCCACACTGCGCGGCTCCGAGCTGTACCGCGACATCACCCGTCCCGTCGACGTCGGCCTGGCGCTCCAGGTGCGCTTGGCCAAAGACCCGCCCAGGATCCGCCCCGAGCTCGAGGCTATGAGGCTGCTCGACTTCTTCATCGCCTACGTCCAAGAACGCGAGCTCGGTAACCTCGGCCTCGACGTCGTCAACGAGCACGCCTCGAGCGTCAGCGAAGTCATCCCACCGTGGGACTTTGTCTGGGTCGACGACTACATCATCGACCCCTCGCTCAAGCACGTTCGGGAGATCGAACCGCTCGACAAGGTGAACGGCTACGCGCTCACCGACGAGCTCGTCGCCAACGGCGGATGCAACTGCCCCGACGACGAGTGCGATCCTCGCACGTGCGAATGCGTCCGCAGGGCGAACCGATGCTATCCCTTCGTCGACGCTTACTACCAAAGGATGCTCAACGGCGACGACGGTGTCGACAAGTCAAAGCCGACAGGCGACTTCAACTTTATCTACGACGCCTACGGACGCATCCACCCCGACGTCCCCGCGGGCGAGCCCATCTTCGAGTGCAACAAGAACTGCAGCTGCTCGAGCGCTTGCCACAACCGTGTGGTGCAGAAGGGTCGCAAGGTCCCCCTCGCCTTTCACAAGACCGAGAGCAAGGGCTGGGGCATCAAGACGCTTCAGAACCTCAAAAGGGGAACATTCGTTGGTGCGTACGGCGGCGAGCTCCTTTCGGACACAGAGGCCGAGCGACGCGCCGAGATCTACGAAAGGGAGCTGGGCACTACGTACCTACAGGACGTGGACAACCACATTATCAAGGTGCATCTCACGCGCCAGATCCTCGAGCGCAAGCTCGCCGAGTCGGGCAAGCTCGACGACTATCGCGGCAGTGCCGCTAAGGAGCGCAAGATGGTCGAGTACGTCACGCGCGTGGCCAACCTCATCGAATTTTACGACGAGTACATGAAGGTTCACGTCGTCGCGAGCGGCGATACCGAGCTGCAAGAGGCCGAGCAGCGGCGCAGCGATGGCAAGCCTGCGAGTCGCCAGGACAAAGACGCCTTCCGGCGTCAACGCGGAGCAGCTTTGCAACGTGCGCGCCAGGTGGCCGAGCGCGAGCGCCAGCGCCTGCGCCGTCTCGATCCGACCAAGACCTTCCCCGACGAGTACGACGAGGACGAGCTTGCAGATCCCGGGTGGCGATTCCTCTCGCTCGACGACCCTGATCTGCAGCAAGAGATTGTGGTCATGGCCAACGAGCGCTCGGAGATGGAGGACGAGTTGCGCCTCACGGTCGACTCGGCGTTGATGGGCAACTACACGCGCTTCTTCAACCACTCGTGCGACCCCAACCTCCTGCACGTGCCGACATACATCGACGACGCCTCGATCCTGCGCCCGCTCCTGGCGTTCTTCACCTCGCGAGAGGTGGCGGCGGGCGAAGAGCTGTGCTTCAGCTATGCAGGCGAAGCGGCTGCCGTGGACCAAGACGACCTGCCCGCCTCCTCGCCACAGAGCCCGGCCAAGCCCGCGCGCCGCTCACGCACCGCCATGCACCCGCCCGCCGCCAAGCCCGGCCGCGACACGGTGGCCGCCGTCACCGCCTCGGCCCAGGACGCCGCGCGCGCCGCCACCACCAAGCACAAACGCCTCGAGATCAAGTGCGCGTGCGGCGCCAAGAACTGCACTGGGCGTGTCTTCTTTTAGGTCCGCATTCGCACTGCTGGTCGCAATTCGCAGTTCGAGGCGCATGTCTTTGTATTCGTGTTGGGACCGTCGGCTGAAGACCGATTCGTGGGGCAGTGAGATGCTGGTCACTGGCGGTCGTGTCTTCTGAGTCCCCACTTGCACTGGTAGCAATTCGCCTTAACCTTCCTTCCACTTCTTGGTCTCGTGAGGTTGTTTTTCGGGAGTCTGTTATGTGTGACAGCGGGACGTTGGAGGACGGCGGCGGCGTCTTCTTCCAGGCGCTCCTTTGCACTGGTTGCAATTCGAGGCGCACAACACCGTACGCTTGGATGGTGGTGTGTGCGGTCTGGCTTGAGGTTGGTGAGACGAGGCGGGTGGTGACTGTTGGTGGGGCTGCGGGGGTTGAGCCCTGTCGACTGGATCCGGACGTCCGTTTGAATGTGTAGGACACTGCATGCTCGTTGGTTGAAGTGGGAGGCTGCATCTCGTATCGAGCTGCTCTTGGTCCACGCTGTACTCTGTCCGCTCTGTCGAGTGATCAAGTTGTTGCGCTGGCACTCGAATGCAGGCGATGTGGGGTGGGTGTTGAGCAGTGCTGCCAACGTTTTTGCGGGCGCTGCGCAGTACTCTCGATGAGTGCGAGGAATTGTGATCGAATGCAAGGTGACGTTGCACAGCCTATGGCGGCGCATCATTATACCCTGCATGACAAGATCGGTGATGCAGCGTCTGGCTCCTCTGCAAGGCTGAATCGCACGTCCAAACCTTTCATTAGAAAGTGCGGATATCGTCACAGAGCTGTGTGGTGGGCTAGGTCCAATCTGCGCCCGCCACTGCTTCTTTGCACTGCCCCCCAACGGGTCATTTTCCCAAACTGCCGACTGGGAGCGTAGGGTTCGGAATCGACCAAGTGCATCACAGCGCTGGATTGTACCGCTCGGCTTCTGGGAGCCCGAGACTGCCACCGCGCACTGGAGGTCACTTCCCAAAGTTCGAACGGTGCTGTTTTGCGCGATACGAATGCAGAAATCAATGGTCCACGAGTAAAACGGTGTGCGCAAACGTACAGCTGAACTTTGACACTGCACAGGAGACACGAGGCTCAACTTGCGATCTGCCAGCGCTAACCACGCCTTTCAAGCGGGCAAGGTGGAGAGCGGTTGCTTACGAGTCGAGTGAGGCTTCAGAGTGTCGAGGACATCCGTCTGACATTGCAACAGCGTGCAGAATGGGGGCGTGGGCCGGAGGGGCATGGAGTATCGACGGTGATGCGGTCAAGGGGTGGTAGAAAGTGATGCGTGTCGACGACAAAGTCTTTCCCGTCAGGATCATCGCCATCCCATATCGGACAATTGTAGATGCACAACTGTGGCATCCGCAACTCACGCCCTTGTCGGTCATTCAGCAAGCAGAACAAACACACGCTCGAGTATACGCTTTACAACGCCTTGTATCTGCCCCCCCCCCCCTTCCCCCGGTTCTCTCGGCGATTGGGTCGAGCATCGAGTCGAGCCGGGCGATACACACGATCGACGCACCCTCCCCCCCACCCCCTCCCCCCGGCATGCCCTTAGTAGCATGTGCAAACAGCAGCAGCTCCAGCCTTCCGTGCAGTGCAGTGCATGCCCGTGTCGCCACCGCCAACAAACCTCGGCTCTTCCCCCACACCACTATCAAGCACGCCTCTCGTCGAATCCCGTTGGCATGTGCGATTGCGTGCGCCTACTGTGTGTGTAAAACTGGTGCTCCAACCGCGCCTACTGCTCACCGGCGACATGGTGCTGTACACCGCTCGCAAGTGTACGCAGAATTGGAGCTGCGACTACTGCTCACCATTGAGGAGATCATGCTGCACCACCAACTGGGAAAAGCAGCCAAGTTGAGCCTGGCCATGCGCACGATCGCCGTACGCTGCAGCTCGATCGCCACGCCTTGCGCTACCTTGATCTGCACGAGCTCGAGTCGTACGTGCAGAGTTGTTGGTGGGTATCCGGCTCGCTCGGGCCGGTACCTGCATACGCACGCGCTCGCTCAGACCATGCACGCCCTGGAGGCGTGCATACACACAATACACCCGACTCAGGGGTACCATGCACGTACCCCTTCCCTCACTAGCTCGTTCACTCAGTCTCACTTAGCTTCGCACACGCACGCACATCCTGTAGATAGACAACAACCATCAATTACATTCGTTCCGTACCATCTCTGCCTGTCGCCCGCTTCGCCAGCGTCCTGCATCACCAGGCATCGCAGTAATACCAACAAGTGTGTGGTTGGGTCGCAAACGCCAATCGAACCACCCCCCAGATCCAGCCACATGGCATGCCATACTTTTGAAACCCCATTGCATGTGTGATTGCGTGCGCCTACTGTGTGAAAACTGGTGCTCGAACCGCGCCTACTGCTCGCCGGCGACATGGTGCTGTACAAAGCTCGCAAGTGTACGCAGAATTGGAGCTGCAACTATTGCTGACCATTGAGCAGATGATGCTGCACCACCAACTGGGAAAAGCAGCCAAGTTGAGCCTTGCGATGCGCACGATCGAACCTCACCCTCCAGCTCGATCGCCACGCCTTGCGCTACCTTGATCTGCACGAGCTCGAGTCGTACGTGCAGTGGTGTGGTTTTGCGTCGCAACACGCAAATCGAACCACCCCCCCAGATCCAGCCCCATCCGCATGCCATACTTTTGAACCCCATTGCATGTGTGATTGCGATGCACCTACTGCGTGTGGAACGTGCTGTATCTGCGTCTACAGCATGCGCATCTCGTGCTCTATCCGCGCCTACCGCTGACCATGCTGTAAGGCGCTGCGACGCGTGATGCTGTACAGCGCCGAGAATCGTGGAATTTGGAGCCGCGACTGCGGCTGACAGTTGAGAGGGTGCAGCCCCTACGGTTGACCGTCGAGCAGATGGTGCTGCACCACACTGGGAAGCAGCGAGTTGAGCCGGGCGATGCGCACGATCGCGGTACCCTGCAGCTCGGGTGCACTCGGCTCAGCGGCTGGCTCGGCGACATGAATCTGTGGCGCCAATGGCTGCGCCGTTCCCTGGGGCGAGTTCGCCGACGCCGAGCGCGCCGAATTGCTCCTTGCCATCCCACCCCCCACCACTGCCAGGGGTGTGAGGGATAACGACGCCGAACCCTTGGTGTGCTTCTGCGGTGCAGCCAGCAGCAGCTCGCGCTCGTGCCGCCCGACGCCGCTCGAGGCATAGTAGTGGCGGCTCGTCGACGTGGTCCTATCCAMCCCCGCCACAGGTGCCAGACGACCCAACTCGCCCATACCCGGCTTCGCCACCCCCGTCACCGTCGCCGCCCGACTCAGTCCAGCCCTCGGCTCGACCCCAATCAGCGTCTCGCGCAGAACTTCGAGCGACGCTACCTGCATAGCCCGCTGTGTAGCTCCCTCCCCGCCCGTCCCCGCGCGTGTCCTTGCTGCCTCCGCCGCCGCCGCCTGCTCCCGAATCATCTGCGTCCAGCGCGCAACACGCTCGCCATCCTCAAAGCTAAGCATAAACCGCTTCGTCGCACCCGCCTCCCCCACGGACGTGAGCGTAAAACTGTGCTTCATAAACGCCCGCTCCACCGCCACGTTAAAGCTGCGCGGCAACGGTGAATCCTCCCCAACCCCCACATCCGCGCCACCCGCGCCCGCGCCCGCATGCGTGACATCCACCTCGGTCCCCCCGTAGAAGCGCGCATTGCGTCCGGCCCGCACAAACACCACCTGCTTGGCACCCAGACTCTTGGTCCACATGGTGAAGCTCGCCTCGCGCGACGCACCGAACGTCAGCACCGGCGGCTCGAACGTCGTATCCGGCGCATACAGCCTAATAGCCAAGTCGGGATCAGGCGCGGGGATGACAAGCGTCACTGGCTCGGCTGGCTGCGCGTACGTCAGCCGCGTCGGGAGCTTCCCGCCCTTGACGCGGATGGTGAAGCGCGGCTCGTACCGGTCAAGCGCCTGCACGAGCGGCTCGGACTTGATCGAGAGGTAGATGCGGCTGAGTGTGCGGTCCGACAGCACGTGCTCCGGATCGTGCTGTCGAAAGACACTCACAAAGTCGGCCTTGCTCAGCTCGGGACACGGCGCACTGAACAGCGCCGGTGTGACCACCGTCACGGGCCGCGGGAAGTTGGGCGAGGTCACCGACGCCGCGCCCGCCTGCGTGCCCGTGTGCAGCGCATCGTTGAGCGCCATGATCGCAAACACCAGATCCGACGCCAGCTGCGCCGTGAAATTGGGCTTGATCATCGCCGCGTTCGCCTGCGTCCAGCTCTGGGCAAAGTGCACGAGCAGCGCCTCGAACGCATCGAGCTCGTGCGGGAAGCGCAGATCCAGCAGCAGACTGCGCAGCGCCGACTCGATCGACACGCCCACCGGCCTATGCTGCGACACGTACGCCTTCAAGATCTCGCGCCGCGCCGCATGACCCAGATACGCCGTCAGATCCTGCCGGTCCAGCTCGGGCGTCTGGTAGAGCAGCTGCGCAATCGACGCCGGCGTCGGCTCGAGTCCCGTCTTGGCGACGAGCGCGCGCACCGCCGAGTCCGGATCCTTGCTAAAGTGCGACACGAACCCCCACAGCACGGGATTCTGCGCACGCGTCTTGGCCGACGCCGTGCGCGTGTTGCTCGTCACGCTCACGCGCAGCCGGTGCAGCTCCAGGATGTTCTTCACCGCAAACCGCCACGAGAGCGACGGCAGCACGGCGGCCTCCTTCATCTTGCCCAGCGTCTGGCCCGCCTCGGCACCCGGCGCCGCGACGGGCTTGGCGATGACGAGCATGTCGCTGAACAGAAACAGGTAGCGGTCCTTGATCGTCGTGGCGCTGATCACCTGGAACACGGCGTCGGTGGCGAGCAGCTTGCGCGGCGGGTCTTGCAGGTCCTGCTGCGATGCGCCCGGAATCGCTTGCGGAGGTGCGGCGCCCGACAGCATGCGGCTGTATCGGTGGATCACTGCCGCCGTGTTGGGAGCCAGCGAGCCGCCGCCCGTGCGCGCACCGGGCA